CTCATCATATTGAGACACGACGATTTATCGAACTAGAAAACAAATCAACGTAAAGGTAGAAAATGTGTTCCTTTCTAATATGCAACCGCTTAGCAACTCCCACACTGGAAAAAATATGTCGGTAACCATATCAATCCGGGGAAAAAAATAAAAACAAAATAAATCCACTGTGGAAAAAAGAGGATTAAACAATATTACATTGCCCCAAAAACAATATTTAACAAATATATTTTATTCCATCTACTGTGTGCGTCTTACACAGATTACAAGCCACTCTCACAGTACAACGCCTGCATGAACATGCAGTGCACATACTTTGAAAATGACATTAATTATTCGATTCTATATTTTCAATTTAATGGCTCGTCGGGTCTTTCATCTCGTGCCAAGTATGCTTTATTGAACGATGACTTTAACTGAGACTATGGAACGGACAATTGAATTACATTGGTTTTTACTTGTTTTTATTCATTTTTCCATGCTTGTGTGGATAAGTGAAACAATCGCAATTACACTCCAATCGAAAACAGATCGTTCGTTTATGCATTCAATTGGTTGTTATATTCAGTTTTAAATCTCTTTGGATGCTCTTCAGCTCATAAACCGAAATCATCTTATGAACAGACTATATATTGAAATATTTTCGGGCAGCTGATCCGGCTCAGGAATCTAACATCAGGCACTGAAATGGAGTGAAAACAAGTGATTGTAGTAATAACAGTGTTTTTATAACCATAGCAATCACTTTTATTGTTATCACTCAATTTCAGTGCCTGGAGTTAGCTTCCTGAGCTGAATCAGCTGCCTGGAAATATCTCAATCTAATAATAGTCCGCTTGTGAATGAATTATTTTGATTGCATTCAATCTCTTTGATTCAATTTGAAGAAACAATTGACCTTTAACTTCCTTCGAAGTGTCAATAGATCACAATACAGTACACCAGTAATGTGCGAGCTACATTTCACAGAGGGGGCTGATTTTTCAAAAACAAAAAATTCTCTAGGAGGAGGGGTTTCCAGTTTGACCTCCACCTTTTTTTTCTCAGATTTGCAATATAAATGTATATACAATAGTAAAAATACACTAATTTTAAAGTCAACATTTTTTCTTGTTTCTATCATGCAAAATTGTTATTTTAGTTTTCCATATAATAACCTTTTCCTCCCTCGATACCAAAGTCAATTTGACCCCCCTGATCAAAAAACCGTGCGCATGTGTGCGGCCCGTTGAAGTCTAAAATACCCCCTTTTGCAGGTTTTCACAGCATCACTATATCTCGTAAACGACACCAATTATTTGGTTGCTTTCTTTGGCTAAGTTGTAGCCCATAATGGGACGAACTTTTTTTGTTCACATAGTGAACTATATTATAGTGATGCTATGAAACCCACAAAAGGGGGTATTTTAGACTTCAACTTTAATTTGGGGAAAATTTTTTGATGCCAAATGTCTTATTTTGAACGCCTCTACCACATCCAGCAGGAATTTTGAAAAAAAAAATCTGATACGCTTAGCATGTTTACTGGTAAGAATATTTGAATAAAAAAGAACTCAAAAATTCAATTTCCAATGGTGGCCACGGATTTTTTTATCAGATAAACACTTTACCTATAAACTCTCATTTAATGATTTGTTATTATTTCGTAGAAAAGCCATTGAATATGTGTCTACACAGAAATGACAACTAACCTCAATATGAACGAAAATTGACATAAAACTCAATTTATCCGAAGTTTCAACTGTTTTTAGTATAAATTTTATTTCACATTTTTTCCGCTCAAATATTAAAGTGCTTAACATATATCACTTTGGCATTTGAGCGGAAAAAATGCATACTAGAATTTATCCCAAAAACGGTTGAGTCTTCGGATAAATTGAGTTTTATGTCAATTTTTGTTCATATTGAGGTTAGTTGTCATTTGTGTGTATAGAAGATAATCTAAAAATTACTTGTTCGCGAAATAGGTCCTATTATTAACGGTTTTCAGACGAAATTCTTAGATTCGGATCTTGAGATTTTCGGAATTATTTAACAAATAAATCTTGTTATCGAGTCATCAATAATAACGTAAACACAAATATACTAAATAACATTAACGAAATATTCTACAACAATTCCTTTCGAAATGCGCATCTAAGAATTTATTATAATTGAGCCTGAGTAAAAATCCGACTTGAAATAAAAATCTATAAAAGATTTATGGACTCAAATTACAAGTCGACTTTTGTATTATTAAAACATTTGTGATATTTTGTCAGACAAACTAACCTCTATAGAATTTTTATTACCGATTCGTCACAGGGAATCGAAGTAATTAGCAAACAAGGGATAAGTCGACTACAAAAGGTAAAATCTTTACAAAAGGTAAAACGAGAGGAATTCTTTTCATTTGTTTGACACCAAAAAGTGTTTTGCTTTGCCCCCATATCCCCTTAACCGTAGACTTACGTTGAGGTCAAAACTGTTATCAATCCAACCTGACAAATGTTTTGGAAGTTGAGCACTCGCGGTTTCTACCCCCTAAACTTCAATATTTTTCTATTTCCATACAAACACTGACAAAAAATGGATTTTCAGGCCAACTGCTCACAGAAGACGTCAATTGTAATATTTGCGAACTCTGGTGGTGATTTACAAAATTACCACCATTACAATGTGTGGCATGGTGATTTTTGTATGTATTGTATTTGCTTTGCTGAGCAATATTACTATCGCTCAACGCAGTGTTGGTGGTAATACTGTACAGCGCTGTCACAGCAAAGCAAATACAATACATACAAAAATCACCATGCCGCACATTGTAATGGTGGTAATTTAGTAAATTACTACCAGAGTTCACAAATATTACAATTGACGCCTTCTGTGAGTGAAATGTTCCAAATTAGATTAAAATGAAAAGTAAAACGTTAAGGTCCGTTATTTATTGTACAGAATACAAAGTTAAGTTGAAATTTTTTGACAGGCAGAGTGATATACATTCAAAATTTTAAAAACCGTAACATAAAATCTCAAACTTTTGTTATATGCAAATCTGCTGTAAACAGGCACACATCCCAAAACTAAATTTTCTCAATTTTGAATCTGGATTTTTTTTATTTCATCAGCCATTTAAAAATTGATCAAAAGTGAAAAATATATTGAAGATATTGCATACGACGAAAATTAAAGGAGTCCATACGGAATTTGATTTGATTGTTGAAATTACGGGGGATTTTTAAATTCATCAACATCTTGCAACTCGGAGCAAGACTAAGAACAAAAACTGGCAGAATTGGGAAGCGAAAGAAAAAGAACACGGAATTAGCTCGACCACCATGACCAGCAACCATTCGCCAACGTCGGATGAACCAAAAATAAATATGATTTTTAAATCCTACACGTAAAAAGTGCCAAATCGAAGTGTGTCACTCTGCACCCAACATAGGACAAGTATAGTTGTCAGACATTGAATGGCGCTGTATCTATCCTATAAACATCGAACTAATGAAAATGTGTGGTGGTTCATGTCTTATTTAATATACAATAGTGGAAATTTATCCAATGCACAAACCATTTCTTCTAGTTCCTCTTACATTAGTGTAGGGTGATTCTTCTAAAGTTCAGAGAATGACGTTTGCATATAAATACATGTAAAAGACACTTTTAGGCTCGTCCTATGGCACCCAAATATGAAATAAAGAAAATCATTATGCGGAAAAGGCGTATAAATGCACAATTCAAACCTGAAAAACTCTATACTTACGTAATGATTATATGAAAAATCCATAAATCTATGATTACTTAATATGAAATAAATGAAATGCACAAGAAAATGTGTGTTCTAGTTTATTTACTTTCAACTTTATTCAGTGATTTCAATCTCGATACTATTAAGTTTATTTGTAAAATTACATCAATTATTTTGTTGTTTTTGCTGTTGTATGTGTTACAATTCTTCCTAATTTCTAAATTATTATTTTTGTTTTCTTCATTCAGTATTCATCATGATTTTGTAGTTACATTTTTGCGTTTGTATTTTATTGATTTCATTTTTGTTGTTATATTTATCATCATCATCATCATCATCATTTTTTTTGTGTTGCATTTTCATCTGCATTTATTTACAATGTTTGATATCATTAACATATATAACTCAATTGTCGCATTCATTTGTTTGTTTCAATCGGTTTGAAATGTGCACTAACAGAACGTTTCCTTTAGTAAATTTACTTCATATCTGCTTGTATGATACTTACATATTTGCATTTTATATCTAATTTCATAACTTATTTACTAAAAAAAATGTTTCACTAAGGATTGTAATTCGTCTTGCAGATTTATTAATCTTATTAATCTGGGCTCCTTTGCTTTTTTTGTTGTGCATTTTGTTTTGCTCATTTCCATTGTGATAAAATAAGTAAGTACGTGCTGGTTGCTTAATTGGTTCCATTTTTATATATATATATATGTATTTCGTTCATTATAAATGTTTAATATGAAACGATGTTTATGTTGCAACCAATGAAATTCTCAAATGTGCTCTCAATACTAGTATTTCTTATACATAAACTGTGTGTGTGTGTGCTTTATATTCACTGTGTGAGATGAAATCAAATTTAATCTGTGACGCGTTTTTTTTAATTTTCATTTTATTCTGGTTATATTCATCTCTCACTACCCTGCTTATGTAATATGTTTTACGAAAAATGATATTAAGAGTTACTAATTCATACAAATCAAACAAATATGGCTACATTGGAAAACATAGATGTATTCTTGAATTGATTTTCTTATTAATGTTATTTTTTGTTTGTTGAAAGCAATGAACTTTCAATAATAATTATGTTATGGTTTTCTCTTCAATTTCGACAGCAAATTCACTATATCTGTGTTTTCCAAACAAACCAAATGTGTCCGTAAGAATAAATATGGCAATACAAAAACAGAATCTGAAGAACGTTACATATTTTTTTTTTATGGAGTTGTACTATGTAAAGGAAAATAAATAATGTAACGTTCTTCAGATTCCGTTTTTGTATTGCCATATTTATTCTTACGGACACAAATGTTAATAAACACATATCTCGAAAACACCATTGTCTATCAATAAGAAAAATTGTTACAAAAAATTATTCGATTTTTTTTTTTTCAATTTTTCGCAAGAACATTTGGAATGGTCAAAAATCAAAAACCAAGTTGTTAATGGGTGAAAAGGATTAACTAGGATCAAATGCAATTATTGGACGAAATTGTGTATTCCGAGATATTTGTGGTTTGTTTTGAGTTTTTTTTTTGTTTGTTAATTTGTCCTCTTTAACCGACACCAAAGTATAGTAAGTAAGATACGATAAAAATCAATCTATATAATTTTGAAGAATTTCGAATATTCATTCAAATACAAACTAAGTGTTGCTTTTTTTTAGATAGATTTTGTAAAAAGTGAAGCCAAAACCATACATTTAAAATAGATAGATAGATAAATCTATATATTTCTAATGTATGGCCAAAACTGATCATTGATGATTCAAATTAGATCTAGCATACACACATAACACGACCATGGAGTTAACCGAATTGCGTTTGATTTAAAATATTGTTTTACGATGATCACACTTTAGTTCAAATACATACATTCAGTTAATACCAATGTGTTCGTTTCGGCTGCGGTGATGTGCCTAGATACTAAATAATATTTTGAATCTGTTATTTATTTACATGTAAATTTTCTTCTGTTGCTTTCTGAATTTGCCGGTTGAATGAGTGTATGTGTTTGTATTTGTGTGTGTGCAAATTTCACATTGAAAATTATTTGATTTATATTCAAATTGAGAAATAAAGACAAAACAAAAATAATATGCATTTTTTTTGTATAGAAATGTGCCATTACTCCAATAATTAAAAATTCTTATGTGTTACCCTACTACCTTAGAATTATTTAAAATCGGTTTCATTTTTTTTGTCGGAAATAAAAAGCGATTCATTTAGGAAATCTTACGTATTTAAAAAATGGTGAAAGTAACTAATACTCAGCTTAAACTGGGATCAATTCCTCAATCTATTGAAGCTTTTTTTATTGCTAACTGTTTAAATATGATTTTTTTTTTGTATTTTATTTTTACGTGGATTGAATGCTTTGTTTAATTAAGTTTTACATGCGTTTTTTTTCTTTTAATTCGTTTCTTTTTGTTAAATGTAACATACTCACACTAATTTCTATTTATTGCATTATCGATGTTTAGGATTTGTATGTCATTTCGTTTGGCAATAATATCAATTTTTTTTGTTATTGTTATTTATTTGATTATTTTTGTGATTGCTGTTGTTGCTGTTGCTGTTTTTAACATCTTATGAGATTCGCTGATATACTATTTTTCACTTGTTTCTCTGTCTCCAGTGAATTTCAATTGGATTTATCGTAGAAATGTGTGATGAACCACATTCAAACATTAAAAAAGTGTTCACATCGGAGCATGAACGTACACTGAGAGATCAAAGTTTTCGTGTGTGTCTGTGTGCTTTTTTTAAAAAAATCATTTATTATTTCACAAAACTACTTGTTTTATTGGCGCTCAACTTTAATGCTCATATCCATTGTATTTACGATATTAAATATTTGGAGAAAAAAAATAAATGTACGTACAATGCATGAACAGACTACGCTTACTATGTAACCGCTTGAATGTCAATTAGTTGTTCTCAAAATGAATTAAAAAGAAATTTTGTTTGGAATTTACAGGTATATCAAGTAGTTAAGTTATTCTAACTTTCGACTGTCTGGATGAGTTGATGGAATGTATGAATAGATTTCTTTCTTTCTTCAAAAAAACAAACAAACATATGCCTTAATCTAAACGAAATGCACAAAAGCTGCTTAATCGCTTCGTAAAATTAGTTGAATCGACGTCCAATAATAAAATGCTAAATAACCAATTCAATTTGCATACTTATAATTCCATATTTTCATCGAATTTGTATTTGCTAAACAAATTTTTATCTAATGAGAATAAATTTCCAATAAAATAATTTTATGTGTGTTTGTTTTCCCCGTTTCTTTCTCTCTCTCCCTCGGTCTCTCTCTTTTTTTTGTCGTATATCATATGTAATTTTGTCATCGATGTCTTTTCAGACAAATTTAAGTAAATTTGCAAATTCTTGAATTGATTTCATCATCAAACGAAAATGAAATAAATATTTTTTTTTTTTTTTTGAAATAGAAACCAAAAAAAATAGTATAAACTGGATTCTGCGTAATCGCAAGTGGGTGTTCTTCGCTCTCTCTCTGTTTGTGTTTAATCATTGTATTTCTTTTTTTATGTATGTGTGTGTGTGTGTATGGATGTTGGAAGTTGAATTAAAAAAAAAGAAGAAGAAATAAAATGAAGGAGAAGCAGAATCAAAGTTACCAAGCTCGTCCTTGCATGGGTATGTAGCTGCCGCATTGTTGTTGATGGCTGTTTCCCATGAAATTGTTTTGATTTCGATATGCCATCGCTAAGCTGCTCGACATCAATGAATTGTTGCAAGGTTGCTGTAACATTTGCGAATGCTGTACACCATTATAGCTGGACAATAATGTCGATGATGTATCTGGTGAATGTGTATTGGATACATCGCCAACAACGATAACATTATTATTGTTTGACGGTGTGGTATTACTGTTCAATTGTTGTTGTTGTTGTTGTTGTTGTTGCTGTTGCTGTTGTTGCTGTTGTGCATGTTGATTTTGTGCCTGCGTTGGTTGGCTACTATTGTTCGAATTATTCGAGCATGGTTTACCATCCTTAACTAATACGGGTACGGCAACACGTCGAGGTGAACTGGCTGACTGTGTAAAAATCGAAAGCAAAAAAAACGTAAAGCAAATTATGATTTAGAATTTACACGATTCAATGCACAAAAGCAATTCGCTTTCAATTCAATTTTTATTTTATAACTTTTTTCTTTATTTTATTTTGCTTTTTCTCTTCTTAAGTAAGTAATGCGGTTTGCATTGTGGACAAAACCCGCGTCTTTAATCAACAATAAAAATAGAATCTATATTACGATTTCAATGGGTGCAATCAAAATTCATACCTGATTATGTTGGTTTTGCTCAGCCATCGCTTTCTCTTTGGCCTGACGTTTGCATTTGTATCGATGATTTTGAAACCAAATTTTCACCTGAAATTGAAAAGGAATTGAGAATTGCATTAAAAAATTTATAAAATAGACATTAAATCGGTAAGAGGTAAATAACAATGGTTCCCATTTTGATTATGCAGAGTCCGATATGATTTTTTTTTTGTTTGGTTTATTCTTTTCACACAAAAACTAGAACGATCATAAAATTAGTGCTTTCACTGTTCCAACCATTTATTGCTTTTCCTTTTTGGACAAGACAATGATTACATAGATGTTTTTTTTTTTCATGCTCTTTACATTTGATGCAGAGAAAAAATGATTATTCTTCAATGGATTTTTTTTACCTAATTGAAGGATGTGAATAGAAAAAGGGAAAAAAGTGATTTGAAAGCAGAAAAAAAAACAAATTTATTGCAGTTCTCTTTTATCTTAATCAATCTCAAAGCACTCTATCAAATTCACAGAAAATGTACCGTTTGATGATTCAAACAGTAAAATATATTATTTTCAAGTACTCCAAGCACTTGTCGAAAAAATCTTTGCTACATAAAACAAAAGTCAACCGCTTTTGTCTTTGTTGTTCTTGTGGCAGTGCGGTTATCAGGCATCACATTTTAAATCGTACGACAAGAAAGTAATATTACGTTGGATTGAGTAAGAGAGAGAAAAGAGGAAATGATCTCAACGTAAAAAAGAGTGAGAAAAAAAGAGAGAATGAATGGGATATATTTGATTTAAGAAAAGAAATTCCATAAAAGGCTTTACTATGGATAAAATGTCACTTAAAATTATTCCAAGAGGAAATATTCAGTGAATAGAACAAAAGAAATTGATGTGCTGTTGTGAATAAAAACTTAAGAGAAAAACTCTTCACTCTGCATTAGACACTTTGTATTTTGTAATCGCGCAAAAACTATTTAGTACTACAAAGACATTTCCACACTCTATGATAATTGTTCCAAAAAGTGTAAAACACAGACTCGTCTCATATGCACATGAGTTTTCTTCTTCTTCTTCAAAATATGTTCATTTAAAGTTACGACAAAATTCCGATGTATTTCAATTTTCTACGTGATTCAATTTCATTTGTTTTTATTCAATGTGATAGAAAAGAAAAATGTAGAAAAAGTCACTTGCGCATTGTGCGTTTCACATTATCTCTCAATGTTCTCAATGTAATGCCGAGAAAAAAATGGCAAACTCAATTCCAAAAGAGCTTAGAAGATATTTGTTGTAAATTAGCATTTTTTTCGTGGTCGAAAAGAAATAGAGAGAGAGCCATTTTCTATTCAAAGCTATTGGTTTAAGCGCATTAAAGGTTAAACTTGATCCCATTTGAATTACACATATCCACTTCATGCATCATTTCATTTAGTAGAAAACTAAACAGAAAAAATGCAACCATCGAAGTGTAAACTTGGCATTTTTTTCTGTTTATCTCATTCATAATCACAATTTTCTATTCATTCCTGCCTCTTGCTGTTTTTTGCGTCTCTCTGTCTTGGGCCTGTATGTATGAAAGAAAGAGAGTGTATAAAGTGTGTGCGCAGCAGCGCATCTTCACTTGCACAAAACCAAGTGCATTTTTATTTACAATTCTAATTTTAATTTATATTATTCGTTTGACGAGATAAATGAAAAATTATTGCACTGCTTAGCTCATCATGTTTGATTTGGATATTCTCTCTGTATTTCCGTTTGTGTGCACATTTCTCTCTATCTTAGGATAATAAATTCTGTTTCTGGTGAAACGTTTTTTTTTTCTAAATAAAAAAGGCCTCTCTTCAACATATTCAGAATGCCAAACGGCGACGAACCCGATCCGCAACAGCCCTAATGTCAATGTTTATCTAACTATAATTGAAACTACTTAAATGTAAAGTAGACGCTACCATAAAAGCGACAAAGACAATCGAAATACTACGCACTGTGTGTAAAAATACGCTCGCGCAAAAATCTCGCATCATTCCGCACTTCATTACCAACAATCACACACACTTGACTTTAACGTTTTTTGTGTTGTGTGTGTTTTTTTTTAATCCAGTCGACAAAGAATTTTGACCAAAAGCAAAATAACACTCAAAACATTTGACTTTGATAATTTTTGTTATCGATATGCCTACTTTTACCGGATTTACAAACTCCAATATGTCGATGTCGATTGGTCTTCTACTGTTTCCGACATTTTCTTTGGCTTCAGGCTTAAGTCGATATAAGCATCAACTTTCTGACCTGTTGGTTTTATTGTTTTCTCTTTGTTTTCATTTCTCGAACAACAACAACAGCATCTAATTGAATTGTAGTATCAATCATGTAAATCATTCGCATCGTCTTCATTCACTGATTGACTTATCTCTCATTAGATCGTATTTATTCGAATTAATGACAATCCGATCGTATATAATAGCTTGTTCCAACATAAACTTCACACACACGGATACGAAAAAAAAAAATTGAATAAAATCAACACCGTTGCAAATGAAACAACAAAAACATGCCAACAGAAGCGATAGCAAAAGAATTGGCAATCAAAATCTATCAACTGGTATGTGTTGATAAAAAAATAACTCAAAGAGATAGAGAGACAAAAAATAATCGAAGAGAAGCAAAAACAACACCGCCACCACCACCATACGGACCAGATAGTAAGAATTGATAGAATAATAGCGGAGGGTAGACAAGGGATCAATCCTTAAAAAATAAATGATGCGTAAATCCATGTACACTTACACACATCAAATTGCAAAGGCGAATGTAGACACAACAAAGTGTAATGGTTCGATTTGGTTTTTTGGGTTTCAGCTACTCTCAGTAGCTGTTGCTGCTGTCGTCGAATCTCGATTATTTTTTATTCTCTCTCTCTCGTTTCGTTCTCGCTTTTTTTTGTTGTCAGTGACGAGAAATAAAGAGAATTAAGAATTATCCTGAAGCAATTGTTGTTAGTCACAACAATAGAATATCTCAACAACATCATTGTCATCATAATCATTTCATTATACATTACCACCATCGCACTTCCACACGAACATTTTTTTTTCTCTATGGTGCTTGATTGAACATGAGCACGTACAATGTAAACGAAAATCGCTCAATTCCGAAGGAGAAGAATATGTTGAAGACAGAGCCAGCAACACAAAAAAAGCCTAACATACAAGCATAATTTTGTGAGCGAAATGTGAAAGAAATCATAGAGAGAGAAAGAGAGAGAGAGAAAGAGAGAGAGAGAAAACGGAAAACCCGAAACACAATGCGGAATCACAAGTAAAGTAAGCCAACAACAGCAGTAGTAGCAGCAGTAGCAAAAAAAAATATGTATGTTTTTTAGAGAGATATCGATGTGAAATGTGTGTATGTGTGTGTACAGGAGTAGCATGTATTTGAACGTTGAGCGGTGTGATACAAATAAAACAACATTATGATCGACCCTCCGGTTGTCGGTTTCACGATTATTATTATGATGATTATTATTATAATTCCTGTTGTTATTATCACTATGCGCTGTATTTATGGTGCATGCACGATACAACCGAAAGCATGAACAGCATTGGAAAATTGTGTATGCGCTGTGAACTTACTGTGAGACAGTACAATAGACCAGCAACAACAACAGAAAAAGACCGAACGCACGCACTTCAAGTAGGTTACTTCGGCTTAGTGCTTAGTACAACAAAATATATATATATATATATCAGCGGGTAATTGACAAAATATCGAGAGCAAGAGGAAAAAAAATGTTCAGACTCTTTTTTTATATCTAAATTGTTATATAAATGTTATTTTAAGAATATTTGCGGTAACGTGAACCATAAATTGGTGTTTAGCGTAGACCTAGATTGTTTTTTTTTATTCTCTCGCTCATCCTTCACAGTCTATTCTCTCTTCTATTGGCTTTTATGCGCATCATTTTTTTAAGCTTGTCGCTTTCGACATAATTCCATTCTTATTGAATCCACTTTTTTTTGTTAGATATTGATGGGTACCTCAAATCCATTTTCTGCGCTAAATAACCATTCAATATATCGTAAAAAAAGTTGCATATTTTAAACCACTTATAAAGTGAACATATATCGAGAGAAAAAAATGGATTTTTCCATCGAAAGTAACACATTTTTTTTGTTGGTCGATTTTATTTTATAGACTGGGATAACAAATCTATTGTCAAATTATGCATTAGACTAAAGCTTTATGGCTTGTTTCATTGGCACATACATACAAATCTGATAAATGTCGATTGTCATAAACACACCTCGTCAAGCTTAAATCGACATGATTTTTTTCTGTCCGCTTCTCTTATGCAGAAAAATGTGCAAATTTAGATTTTTTTTTTTTTTTCAGAAAAAAACTTGCAGAAGAAAAACGTAGCCAATTCAGCCGAGAAATATGAAAATGAATTTGTTTTTCTCAAATAATCAGTTATTAATTTGTTTATAATATGCTATGTGCTATTAAAAGTATATGTATGTAAATCCCAAGAACATTGTACCCAATCCGGTATTAAAGAAATCAAGAGCGTTGGTCGGTCGTTTGCGCTATTTCAACACATAATAAATCACAACAATAGTTACCAAAGAGGATTATCTCGATAAAACCGGAGCACTTTTCACACATCATAGAACGATTAATATTTTTTTAAAAATAACATACATATATTAACGTTGTGTGGCCGCATTTGCACGAAGGCGTGTGTGACATTGAAATTGTTTCGTCGAAATGAGGAAAAATAGATTTACTCACTGAAAAAACCGAATGCATTCGCGGCATTTTATTTGTTTTCTTCGGTGTGTGTGTGTATGTGTGTTTTTCTTCCTTTCGTCGTTCGGAAAATTATTAAATATGGATTTGAATTTGTTTTTGCTTGAAAATAAAAACGTTTTTGGTGTTGATTTGTGTATGCACGGTGTTTGGCGCATGATTGTTTGACAACCGTCAAAAAAAAAACTGTCATAGATTTGGTGTGACGTTGCATTTGTTTTGCATTTATGAAATGTGCACGCGTCACTAGACATGCACAAACAAGAGCCTGACACACATATCAAAAACAAAAAGCCACCAGCCCATTGTTCCGTTCTCATTCACTCAACATCAGTAATATATTGTTCAATTAATAAAACCAACGGATTTTCCGAAAATGGAAAATTGATTTTCATTGTGACGCACGTCTCGTGTTTGGTATTTATTCAAATGCAATAAAATTTGATGCTTGTTCATTTTAATTGACCGTCTGTCTCATTTTAAGTATTTTGACGTATTTTCTCAGAATGAAAGAAATTACGCAGTTTTGAACGATAAAATTGATATCGAACAATAAGCGTCAAGGATTTTGAATGATTAAGATTAATTTAAGGACGTGTTCAATTCAAAATACGTGTGAATAGCACCTTGTTAAATTTTGATGTTTTAAGTCCGATTTTCAGTTGCGCGTTTCTCTTTTTTTTTTCAAAGACCCTTTTTAACTGCAAACCGACATATGCTATTATCCATTCAATAAAATAAATTGCCAGAAATAAATCCAATCGAAATTCGATCGTTTGTGAATGTGTTGCGTTTGTCAGCGATTTGTTTACGCAAATTAAGTTTTTTGAAAGTGTCATTTCAAGCATAAGGATTGACGGTATTTCTTTTATTTGAACAATCAGCAGTGCAGAGAGAGAGAGAGAGATACAAACACTCAAAACTAACAATTTTTCATATTGACAATGCAGTGAGTTTGCAGGCTGCAAATTGTATTCTCTATAATGTACGAGATGCGATTTAAACTCGAACTCGAACTCAATACACACACATACACACAAATGAAAGGAGCAAATACACACATGGTTTGAGTGCGCGCGAATATATACAAGAGAGAATGGGAAAAAAGGCGTGACCAGATGTTTGAAAACACTTGAAATCCATTCTACGGTCTACTGATCCAGTGTCTATTGCAATATACCTTCAATTTTCCTCACTCTTTATAAAATAATAGTTTAATTGCGTCTATATGTAATACAAATATGTGCAGCATAGAATGACGGCGTTCAAATTGTGAACGAACAAATGAAAAAAAAAATAACAATTTGCTTTTGAAATTAACATAAACTGTAATTTTTCCATTGTCACCGTTTTAGTTCTCTGTGCTTGATCATGTGTGTGAGTGTGTGTAAGCGCACAGTTCAACTTAGATTTGGACCCGAGCATAATACCAAGAATCCGTGCATGTAGATGCGTCGATGAGTGCTGATATCACACTGACATATGCTCTTGAAATATATGTATTTACAATCTGGTACCTTTGTAGCTTCTGTTTTATTGCATGCATTTTTTTATTCGATTCAATTTTTTTCTCGAAATAAAAATGGTTCAGTTCGGTTTTTTGGTTTCGAATTTGGCAACCATTTTTGAATGCGATTAATGAGGAATATACCATTCTGTTGGATGGTATTCGACCCTCAAAAAAACCAATTACCATTTGAAATAATCGACCGATCAATAAAGCGCTCTAAAACATAGAATTTTTTTTTGTTCAACATCAAACGCAATCTAAGCTCATCATAGAAGTTTCTACTATAACTACACAAAGAGAATACCGAAAAATGTTTGATTCTGTTTCCTAATAAATAAAAATATGCGTATCATTTCAATTGGCTTTTGATGTTTTTGCTAAATTTGATACTTTAATGATGTTATTTTTAACATTTTTGATCCGAGAAAGAAACTGAAACCGTTAAATGAGATGAGTGTGTGTGTTGGTTAGCAACCATTGAAATATTTTAACAATCAAAGTGGTTTACTCATACAGCAATGGTCACACATAAATACTGAAATAAAATCGGTGAAATGGATCTATAGCGTTATAGCATTAAATTTGGATGGGCTTCTGCACAATTCCCTTGTTGTTTTTCGTTCGTTAGTAAATTCATAGCCAAAATGTCAAAAGTGCATTTAATTACCTGTGTTGGTGTTAGATGGATGACGCTCGCCAAATGCTCACGTTCCGGTGCTGAAAGGTACTTTTGCTGTTTGAAACGTCTCTCTAATTCATAAACCTATATGAAAAATAAAACGAATAAGATCAAATTAACCAAGTTATTTTAGATGACTGAGTTCAGTTAAGATTTTTGTATTAAATTTTTTTTTTTTTTTTTCGATAACTTTTGTAAATTTGGCCAAAAGTGAATGGGTGTTATTTGCTTTCGAAGTGCTTCTAGTTTTGTTTTCTTTCTTTTTTTTCTTGAACAAAAAATAAGCACAGTTTTTTTCCGAAGATGAATCGTATCATTTCACATTTTTAATATAAATTTATGTGTGTTCACGGAATGTACTGCGTGGACAGTTAAAAAGCTCATTTGAGTTGAGTAACGCGATCGATAAAAGGCCAAAAACAAAAATATATATACAAAATTTCATGAAGAGAAAAAAAAATCTTCACATCATTGTCTTTCAAATGTTGTTTATTTATTCGAGGCCAAAAGAGTGTTTATATATTTGAAATGTATTTGAGATATTTATTTGCTGAACGGCAGTTCAGTTTGCTCCATTCAAAAAGTGTATCTATGCGCGCATCTCTCACTCTTCCGTTGAATGCGCCAAAGAGTGAAAATGTGAGCGAGACGAACGAGATGCTATATACCTTACATTCATTATTTGAACACACGAAATTGGTGAAATGCTATTACAAAATTGCATTTTTGTACAATTGTACTCACAAAATGTGTAATTTTCACTGGTATATAAGCAAATAAATGTAGGTAGAATGAGAGCAGAAGAGAGAAAGAGTGAATTGCGGCGAGGGTAACATGGAGCGCGATATTATTGTTGTTGTAAATGATGGGGATACGGGTCTTATGTTTGACATTTAGTTTGACGTTGGATGTAATTGTGATGGTTTTTAATGTTTTATGTTATCCAAACAACGTGTCCAAATATTTGTCAACGGCAAACATGGAGAGCGCAGAATACGAAATAAAAAAAAATATATAGACTGTACCGTATACATTGTAGAAGCAGCGATCCCGCCTGTGCTACCAATAAATGTTGCAAAGCCAAGCTAAACCAAACCATAGCCAACTGAAGGAGCGTATAAGCGCGTAGAGAGAAAGAGCGAGCGATGGGAGAGTGTGAGTGTTGAATAGAAATGAACAATTTCATTTATAAACATAAAATCATCTACATCTCGCGTCGCACCGCCAAATGAGGAAGCGAACGAACACGAAAGTGTGGAAATGTGCTATGTGCCATTGCGAACCGAGCGAGATTTTCGTATAAGGTATTCGGGATGACGGGATTGGTGGTATTGTGTGCTATGCTCTCTGTCTCTCTCTTCCGTTGAACGAGAAAATGATGAAAACCTATTGCCAGTCAGCATCTTTTCACTTTTTCGCACGCATACACACACACACCGAGCACACAAAGCTATTTTGAAACCATTAAGACCTTTTGGATTAACGAACGTCGCGAAGTGATGTAAATATTTACATTGACTTTCGTGCATGTTTCATGGGCTTCCAATTCCATCAAATATCTACATGGCAAAGCAGACAATTATTGTTTAGATTTACGATGAACGGAGTATGAGTGAATGATGTATCTTTGAATGTGCGATGTATGTGCTAGCTGTCAATGTCTATCTTGATCTCTCGAATTTTTGCAAATAAATCATAATATTTAACTTATGCGTTAAGCACAATGAAGGCAACAAGAAACAGAAGCACCACCCTTTTATTTTAGAAAATAACGTGTACCGCAAATACGATGCAAATTGAAGAGGCATCGGGTGTTTTTCTCTTCATCATCCTATACCGAAAATCCATTGCCAAAAGTTTATTTTATCGAGCAATTTATTGTAAATGGATCAATTGTCAATTTTCTTGTCAAACAAAATGGATGTATTTTTGTTTCTTTTTTCTCATTTATTAATTCAAGCTTATCAGAGTTTAGCAATCGATTCAAATCAAATTTAAACAGATTTGAACAAAAAAATCGACGGGAGGGAAAATCGAGAGAATCATTTTTGGTTGTTTTTTTTTTCTTGATGAAGCAAGCGACTCATTTTTGTTTTTTTTTTGAACATTTACTTGAAATGAAATAAAAACAAATGGAAAGGAAGTAATTTATTGAAATAAACTGGTAAGAATCCGTTGTGTCTTATGCCATTAAAAACGGAAGACAGTACAAAACTATGAAATTGGTTGAAGTTCTTTGCTATCGAAATTGATGCTGGACTTGAATTCATTTCACAAAATGTATTATTTAATTTATTTTCATTAAAAACGCTCAAGCCCCACGTAATATGTTTCGAAACGTTTAACTTTCTAGTCGGCAGAGTGATTTCATCAAACTACAAATAAATCATGCATATATATATTTATGTTTTGTGGCATGCTTGACTTTGCATTCAACGAATTAAAGAAAAGCAACATATTCATTTGTATGAAATTTTATGCTCCGAAACATTGAATTCGAAAACTTGAAAAAACTTGCTGATATGCAACAAACACATGCTCGAAACCAGAAATTGTCAAACACATTTTCATTCTAGGCAAAGTTTTATGCCGCAAACTTTTAATAAGTTAATCATTTCAAATCTGTACTGGAACAACCCGCTTATGATTCATATTAAAGTACTCGAGAGTTAAGTTAATAAAAGAAATTTAAATAAAAATTACGAAATCCAAAAATAGTTGATGTGCACAACAAAAACAAAATGTTCTAAATCAATAGACAGAAAAGACCACTCAATTTGTTCGGAATGCAGTTGAGCTTTCTATGATTTTGTTTAATTGCAATTATAAAATGAAAATATTTAGTACTTTTAGATCCAAAAAAGAACGATAAAACTTCAACCGAGAACCCAAACAACATTTAGAGTTCATGGTTGATTCTTTAGTGGATAACAGTTTCGTGCAAATACTATACTTTTCAAATTACAGTAAATAAAACACCATTATATTGAGATAGCAAAATAGACTTTTTTAATGTCAATCTTTGTACTATGATTTTTGTTTGCACTTTTATGATTATGATTTGACGATTGTATGTTTTTTGATTTTTAGTCGTGTTGCTGATGATGAGCGGTAAACTGCTCGAAATGCATACAAAGATTGACATTAAAAAAGTCTATTTTGCTATCTCAATATAATGGTGTTTTATTTACTGTAATTTGAATTGATCTGAGGTAGCGGTATCATTTCATTAAAAAATTTAACTATACTTTTCATTGAATTTTTTCAAAATTCTACCGTCGGCAAGCAAATATTCAAATGTATAAAGATACAATTCAATCCCTATTGTTTAGTTACCGTTTTGAATTCGAATTTTATTTGTATTTCGACTGGCCGATCTAAATCGATCAATTTATCTCATTTTAAGTTTAGGTAAAGGGTAGAAATGTCCATATTTGAAAAATATCAATGGAATTTGGTAGTATCGAATAACAATATTTGATGTGTAAATTTGTGAAATCAATAAATAATCAGATGAAATTCAAGATGCAATAATTTCGTTGTGTAAATCAAACAAAATAAATATATGCTTTTAAAATAAAACATAAAATGAAGGCAAACATATGCACAGTGCACAGAAGTAAAACGAAAAAAAAGAGAAATAATAAAAGTTCCAGTGAGTGTAAAATAAATAATTGCCTTTCACTGATCAAATAAATGAACTGACGATGGAATTTTCTCCGAAATTCCACCAAAACGAAAAATTTCTCGTTCTCTTCTTCGGCGTATGTTTGGTTTCTTTTTTTCCTTCTACATCTTCAGTTGAGAAGTTCAACAGAAGCCGTCCGGTCAAAACAATTGACTACGGATTACAAGTAGCGATTGTGTAACTTTGCGAAGAATTATACATTTATTTTATTTTTTCGCGATGCACATCTATATATTACAAACACACACAAGGCGTAAAATGTGTGCACAAAAATGAACAATTCATATTAGAGACTAACCTGAGCTTGAGTAAATAGTACACGCCTTTTTCGTCTTTGTGCCAAGGGGAACTGCATTGGTTTTGTATCAGAGACGCTACAAGCAGCCAAACCACCCATATTACTCATATGACCCATAGATCCGCTTGCTGAGCCTCCCATCAATCGCGATACTGGAAAACCGAAAAAAAGAAAAGAATATTCATTTGTTTTAGTAAAATATTTACTACTTATTTCTTTTGGTCGTTGCTGTCGTAATTATGTTGAAAACTGTTTCAAATCGACATAATATTTAGGTACTTATTTAAACCACAATTATATTGTGATATGATAATACCAAGTTTCGCATTTAAAAAAAACGAATATATTTTATTTCAATAAATACCGAATCATTCAAAGAAGGGAATAGAGATGCCGATTTTGTTTTTCAAGCAAATAAGATTAAGCACGTACGTTTCTTTTATATATATGTGACAAATTTATTCCATACATGCTAGTAAATGCGATCGGAATATATTTGTAAACTGAAATCTCAATTTTAAATCTAAGATTCAGTGCCATAGATTGTTTTCACCATTTTTTTCAATAACGACATAAATGTACAAAAAAGAAAACAAAGAACTACATCGATTTGATTCAGACGGGGTTTAGTGAGATTTAAATGCGGAAGACCGGAGCTCTTTACAAACAATCGCATTCAACGCGTAAACACTATTATTTAAGCAAATAATATTTTATGTGAATTATATAAAATCGTAACTCACATACTGGTCCATTTTACAAGAGAATTTCACAATGTTATTTTGCATATTTGAACAATTTTTTTTTATCATCCCAAAAACTTATACAAGCTCCAGTTGACTGTGAATTTACGTTGGATCGTCAATTTTTACGATTCAAATGAAACATACAAGATCATAAATCGAATGCAAAATTTGAAGTAGTTCTCACATAGTAGCAACGTAAACGCTTTTCACCAGAATCTGAAAATTTATCCATTTTTTCCAATAAAATTCAGATCCACGTTTCATATTTTCTGAGAATTAGTTTCCGTCAATCATATCTACCAACGTCCATAGAATTTATAGTATATTGAAGAATTTGCGAAGTACCACTGTTGTGAATTATACTAAATGAAATTGGCAACAAACTTATAATTTGATTTGTGTAGTGAAAATAAACGGAATGGTTTTTACACATCGAAGAAGATCTGTTTTCGTTCCAGTGTGCATCATCGCTATTGAACCGACACATTGATGGATAATCGAAAGAATGAAAAAGCAAATATTTACATATGTTCAGGTCCGGCAATACCCCGCTTCTGTTATTCCAAGAATTTTCTATCTTGTCAAAATCACCATTTCCATTTTTTATTCCTTTTATTCTTTTTTATCCAGAATAAAAATATATAAAATTAGTTTTTTTCTATTCACTTTCTATTTGCTTATGACTTTAAGAGATAGAGTGTGAAAGAGTGAGTGGGAAAGAGTGAGTAGGAAAGAGAGTGCATTTCAAATGCGAGGCGAACGCAAAAGTCGTGCCTAGACAAAGACCATTGCGCACAGAGATCGTCTGCCTCTAACCCACGTCTTTACCACATTATAGCAATCAGGAAAAAAAGAAAACAATAAATATCTTTGCCACATAAATACATCTATTTTCAATAAGCTTGGTAGCAAAGACTTTTCCTCTTTTACTCTTTCTAAAATAAATACGGTGTGTATGCAAGTTGTTATTTCAGGCTTCGCATCTCTTTCTCTATCTTTTGTCTTGATTCGGGTACATCGCACATTTTTTTTTTTTGATTTTCTATATACCACATCCTATTCTTTTCAACATATTAGCTTTTTTTATTATTTTTATTTTCATTTCAATATTGTTATTTTTATCCTGAATAATTTTTTTTTAGGTAGATTGGACAGCGTTTCAAATATTTGATGGATTTTGTATGTGCGTGTGTGGGTCCATATGTGGATGTGATACAGCACTTTATTCGTGCAGAAAATGAAATAAAATACGATTGGAAATAACAGAGAAAAAAAGGTTTAAGAAGTTTTTTTTAAATAGTTTTGAATCATTGTTTATTTTTCAGATTCCATTCACAAAAGAGAATGGATTTTCTCACTACTTGGTCAGCTAAGCGTATGATGCATGTATGTGATAGTTAAAAATTGTATATATTTATATTTTTTTTAAAATACGATTGATTCAACTGTAAGAGTTTTGTAATTGTTCGCATCACGCAAATGGTAATTGGAATCGAAGTCAATTGAATCGATTTCGCAACATTTTGAACGAGGTGAAGTGAACCCACATTTTTGTTTGTTTGTTTTAGTACACGGCACGTAGTTGAATAGTAAAAAAAATTAATCTTCAATTTTCACGTCCAATGTTATGATCCATAATTTATGGATATAGTTTTGAATCGACAAAAATTCGTTTCGGTCATTATAAAATTTTCTAATGAATCAAAAAATATTTTCAAAATTTGATTAACAAATCGTGGAAATCCGTAGCAAAATATTCTTTATTTCTCCGAATTTAGTTAATTCAAAAATTTAATGACTGAAATCACAATGGACATATGAATAACTTAACTTAAATACGGTCACTTGCCATTGCAAGTGCGATGCAATGCGAATAATGAAATGAAAAAATACCAAGGATTTGTAACAGAGTATGTGATTTGTATGAAAATCACCAAAAGAAAATCATCGAAAGAGACTGAAACAAATTGACTTTAGTTTAACGATTATCCGATGTAATGTAATACCATCCGAACACTCACACACACTTCACTTAACACTAATATCATTTTGACAATATAATATGTTTCCAGAAATGCTCGATTTACGGCAAACATTGCACCCACAAATTTGACACCAAATCACAGAACAATAAAAAAAGAGACCGAAATAAAGTGAAGAAAAATCAGGCTAATATATTTACACTTTAAGCATCGTACAATGACACGCACAAGTGTCTTAAATGTAGTTCCGTCTGTCTTCAAAACATTGTAAGAAAAAAAAAAGAGAAATCGAAGTTATTGGCCTGCTAAATACGGCCAAATATAACACACAAAGAGATAAAGTATTAAATGATCCAAATCTGTAACCGGATATGTTTTTGCTTAGCTCTATTTAAATATCTTTTGGAATGCGTTACGTTGTGCGTGCGATTTTCAGCATTCATGACGATGGAGTTTATAATGATGCGGAACGGGATATTAAAATGATGAGCGAATCGATAAGCAGTATTATATCGAAACATTATTGATACATAAAGGCTCATGAAATAGAAATAAATCATTTTAGCGCATTTTATCCACAGACACGCACGAATCAATTTGAAAGTGTTCGAAAAATGGATATTGGAACAAACTAATAACATCTATGCCGACATTTAAAGGAATCATATCAAATTACAAACCATTTTCTTAAGGCAATCAAGTACTTTAAGGATTCAGTTCTGGGCCTACCAACTTTCGATTTGAACGAGCAAACAATGCAAACACATAGAGAGAGAGAGAGATAAAAAAAGACACCCGAACATGCTTGCGGCGTGTGTCATGTGGTTGTTTTGTGTCTTTTGGTTTGTGTTTTTTTCATCTCTCGAATCGCATAATTTCGTGAGATTTGAAAACTGAGTGTGATTTCACATAAATCACATATAAACGGTTTTCTGTTGATGGTTGCGTGCGCGCAGTTGTCAAATATTTGATTTTTCTCGGTTTCACTAATTACGGTCGCATATATTTCGGTTAGATTTGAAGTCAATTTCATTGAGTCTGAGATTGAATATTCCAAGTGGGTTGTGGTATTTTCAGAACCGAAATCGTCAGCTTCAAAATTGACGAAAATGAAAATGAGCGGCATTGCAATCAGAATTGCATTTGGTAAAGAAAAAAAAATGTTCTTTTGAACAGAAATGTGTTTGGGTCTTTTTTTTTGCGCAATGTGAAGGCAATGTCCATGATTCTATTTTGATATGTACATTTCAATATCAAGCAGTTGATTTGGGCATGTACAAGTGAATTTACTATAAAATATATGCAAAGAATAACAAACGTTGACAACAACGACGATGACGACGACAACAACGACGCTTTTCAGCATTTATTTACCTACTTTAAAAATATAACAGAAAAGCCTAATGGTATTTATTTACTTACTAAACACTTATCATGCCTATGCCCGTGTATATGACCATGTGTGTGTGTATGTATATGCGGAATTCAAGGCGATTCGCTCCCGTCAGCTAAACATTCAAATAGCGCTTTTTTTCTCTTTCTTTCACAGTCAAAGTTTGCTTTCTACCAAATATATTCCTAGTATAAATATGCTTCTATTTGATATTATATACATATATGTGTGTTACATGCGACGCGCTGTCCTTATTCTGGTACTTATTCACTGCACATGAACTGTTCATTCTGTCTGTCATTTTGTTGTTTAAACAACGCCGACATTTTTTTTCTCTTATTATTTTTGCATCATTCATGCGATGTGTGTGTGTATTTTTTGCTCTCTATCGCCTGGTCTTTACATATATTGGACTTTTTATTTAGTGAATTCTCTTAATTTTTTTTTCTCTCCATTTCGTTATTACTGGCACATCTATGAGAATCTCATTTGTAATTAATATTTACTTTCCATTATACAAATTCGTACTTTTCATTTCACCCACTTTAATTACGGTAACACAAAATAAATGTTTTTGTTCGTCATACAAAAATGAAAAGCAAGAAGGCCATATAACAACAACGACTAAAAAACAACGAACAAGAAATTAGCATTTTTGTGTAATAATATGGACGAGCAGTACTTGAGCAAAGCGAAACTAAATGGGATAAGAATACAGAAGTTTGATTTGATACGAACAACAACAAAACCATTAACACAAAGAAGAAAAAAACACACTGTAATCATTTTGTCCCACATCAAATCGCCAATATTTTTACTATCATACTTTTATTCAGATAAAATCAACATCTACTCAATGGTCTGGCGCCTCAAATCGGCTAAAATTAATTAAAATTTGAAAAAAAAAAAATGAGGCGATTTCTTCCTTTTTCAACATCGACAAAAATTAAGTTCAGTGAATACATAAAATGATGACGCAAAAACACTCCTCGCCCCCATAATGGGCGAATGCCATTCTTATTTTGATTGGGACGCGTTGAAATAGAAACAATACATTTTAAATATTCATCACATTCTTGGTATTGAGCATTTTATCATGCTCAGCATCTACCACACATTCTTATCTATTGTTAGTCTTATTACTACTTCATTTTCGAAATGTTATGTATTGTGTTTGCATTCAAATGACATCGTACCAAAATACATTTGTGACAAGAATTCAATTACATCTAAATTTGTCCACTTCGCTCTTTCTCACTCCCTTAAAAAATTTATTATCCATTTTATTACTGTTTATCCGGCCAATCATCATGCAAAAGAATAAATCGGAAAAACATCGCACACCCTTTTCTTCTTTCGATCCAACGCATTTCGAAAATTTCATTCGTGGGCTTGTATGTTATGTGGTTTTAGTGTGACTTTATTATGTGTGACAACGGTTTATTCGAAATGCATTTAAATCAATTCTTGAAATAAACGAGCAACCAACGAACAATCATTTCACCCAACAGCATAATGTTAACGATAGCGAACAATGTTAGCGATGTGAATAAACGATCAACAACCCTCATTTCCAACATCCCACAATGCTTCATGTACATACATTTATATTCCGACGCAATTTCGGGCGAAACATATCTCTAAGCCAAAAACATCGATCTCTCGATAAAAATCAAAGCGTTTCGCCTTTTGGGCTGCTGTTGTTGTTGACGACAACACCAACACTGAATAATGAACATTTGATGTAAAAACGTGCACAGCACAAAAAACAAACCAACAACAAAACATAACAAGAGCAATGGAAACACACCAGAAATCTTAGATATTCGTACAGGATATCTATACAATGGATGATAGAGCCACCACTCGGATATAATAAATTCGATTTTCCACATTTTGTGCTAGAGCTCAATTGTATTGACTTGAGAAACTCAATGGAATCGAAATGCGTAAACATAATATTATTTCAACGCATCACTTGCGCGTTAAATTCCCCCTGTCAATTTTCTACTCGCTTGCAACTAAATACACATCTAAATGCTCCATCTGTTTTACCACACATTATACACCTAATTTGATGGTAAACAGTTTTTCGTTTTGGAATAGAAATGAACCAGTATTTGGGAAAAATTTCCCGATTTTTGTTTTTTTCACATTTCTGTTCAATTTGACACAATTTATTAGTATACGAAATAAAATGAGAGTGACTTATTTAATATTTAGATGTATTTTTTTATAAAAGATACTCACTTGCAAATCGTGGATCGTTTGCTGTCGATCCATACCATCCAGCCGCCGAACTGCGCATATCTGTATAATGACCGGCTAACGATAAATTATCGGATGGTCCACAGTAGCTTTGAACACCCGGACTGTGATAAAGTGGAGTCATTGCATATGGATTTGCCATACTGGAACTGTTTCCTAAAGCACTTGGCGAATTTACACTACTACCACTTGAATTTGATCTATATGAGAACACGCATCGGGGAAAGAAAAATCAATTTAGACATTTTATTTGTGGCGCCAACAATCAAACATTCACTTTTCATAGTATGATCAATGCTTGGAACTGAAACAGTAGCTGAATTTTTGAAAAATGTATGTCACCAATTTTAAGTGATTTTCTTCATAACGGTGTTCGACTATTCTACCGTCGCTGTTTCTAGTTCCAAAGTCGATCGAATGTGTATTCGAGCAAAATGTTTGCAAACAATACACATGGCACAGCGCACAGACACACGCACACACATAAACAGACTCTCTCCAAATAAAAAAAAAGATATTAAACACAAAAGAAAAACTTACTCAAAATGAACGAACCTGTAAGGCGACGGCGGATTCGTGCTACTTAATTCCAATTTGCGGTATGATTCTTCAATTGGACTGAGTATGTCGGTGACGCTGAATGGCGTCGAATGGTTATGCAATGAGTTTTGTTGCTGTAGACTTTGTAAGTGTTGTAAACTAGCTAAATTATGACTGTTCGATGATTTTGGCGATAAGCTCATAACGAAATCAACGCCATTTAAATCTTGAAGAAGATTATGCTCCTGAGGATCCTCCGTAAAGGTTCCAGAATTGATTGCCAGTATAGTTGACATGCGTTACTTTCTCAACTCAAAATGACCGTTAAGTTTTGTTTTTATGTTATGTACGTTATGCGAGAGTGCTTTGCTAGCAACTTTGATTGCCAATTATAATTCTATGCATATGTGTGTGTTTGTTTATTTCTTTATATATTTTTTTCGTTTTCTTGCAAACAATCTTTCAATTTTTTTACTTCGTTTAATTTTTCCTTCAAGTTCTTCGATCATATACACAATCACTCAGACTCAATTATAGTCATTGTTTTTTTTTATTTTATCATAAATCAATGCGATCAATGCGCACTAATATTTTTTTTATGTGGTCTTTGGTTCTTTCTTTCTTTTTTTTTTAAATCGTGGTTTGCAACAAAATTGTGGTTGTTTAGATAACATGAATTGCTGAAACTTTGCACTTGAAAAAATGTGTGCACCATTTAATTCAATTCATTTTGTTGATTTGAAAGAGAAATGGTATATTTGATTTTTGATTGCAACAATTCGATGTTTTGTCATAAACGGAAGATTTAATTTTTCATACACAAAACAATGAACTGATTTTCATATTAAAAATTTGAACACACTTAACAGAGTTTAACACCAGAGTGGCTGATTTATTTTAGGCCAGCTTCATAAATTGTTTGACGTTGTTATTGCTGTTTTTTTTCTTTCTTTCATCTTTTCTATCCGCGATTACTGGCCATAATTTTTCGTGCACAAAAATCACTAAAATTAATTTGTTCAGGTCACATTGAAAATGAGATATATGATGGTTTTGATTTAATACACGTGATAAAAGAAACGAAACGAAAAAAAGTTTGTTTTCAGCTTGAAAAGTTTGATTCGATGCGATCGCCAGAGCTTTGTTCAGTATCTGATCATTTACGTGTGTACAATATTGTTGGTTTGCAGCTCTTTCTTTCGAAATTTCTTTCGATAAGCATCCGTTTTTCTTTTTTAATAAATATTTTTTTGTTTTATTTATCTTTATTATTTAATAAAAAATGGTATGGATTTTGATGAACGGATTTTTTTTAGAAAGTAAATAAATGGTACACACTGTTCCAGTGATAGAACAAATTAATAATAATAAAATTCAACACCTTTTTGGCCACGATAACCACTCGACACGAATTCATAAAATGAAATAAGAGGTTCTATGACACTGTACAACAAACTACCGAGTGCTTCTCAAATGATTTCTGATAGTCCTCCAGACTTGTATAACCTACCCTTACTGTTTTTGAATATGTAATATTCCCATACGTGCGCACATTCGCACAATCACAGTACACATACAATCTCGATTTACAGTCGTACATCAACAGCACGGGGCCGCTTTGTTTGGCTCTCTCCATCTCTGTGTGTGTGCATTGTGCAGATGTATGCGTTCCGTTTTAACAGAGAGCGTACGAAGGCAAGATGAAATAAAAAAAAATAAAACCCATCATCACACAAATAAAAAAAAAACACACACACACAACAACCGAGAGAGCGAAAGAGAGAGAGAGAGATTTGCCTGCAATCATATGTAACTTTGTGTAAAATGTTGCTTCGAAAGGCGTACACTCCCTTCGTCGGCCACAACCTTTTAGCTGTGCCACCATTTCGTATTGCCGAAAAGAGATCATGCCGCATGCACGGCATCACTCTATCTTTGTACCAATATAAAACGGAAGAAAGCGAATGCAACAACAATAGAAGCAGCAACGATGACGACAGCCACCACGACCAATAACAACAACAACAATGCATGACAAGAGAAAGAGAAAAAAATACAACAACACACATAGAACAAGGTCTCAAAGCAATTCGAGCGTTTGAGCATCCGAGACCAGCCAACTCTCACACAACTGTGCATTCAACACCAACAACACCAACAACAATTGTGAACTGTGCTCGGGGAAACGGTTTTTTTTTTCTTTTGAAACTATATTGGCGTTTCGAATGCGAGACTGATTGGATTATAAGTACACTTACATAGAAGATGGGCGGAGCATACGATTATGCTATCCAACCAGAAGCAAACATTCAAAAGCAAAGTGGTGGATTGGTTTTTTATTATGTATTTCGATACCCGAACCGATTTTACGTGCACAATTTTATTTTGATTATTGTTTTTGTTGCTCCTACTATTGGTGGCTGGCACATTTTTGGGTTTTTTTCTCTTCTCGACTGATTTCTTCTTATTTTTTTTTTACACAATTCTCAGAGATCAGTCGTACACGACACTAGCGTTTTTGTTTATTTACGATTTTTAATGTATTTTGTGGACACATACTGGAATGCCATCCTAATTGTAAGACAGACTCTTACCGTCTTCTTCTTTTTCTTTGTCAGTAGCGACTGCTGATGCTACTACTACTAATGCTTTTTCAAAAATTCAATGCAGGTATTTAGCTGTTGTGGATGTGCGTATTTTCTCTTTCTCTATTTTACCGTCTGATTCTGTCTCAATCAATATACATTTTACATCGATATATAGCGTGTATACAATATGATGATGATGCAGGGAGATTTTGCATTTTTTACGCTTCATAATAATCGGGATATTTTGTTGAAGTTATATCGCACCGAAATAGAGACAGCCAGGGCAGGAGTGCAAGAGAGAGAGAGAGAGGAAGAAAAGAGTTTTTCTATTCATGACACGATCATTTCCATCCACATACACAAATAATGAAATTCACAAATCGATCACTTTGAATTGCAACATTTTATACGATTCCCATTCTATTTGATGCTTTTGTTCTCTTCAGTTTATTTATTTACATTTTTCTCTGTCTCTGTCATTTCCCCTTTCCATCTCTTTCTCTCTGTCTGTCGAATACAAACTCATTTTCAATGACTATTTCATCTATTTCCAATATGAAAACGATTCCCGTTTTTAATACGATTTACAATTTTATTTAATTCCTTTTATTCGAATTTTGTTGTCCTTCTGCTCTCTCTCCTCTTGACTGAATTTTTTTATTTATTGCTTGTCGTTACCACGCGATTGCATAATATCTTTTTTCTCTTTCTGTCTCGGGTGTTAAAATGAGGATAACATCAATATTTTGATTACTTTCATCATTGATCAATTACAATTTGGAGTTTACAGTAAACTTATAGATTACTCAATACAACATTGTTCACACTTCTTCACAGGATCCATTCTTCGAAAATTCGTTTGAATTTATTTGACGAGATAAAGTGATTATGTCGATTATCAAACATTTTTAAATATTGTTTTCAATTGTGTGCAGCACAAAAACATGATCCTGTGTATTCAATTTGATGAAATTTGATTTCAATGTTTTGTTTGCGCCAAAAATGAATTTAAACAAAAAAATCGAATTATTGGCGTTTGGGCAGAGTCGATAGACAAAGAAAAGGTGTAAAAAGTAGATAAAATTAGCCTGTGTTACTTCCGTGTTATAGATTAATGAATATCGGCATATTGTTTTTTTTTTTTGTTTCGCTTCATAAGTGCAGCACTGTGAACAATTGAACATCATATTCATTATAGAAATTTTCTATACAATAAAGTTATCTCGGTGAAAAGGGCAAAAAAATAGTATAGACCGCCAAGACAAGAGCCCAAAATGTTAGCCAATTATGAGAAAACCTAATGAATTCTATTCGAATTTAATAATGTTAATTTGAATTGAATGTCATATTCATTCCAGTTGTTATTTTTTTCTTGTCCCAAGTTCATTATGAATTTTTCAAATGTTAGGTCATAACGAAGTCTCTTTTTGTGTATGTGGCCAAATAATTTGTGTTATTTACGTTGCGCGTATATTGTCTTATGAACACACATAAAATAAATGGGCACTTGGTGTGTTGCGGTTCTCAAAATGAGATTAAATAAAAATCGACCAGGCTATTCTATTTGTGCGTCCAATAGGTGTCACTTGAGAATGCTCGAATGCGGTCAAAGAGTTTTAAGTGGTCGCATAAGACCTCTTGACAACATACTACTACGTTTCAATACTTTGAAATTGGAGGCGATAACATTTTAGTAGTTGCTAGTTGCATCTCGGTAGTTTTGCGCAGTGGATTTTATTGGTTTGACGTACAAGTTTTCGACCAGGAAGAAAAAATCACACACACGCACACATTTTTGCCAAAAACAACAACAACAGACATACAAGGAAAGATAGAGGGAGAGAATCCGTCATAAAACCGTTTTCAATGTCAGAATGCCAAACCATTTGAAAGAAAGAACAACTTTCTTTCACCGAAGAATATCAATTCATAGTTTTGTTTTTCAACCAACATCAATTGCATTCCTCAATTTAAAGTTGTCCTTTACTGCATTCGATTTTAAGATATCTGCAAGCTACGAAAGAGAAAGAATGAAAAAAGGAGACGGATGAAATAGCAATAAAAAAATCAACACATTCATCACCTTTATCATTATTATCATCAATTTTGCAACACATTTTGAACTCAACGATATTTTCAATCGATAATTTTCGTTTTTCTTTACTTTTTATTAATATAAACGTTCTTCGACCTGATGCATATTGAGTGTGAATTTTACGATGAAAGAAATCGAAATGTTATGTCAGTTATTGCATAAATAAATTGCGCTTTCCGAGATATTTGAGCGTATAAATAAAAAAAAATCCTCGAAACTGTGAGAGAGAAAATGGACGCATTTTAATTACCGTAAATCCGATTAAAATACTCAAACGTGATTCGATTATATTGAAAATGAACGCTTAATACACGTAAAATACAGAAAATGTGAACTATGTTCCCTCTCACCGTACAAATTGATTGAAAATTTGTTTGCAATCCATATTGCTGGTATTTATTGAAAATAAAGTTGAAAATTGGCAACAGCAGCAACAGTAACAACAATAAAAAAAAATTGAATCAACAACAAAGAGTCGAAATTCGAATTTTATTGAACATTATTGAAATTGTTTGTCAATTAAGAACAGATTTTGTTACAATCAAAAAGTGAATACAAAAGCACTAAATGAAATTTATTGTTTGTATTACCATTTCACCAATAATATCGTAAATTAATCAAATTATGGTACTTATGAAATTTTCTGGTATAACGACTGATGATACATAGTAGAATATCATCAGTAAGCAATGTTTACCACAGCATTGATCTTGTGTGCATTAAGAATATGAATTTTCTATTGCCGAATGGGTTAGGGCATCGTAGCGTCGTTGTTCTCATCGTCGTCGCCACCACCATCACCACTGTTGTCGTCGTCGTCGTTGTCATTTGAGAATATATAATATGTCAGTTGAATGATGAATGGCTAAAACGGACGTTATGAATTCATAAAGTGTATATATATACTTTTGAACGGGTTAGGATCGTTTGCCGCAGGCATAAACACTTCCATGTTTATTTATTGCATGTCAGAGATTATGCGAATTTATATGTTATCACATCTCAACTAACAGCACTCTATCATATGACCCCTTTGAATCATTTATTATGTAATCCTTCAAGATTCTAGCATCTAATAAAAGTCCAATAAATAATTAAATTGTGGGTAAACAATTCGTAAATGTATAATAATAAATAATAACAATTTTTCCGGTGTATTATTATTATGGCGGGGCGAGATAGTTATTTCAATGCATGCGATTGAAAGTAATGTTTGATTTGAGAAAATTGGGATGTGTGTGTGTGGGGGGAGCTAGCCAATTCAATTTAATCAGATCATTTCTAATGGAATCAATACCATTCAAACAAAACGATGTAACGACTTTGGCACAATGTTTAACATTACAAATGTAAAATCTTATGTTTATTATGCATTGGCCGAGATGTGCTAGAGATCATCATCATCTACAATTTACCATTCAATTTTCAAGAAATAATTACATTTAAATCGAATTCAAATACAAGTATAATGCACTTATGTTGGGTTCACTGAATTCAAATGCATGGGGCATAACAAAATGTTCGGTCGGCAAAAGGCAGAGAATGTGAATGCCATGAATGATTCGAATAGAAAATAGATGTTGTTTTTAACCGATTATTATGTCATTATCCATTTCTTTGACAAATTCTTGATTCATCATTCTGTTTGTCTTTTGCTACTATATATATCACAATCATGATGTTTATCTTCTCGTTTAATAGATTTTACCTTTGCATTTTGAAGATTCCGTGTCCTCAATTTTGTTTTGTTTCTCTTTTTCTTTCGTTCGTTTTTTTTCTATTCTTTTTTTAAGATTGAGGTGATAATAATGTTTTGCAGCCGATTTTGTGCTGGTCATATTATAATGGTCTTTAAGAGTATATTTGGCAAAGTTTGTTTTAGTTTTACAATCGATCTATCGCAAATTACGTCACTGTCAAATTGCTGATGAATCTCACTTTTTTACGATTTCTTTTTGTCGCTTGGGCTCAAAAGCAATTTTCATGCTTTTGTTCAAAATGTTTCACTTTCACTCTCTTGTGTGCGTGAGAGAGAGAGATAGAGAAGTCGTATGAAAATAAATAAACCGACAATAATACAATGTTAATTACGCCATTCACCTATTGCATTGTTCTATAATATCAGCTACAGTAACCATGCATTATCTCTAAGCATGAAAATAACCACTCATTACAGATTATACAGTTTGAGTGCGACTGTGAATGTGCGTATATGCGTAGATTTTGTGAGTGGCTGGCAAAACGGGTGTATTTGATACGCATTTGCGACGTACAAATTATTTCAATCGCATACCTTTTTCTATGCGACCTCATCTACTATCCGTCGTACATTCACTTTTTGTTCGGATCATGCTCCAATTTCTATGTCGTTCAGTCATTATGTACATTTATATATATATACGGTAATCAGGCATCGTATCAAAAGGGACAACAGATTTTTTTTTTCGCATCAAATACGCTTATTTATTGAATGATTTTTGTTTTATCGACTAGAAAAATGACGGTGAGTTCCGCTTGGCAACCAATTAATATTCTAATAGAATATTTGCTTGAAAAAAACCGGACAGTTGATCTTGGAAATATATACCTATGACTAAAAATCAATTAGAATAATCCTTAAGGAGCAATATTGATATTTTTGGTATAGACATTTTTGAACATTTTTTTTTGTGTTCTCCTCGAATAATAAATTGAGATAATTTGAAAAATTAAATTTGTCCTCTGTCGTTAATGTATTTATTTGGATTCCAAAACAGCTACTATTTTTTTGATAACCTTCGAAAAAACAGTTGTCTTTGATCAAGTGAAACTCGTTTATTGAACAAACTTTTCATAGAAATTAGATCCATTTCAGATTTATATTTGTATTTACTTAATTTGCGGACTTTTTTATTCTAAGCCTCATAAGGATAAATACACAACATAAAAAAAATTAAAACTGAATTCGAATGATGAAGAACTTTTAAGAGAATTCTAGCGAAAAGATATGTATTTTTATTCATATTTCATAGAATCGCTTATTTCACAAAAAATACCATTATTATGATGAGCTTTATTCATAAGAATTAGCAATAAGTGGTCATTTTACAACGGTAAAATTTCATCAAATATGTAATTAAGGTATTTAAGAAGAATTTTTCGAAAATGATTGTTTCTTATATGTGAACGAACCTCAATAGAGTGTCCGAAAGTGTCATTCGGGCTTTGCTGCTCGCAATTTTTTTTGTTAATAGGGATTCGCTGTGTCAAATGTCAGTGGTTCGTTCAATGGGACAATTTTTATTGACATTTGGTTTCTGTGTTATGTTGAGAAAAAAAGGTTCATCGGCATGGCACTAAGACTTTTATGTGGTACAGCCCGAAATTGGACAAATTATGCCATATCCGGTGGCCTGTCCAGGCAGCCCGCATATAGAAACACCTTTACACATTTTCTGAACTACCAATCAACACCAATTGCAGATTCCGTTCGATCGGTCAGCTTTCTGAACAAAAGTAAATGAATGGCTTTGAATAAACATAACCTACATTAGTTGGTTGGACTGGTAAAAATTGAATTTGCATAATTTTATCTAAAAAATTTATTTTCTCGTGACAGTCACTGGTGCTGATTTATGGAAGACTTGTACGACAGTAAGTAATGCCGGTAAAAAACGTGGTCGTGCCCGTTTGGTTGGAAAAGGTCGTACAAAAGATCTTAACCGTGGTCAGATTATTGGTCAAGGAAGGAAAAATGTAGTTTTGCCTGGTTTAAATACGATGGTTAAGCGAGGAAATGAAATTTTGACTGCAGAACGTGGAGTAGATGATCCAAGCTGGTGAGTTGCAGTGTTAATTTAAATGATTTGCTTTGCCGTCATATCAAATGGAATCCATTGATAAAATTGTTTAATTTGCATTTTGTGTAGGACTGAAAAATTGTATAATGTTCGTGATTCGAATCGATCACGGAGAAAAACGCATATTAATCCCATGGAGCGTGGTTATTCAGGAACAAAATTGGCCGGTCGTTCTATTGGTCCACCCGATTGGCCAACAAACACGTTCACATTTGATGGTTTCGATTCACGTGCTCTTGAAAATAAAATCGTTGTCCATATGACTAAACGTTTTGGAAGACATCGTACACATTCGGTATTTGTTGCAACCGGAAATGGACAGGGTGTTTGTGGTATTTCTCTCGGAAAAGCATCGGATCCAAAATCAGCCATTCGAGTTGGCAAAACTCGTGCATCGAAAAAATTAATGCATTTCCATTTATGCGATAATCGCACCGTTTATCACGATTTCTTTGCACAATTTGGTTATACAAAAATCTATGGATATAAGATGCCCGAAGGTTATGGCTTGCGACAAAATCATCGTGTTATTAAAACATTGTGTCAATTGATTGGCATTAAAGATTTGCGAACAAAAGTCGAAGGTGCCAAACATCCACAAACCATTACCAAAGCATTTTTGTTGGGATTATTACAACAAAAAACATACCAACAATTAGCCGAAGAGAAAAAATTGTTTGTCGTTGAATTTGATCCAAGGCGTCAGTATTTTCCGCAAATTGTTGGTAAACCATTATCGTACTGTCGAAAACTTAACGAAATACCAGCCGAAGAAAATCGAGACTTTAAACAATACGTTTTGAATGGAAAAGTTATTAAAAAACAAGAACCACGAAAGAATCCATGGCAAAATTTGCCATCATATGAACGATATTTGAAGAAGCACGAAAAACGACGATCATGGCCGGCAATCAAATTTTATCTCAGAGTCAGATATGGAAAATTAAGAAGTTTCTTAACGGATAAATATCCAGAAGCTACTAATATTGATCAAGACGAGTACTAAATATGCGCCTATATTTTTTTTGTTTTAAAAATTCCCTTTGCTGTATTTCTTTGTAGATAATAATGATTAAAGATGATTATTAACAAAAAACAAAACAAAAATTGTTCAAAGTGTTTTCGTGTATAAGTGTGTGTATGTGTGGGTGTGTGTGTATATATATTTTCGCATTTATTTCGTATTTTAAATGCATTAACCGTTGTATATCGGTATAATTAGTGCACGGCGGCAATGTATACGAGAATGTATTTAAGAACAAAAACAAAATACGTTATGACATAGAAAAAATACGTATTGTATTGCTATCTCAGGTAAACGGTCGTACTGTATACGACATAGAATAACATTTGACAGCATTCAGTAATTCAATTCGTCGTTGTTTGGTGTCTCCACTTGAACATATACACATTGTGTGTATTATTTTGCCATTTAATCACACACAGTCGTGTGTAGTGTGTCGTAAATAAACACAACAAAGAAATTCATACCAAACCATACTTCGGGATAGATTTGATAGTCGACAAAAAGAAAAACAGAAGAACATTTATATTTATTTTTGTGTGTTTTATTGTGATTGGTGTTTAAATGCAGTGTTCATTGGTTGCATTCGAACGAAGCAATTGTGTTGTAATTTTTTTTATTTTAGACTGAATTTATTGAAACACGCAAATAACATGAGGCAAACTGTAAAGAAACACATAAATTAGAGTGTGTGGAAAGAAGCAAAACACGAGTGATCTTTGTTCGGTGATGAACAAAGCACGAAATCATAAATACTACAAACGACCGACAAGCGACTGTACACCAAAATATGCATCATAAGTTCTAGTGATTTGTTTTTTTTTCTATTTTTCCTTTTTGAAAACCAAAAAAGCAAATTGACGCATCGCATTGCAGCAGCAACAGCAACAACAACAAAAATAAGAACATCGTAAAAAAAAGGGTTTCCGTTTTTTGATCTTCGATCCACACAAATTAAATTGTTGAACCAAAAGAAGAAATTTTTTCTATGCATTTTAATGTCGAAAATTTCGCACATTACGTCAGTAGGATAATCGAAATAATTGAAAAGAATCAAACGAGCTACCGATTTCAAAAAATTGAGAGCGAAATCAATCTTTTTCCAAATAAATTACAAACAAACCAACAATGACGTTTTGGTTTGCTCCGTTCACGGATTTAGTTAAAAAGAAAGTATGCAGATATTTATTACATCGATATCTCGGATCATTTATCCACGAGAAAATCAGCTTGGACCAGTTAAATGTGGATTTTTACAATGGTAAAGGAACCATATCGAACATTGTATTGGATCCTGAGGTATGTAACCGAAATTCAACTTCAATGGAGTTGAAGAATTTTTGTTTCTGTTATAAAAACGTGTTGAGGTTGAGCATAAGATACAGTGTGCTTATCCAATCGTCGTCTATTCCGTTCCGTATCGTTCGGTGTGGGGAAAATATATTCGCAAGCAAATATATTCAAAGTTTTAACAAGTTGGTTCAATGACAAGCCACACAAATCGGTAGGCAAAGCAATCGTCAAACTATTATGAGCAAGAGTCAAAGGCATTCATTTTTTTTAAATTTAATACGCAAAAAGACATTTCATCGCAAATATAAATACATGGGACAGTTGAAATAACAACAGACAAGATTTTCGAGAAAAAAAACATCAATTGCGTTCTCTGTGATTGTATGTATTCAAATAATCAAATCATTTTGGCTCTCGTGCTGTGTATACTAATTTTTCTCTATATTTTCGATTTTATTTATCGTTTAAAATGCTAAACATCTCATTTGGATCAACGACCATAATGGTTCGTTCATCTGACGAAACAAAATGAAAACTATTTGACGAAGAGGGAAAAAAAGAGCACCATTTTTTTTTTGTTTGGCCTACGTTAGTCAGATGTATGTTCGTCAACATTATTTTTTTATTGTCGTTTTAACAAACGCGTTTACGTTTGTTTCACACATAAAAATCGTAGTATTCTGTTAAATGCGTATTTAAGCACATGACCGTGATAGTACAGTCTGAACGGAGTATCCGATGTTTTCATATTCTTCCGTGTACCATATACAATGGCGTGCATGTATGTGTGTATTTGACATTGTATGTCGCATACATATAAACGGCAACATATGTATTTGTTTATGTTTTGCCATATGTTTTATTTTGGATTTTGTATTACTTCTACTTCTTCTGCGATTTCTTTGTGTTATTCTCAGCACGAATGTAACGAACGATGAATGGGAGATTTGAAATGTTGAAATATGCATGCACGAAAAAAATAAATGTACGGGACTAAATGCAAAAAGTAAAAATTAAAAAAAAAAAATTATATTACCCAAAGACGTAAATATATATTGTAATGCAATCATACGTTCTGTAAATGACGCCGCCGTTCATTTTTTTACAAAAAAAAACTGAATTAAAACAAATGAGAACACAAACTTTGCTTCTATGAAGGAATATTGCGACGATTTTGCCGATGTACTGTATTTTAATCCTGTCTAAAAATACACGTTTTACATACAAAAGAGTCTCTTCCTTTATTTGGAAGAGCAATGAATAAAAAAAACAACGAATAGGAAAATGATATAATTTCATTGTATTCAAGTCTCACAATATTTTATAACACACACGGGTCGCGTAATTATCGTAAGAATTAATTGTATTTTATTTTTTTTTTTGGTATTTTGTTTGTCTCTGACACACAGGCGCTCAATGATTTATGTGAAAATCAGGGATGGGATATCGAAGTGATTGCTGGTCATATTGGTAGAATTGATGTGAATATACCATGGAATGCCTTAATGTCGGAGGATAGTTTTGTCGAAATAACGGATTTATACTTTGAAATTCGGCCAAAATGTCGACCAAAAGACGGCGCCTCAATGATCGAATCGATGTGGTCATCGATGAGCAGCTCGATGCAATTAGCTAAAGATTGCTTAGAACACGAAAGCGGACCAAATCCACCAAATCAACCGATGGAAGGTTTGGAACGTTTCGCACAAATCATTGACAATGGTAAATATAAATTTCGTCCATTTTTATTATTCCACATATACGTTTATTTCCAATTGCAAATGCAATAATTGATTTGTTTTGTGCTTCATTTTCAGTTCTAAATAGGATAAAAGTACGTTTAATTGATACGGAAATTCGTTTAGAATATTTTACAAGTGAAAAAGAGCGTGGCATAACGGTGGTATGCAAAATCAAAAGGTGAATAAATTATCATCACACTTAAAATGCGATGTGTTTCGTTTTACTTGTCCCGCACCTTTAATACTAATCATAAAAATACTTATTTCATTTAGTTTTGAATATAAAAATGAAGCCGGCGGTGATCCACCAGATAAGCCAGCCAATGCACCCGATGTCGATAGTGGTGGTTCAAAATCATATTCGATACCCGTTTATTCGACCCATCAATTAGTGATAGAAAATATTGCATTTTATATGGAAGAATTTCGAATTTCGAACGGAAAAAAGGGCGATATGATGAAACGTCAACATATCGAAACGTCACCAGTTGCCGAACAATATTATAGCACCATGTCAGAACTTCCAGATATAACACATAATCAGATGCCGATAAATGATGAAGTCAGCAGTTGTAGTGATGATGATAATGATAATGCTAGTGATATATCGGATATAAGTCGAACGGAGGCCTTACAGATTGCCAGCTTTAGCGGAAAAACGGATATTAAAATCACCGTTAAACAAACGCCATCGGTACAGGGTCCGAAAGTACAATTGGAACTACAATTGGGTGCTGTGAATATATTTTTAACGCCAAGACAATTGCATGCATTGATTAAATTAGCCGATATATACTTGAACGATAGTACAAACCAAAAAATGACCGTACCGAATTTAAGCAGTGATCATCATCCATATCATCATCATCATCCGGATAATGATCATGCATCCGAGTATAAGGCATTCAATGCAATGAGTGGAAATTTAGGTTTGAATCAATGCTGGTCATCGGATCCAGTATCAGCAGGTACATGAACATTTCATTTATCATTTCTGAACAAACAGACAAACAAACAATCATACTCTTGAGTTAAAAAAATAATAACAAATCCATGTGTCTCTTTATTATCCCGTCATTTCGATTGAATCAGGTGAAAATCAACACCAAAATCAAAACAACACACCGTTGGACATTGACACGATTCGCGAAACAAATTCAATGTCAAATTCGATCACGAGTTTTGCCAGTGGTTACACCCAAACAACTATTCGAAATCGACGTAGAGGCGTCATCGAAATCGATCCAAATGCAGAAATCCTACGAACAAATATTCGTGTCGCATCATGTGCAATTTTATTATTGCAAGAGGTAAATAAATTAAGCGAAAATAACGCTGAAATTGTCGTTTAATTTGCACCAGAGATAAAACTGATTAATCAATCAATTCGAGATAATGGAATTTGCAAATGTTTCATGAAAATAAAGAAGAAAGGAAACCAAAACAACAACAACAACAATAACATAACCCATAAGCGAATAGTGCAACGTTGGTTTTTTTGGAAATGAAGATAAAAGGAAATTAGAAAAACAATCTACATTTGAAACCTAATAACTATTTATATATTTTATTGATACGGTACATAACACACGAAAATCACTTTCAATCACGACACATAACACCAATGATTTTGTGTTGATAGTCGCTAAATTCTTTTGCGTTTCTTCAAGTTTTATGCCTAATTTCACTGCTTTATTTGTGCTTACTGTTGTTGTTGTTGTTGTTGTTGGTGGTGGTTTTGCATTGCTGCTATCGTCGTAATCAAAATCACTGTTGATTATACGCCAGACACAAACACATACAACTTACCTTTTTTCTAATGATGAACAATCAATTTATACGACGAAACGTTGTTTGTAAATTGTTGATTGTAAATGAGTAATTTTTGATTAAAAATTCGATACACAAAATTGACTTTGATTGAAACATTGCAATTTAATATAAAACAACTGCGAAGAAAAAAAAAAAACGAAATTATATGAATCATAAGACAGTTCCGACAGTTGAAAAGTATTGCAAAGTAACAAAATATATTGAACAATTTTTTACTTATTATAATTCAAATTTTGAGCAATGAAACGCAATTTAAATGCAATGACACTGGTCTTGTGTTGTTTTGTTCTCTTTTTTTTTATCGTAAAATAATGAAAACAAAAAAGATAATGTCGTATGGCATTCACTTGGAGTCAATGTATATTTGAATGTATATTGAAATTTATGTTTGTTGATTTTTTTCGGTTAATTTTCAGGATATTTTGGTGGAGAGTCCGCCGAATGAACACAGTCCATTGAATGAAAATAGTGTTAGAAAATTGCAGCAAATATCTGAAACATTTTTTGATACAATTGAAGATGTAAATATGAATTCGGCAAAGGACTTGAAATCAATCATGTCGGTGTTGGACTTCAGTTGCAAGCGTAATCATATTAGGTAAATGTTTGAAAAGATTCATCTATAAAATGCTATCATACGCAACATTTTTCTAATCCCATACCATTCAAATAATCGAAATCAGGTTAGTTTTGACTCCAATCCTAATTGAGGGTGAAGAACAACGAAATAATAGTGGTATTTTATTGAGGCTGTCAATATCGATTCCACGGGCCGATTTGAGAGAAATTATGAAAGATGCATCGGTTCCGATTTTGGAATTCCATCGAGATTCGGTAAATAGACTAGTCTCACTAGGACGATTTAGTTTCGTTGCATTTCATTTAATACTTTTTTTTACTTGTTTCGTTGTATAGTCCGGTGGAACAATGGCAAAACGGCCAGAGATTAATATTTTACTAAAACAAACAACAAATGTGCTGGGAAACTCATGTGGTCTTTCCTATGAGGCACCAAAAACTGAAATAAGGTAAGAATGCAAGAAAGTATGTTATGTAGACATGTTTCAACTAATTTTTTCTTTTCATTTAAATATTCTTCAGTTTTATGCTAGCACCATGCTCTAGTGAGTTTGATATATCAATTATTGATCGATTGAGTCCGGTATTCAATGGCAGCCCATTTTCAACAAACAACGATCATTTCATGAAAGAAACGACTATTCATCAAGAAGTTCAGATGAGTCAATTTTCACTGACACTTGAATCCCCTTCCATAGATATTCGATTAAGGTACATTGAACAGATCAACCGCTTTTTTCTCGGAAATATAATGCTGGATGCAATGAAATAAATAACAAATATTTTACATTTCGACAGGTTTCCGTGCACAGATCTTCGACCAATTCACACACCAGATAGAGTGCCATGGTGGAAACGTAACGTTTTACGTGATTCACTGTATATAAAATTTGGTCAAGCTAAATTAACTTACCATTTGAATAAATACGAAATTGTAGCCAATAAAATTGACATTTATTATTCGGTAAGTGTAGGACTATGGAAAAGGACTCATTCTTTATTTAACTGAAAATTAATCGAATATATTTTGTAGGAAAATGATGACGAGCAAAAGATCCATATCGGAAACATTATCACATATGAGCAACCGACAAAACATACATCGGAAAGCCCAAGGTAAATTTTAATATATATTTCCTGATACAATTAACTATTTTGAACTGCTTACTAACTGGCACTATTAATATAGTATTACTACAGCAGTATCGTTTTCTAAACTATGTTTATATGAAAGCATGTTTTTCGTTCTTTAAAAAAAAAAAATCATTTCTAAAAAAATACTCAATGCAAATATTCGACGATAATTATTAATGTATGTTTTCGTTTAGAATTGTCATTGAAATACCAACATTGGAGACAATAGCAAGAAATTTACAAAAACAACAGCCAAGCGATGACAGCAGTGATGGTGGTCATCATTCTGAATTCAGTTTCAATATGTCGAATTCAAACGAACCAACGCCATTTAGTGCGAAACATGTGTGGCGAGAGAGTGATACACCACATGCAAAAACTGACGACGCCAACCGATCACAAAATCTGGCCGACGATGAAAAACTTTTAATACCGGGTGATATAACTGAAATGAATGATTTCTGTGACGATAGTGAAGCTACATCAAAATTAAAGATAATTGTGTCTTTACCAGTTGTTAGTCTTCAATTGAGGTATGAAAAAATCTCTTTTACTCGTTCTCTCTCTCTCTGTCTCTCCTCCCAATTAAACAAATGGATTTTCATTTTGAATTTGTTTGCCATTTCAGATCGAAGCACATGTATGAAGTGATCTACAATCGTATAATTTCAAATATTCTACTATGGGTGCCAAGTGCACCCAACAATAATACAACGAAACAAACACAAGTCAATGTTGGTGCAAATAATCCATTGCTCAATATAAATATGGCGGAATCGATTTCCATACCATTTTCAATGGCCAAAAGTAATATCATTTTTGGTAAGTTTTGATTTTCTTCATCTCTATATGAATCCAATTCGTCATAATTTCGATATTCATTTTCGTTTTGCATAGATTCAAGTTCGGCTACTAATTCCGATTCCGATACAGATTCGGAGAACATTTTCTATTCAGCATACAACGAAAGCAAACGTGCTCAACAAAAACCACAACTTGCTTCGGTCACACAAAGTAGTGCTTGTTCTTTTCGCTTGAATATCGGTCAAGGTTTACTCACCGCATATTCTCCAGTTCGGGTATGTATACTGAAACAATTCGAATAGTGAACTGGTTATTTCATTGTTTTTCATTTTTTTTTTTCTGTGTGTGTGTGTTTGTTAAAGGATTCGGCGAATCGTGTGATTCCTGGGCAACAGGGTGAATTTGTAATTAAATTGGAAAATGGATCATTGTTTTCAGTCAGCAGTTTTCGTGGAGATGAAAATTTAAATTATATGTGCGTACAAGCGTCAGCCGTTGAAATGTATCATATCGGCTTAGTTCCAGTGCCATCATCAAATCCACCACTTCGGCTATACGGATGCGTATTACCAAGCCATGTTCAAAGTACGATCTATCCAACACCGTCAAATTTAACGGTTGATCAAGCCGTCGGTAAAAAAGCATCCAATCGAGAAATGATCTCGATTGCTGTTCAGGTGAAATCAGTGCCAGAAAGAAAAGTTAAGGTAAGAACAAAACAATCAAATAAATCAACGAAATAGTGGCATTTCAACTCTCTTTCTCTCTGATACAAAACTATTTTAGAGAATAAAAGTATCGGCCGGTTTGCAATTGGCAACATTGCGATACAATAGCGCGCTTCCTGAGCATATGTGGCTACGTCAAATTATGGATATGTTTAATGTTGAGGTAAGTGTGTCCGAATCATAAATTCTGGAAATCCATTTAATGGAATATCGTTTATATTCCAACAGGACTATCCCATACAAGGTTATACACCACTCACAAATATTATGGAAATGCATTTACACTTATGGGATTGTTCGGTTGATTATCGGCCACGATTCTATGATTATCGTGCTGTCTTGGCTATCAACACATTTATGATGAGTACAACATTGTCATCGACCAACAATGGATGTACCGTTCGGTTTGTTGCTGAAGATGGAACATTAAGTCTTGCACCACAAACCCAACCGGGCGAATTTAAATTTAAAAATGAAAACAAAATCACATCGTTGCCTTCATCTGAATTGGTTTGTGTATTCGAGTTTGCATTGCTGGAAATATCATTGCGTGAAAGTGATAAAGTGACCGAATTTGCACCGAAATACGATGCACGAGCATCAATGAATGGCACACATTTGCGTGTATGCGCCGACTCATGTAAGGCGTTGGGTAATTTAATTGCATATATTGCTGCGGAAGGTGACTTGTCCCAGACCAAAGAACAGGACGATGAAAATGTTGATTCGGTAAGTTAAATACACGGCCATCTTCAATACATTATATAAAACCTAAAGTGATGATTAATTATTATATTTTATCTTAAAAATCTCAGTTGGTTAGCTCATCAAAAGATCTAGATGAAGATTTGATCGCGGTAAATGCACAAAATATTCCTGAAGTTACAGAAGACCAACAACAAAGAGTTAATCAGTTAATGGAAGAAGCGATGCAAGATTGTGTTCGTGAGGCTCCATATCGTAAGTTATTCTATTTAATGCAGACATGCATTTGAAAAGTTTTGTGAAAACATTTTGGCTTTTTTTTTTTGAAGGTATTACTCCCGTCGGTGACAGTGTATTTGATGAAGATTCAGAGACATTTTACTTCCCAGATGAAACAAATCCAACGGATAAATCGAATTCAGCTGGTATTTCATCATCACGAAAGGGTTTACCAAATACCCAAAGCAATACATCGCTGAATAAAGATGACGAAGATACATTGAGCAATATAACGGATTGTTCAAGGCGTCGAACCACTGATTTACAAGACATTATTGACTTCGAAAATTCCGTAATGGGTTTGAATCCATTGGAAACGGAAGCTGTTGAAGCTTTACCGTTGGTTGACAGTGAATTGGGCACAATACCGAGTCCAGATTCAAAAAAGAAATCGTCCAAAAAACCAAGTCGCATCGAAGGTTCGGATACGGACGATGAATTTTGTTTTATTGGCGATGAAGAGCGTCCAAAATACGGTATCGATAATGTATTGCCAACCGATGAACCGATACGAATTGTTGACAATCATTTTAGCATCCCATTGGATAAGCATGATATGTTAAAAGCACCACAAGCTTTTCCACAAGCCGTTACACGTTACACAATTTGTGATCTATCGATATCGATGCATTTGTATGGCGGAAATGATTTTGCAACCACAAACAGTGACAAAGAAAAGGAATATGAAAAAGCATCTAATGAAAAGGCTGGCATGTCGGATGCTTATAAAAAAGGTGTTGCATTCTCGAAAATTTCATCGACCGTAACACTTCCAAGCAAAGTAAAAAGTAACACACCCCGATCTCAACGACCGTGGAAAGAACGTGGTGGTTTAAATCGAAATTTCGAAGTTTGCGTTGAAATTCATTCGAATAAAAGTCGATTTTCGCATGAAACATATCCGGCGCATTCACGTGAAGCATCGCGTCAAGTGTTGGTATTATCCGATTTTGAAGTATGGGATCGTTTGTCATCGTCATCATTCAATAAAATGTTTTACACCGGCCGAAATGAACGATCGAAGAAGAGTGATCAGGCAACGATGTATATAAAATGCATTTTTATTCGTCCCGAACCAACGTTACCATCACAAGAGGCCAATTTATTTATATCGTTTATGCCAAAAGTGAATATAAATATTGATCAAGATACGATGCTATTTATTGCCGATTTCTTTGCACAATTGAATGGAAGCGAAGACGAACCGAAACCAACAAAACCACCATCCACACCGACACATCAACCGCCGGTTATGATCGTTGACATGCCCGATCTGAAAGAATTACAAGCACGTAAAATGGTCGATAAGAACTTAATGTTACTCATCGACGATGATGAAGAAAATGGAAAGGAAAAACCACCAAACGAAACAGCATCGAATGTCACCGACAACAATCCCGTTTATTTCAGGTAAACATTAAATTTAAATCCATTTCTTTTGATTATTTTATATCTAATGTTTATCTCTCTTTATTTTTTCTCTCTATGTGTAGGAGCGTCACATTCAGTCCAGAAGTTGAATTAACAATAAATTATTGTGGCAAACGAGTTCAATTCACACATGGCCCCATTATGGGATTGATCATGGGTTTAAGTCACTTGAATTGTTCACGCATTCGACTCAAAAAAATCCATTATCGCCGCGGTTTACTGGGAATTGACAAAGTTCTATGCTATTTGATAAAAGAATGGTTGAATCACATACAAAATTCCCAATTGCCCTCTTTATTACAAGGCATCGGCCCAATGAATAGCATTGTCATATTCTGTAAGTATTTTTCGTTTGTTTATTAACCAACAAGTATCGTACCGTTTATATTTACTCAATATCGTTTTATCTCTTCTCAAAATACAGTTCAAGGTGTTATCGATCTATTCCTTTTGCCATATAAACAATATCAGCGTGACGGTAGAATTGTACGTGGCATACAATTGGGTGCTCAAAGTTTTACATCCCGTACAGCGTTGGCGGCCCTAGAATTGACAACGAGATTGATTTATTTATTACAAGTAAGTGTCAAACGTTTGAATCATTGTTGATTTTTTAATTTCGGTTCAATTAATAAGAATACGTTTTGTTTGTTTAATTTAGATAACAGCGGAAACGGCGTATGACATGGTGTCACCAATGGGTCCATCGGTGCGAATTTCAAAGCGTCGTCATCGTGGAAAACGTAAAATACATCGACCACAAGATATTCGAGAAGGTGTCACTAATGCATATCACATAGTTAAAGATGTAAGTCGAAATTCTGATGAATACTTGCAATGCAAATTTTTGTTTCAATTGAATCAATGCTAATGGTTTTTTTTTTTTTTCAGGGTGTTGGCAATACGGCTCAAAATATTGTTGAAATGGCAACCATTGAACATGATCAAAAGGGTGTTACCGGTGCTGTTGGTGCGGTTATTCGTCAAATACCGCCATCAATTGTAATGCCAATTGTGTTGGCAACACAAGCAACAGCTAATGTATTAGGCGGCGTACGCAATCAGCTGGTACCTGATGCTCAAATAGAAGCCAAGGAGAAATGGAAAGAGGATGACGATTAGTCACACACTTTCTACTTATCAAAAAAACAAATCTGAATTTAAACACATTCGCGAAGAGAAAACAAAATAGTCTGTACACAATTTTCTCTCCAAAAAAAAAAATAATTTCCGTTGTACACTAAGCGAAAATTTGTACAATTATCTTGGTTCTGGAGTGGACAACCCGTGTTTTTCCCATTTTTATTATTATTATTATTATTATTTTTTCTTTTGTTAATTGTATGTATTAGTGTTAGCAACGAATAGCAAAATGATTTTTAAATGGAAATATTTTCGATAAAATTGCAAATCGATACACATGCATATATATGAAATACATTGATGGATTACAATGATGGTAAACAAAATGGACATTTCTATCCAGAATTTATTACCGGGCATGCAATCTATGGATTTTGATTTATGTTTTTTTTTATTATTTACAAAGAACGTTCAATGAATACTCAACTCTTTATTTGTATCAAACAAACGAACGACAACAACATAAATACAATTCAATTTTTATAATGCCAATAAAGAACATTTTTACAAAGAAGCAAATATTAAAATATCAATGACCGTTTTTTTTATTCGAAATTGTTCAATTCAATGGTGATACCGTACAAATAGCCATTTTCAGTGTTTTGTTGTAATTTGGCTCACGTAAAGCCGGCGTAGGCGTTCGTCTACCAGAGAAAGTCACAAACTAAAATGCGAATTCAGTACTCGATCGTCCGTCCATCGATTCGCGCACATTATACGTGGTGAAATTTAAAGTAGTCGTTCAAATAAACCATAGAAAGGAGATTGAGTGAACGAAACAGCGTGCCGTTATGGATAAACTATTATTATTCGTATTTTTTACATTAATCTGCACAGCATCGACTATATTCTTAGGAGGTAATAGTGTTTGTTGCTCTTTTTATTGATTATCTCGCTAAATATTCAATTATTTACATCCAGCTGTTTGTCTCTGTTCAAAACGTATATTAAAACTAGTTTAATTAATTTGCGACAGTAAGGAAAGTAGCGACCCAAGTGTCAAATTGATTGTTGACTAGTTTTTTTTTAAATGTTCCATTTGTGAATAGTGTGCTAAGAAAATAGCCGCAAACCAGTCGTTAGAATAAATTAATTGCGCATCAATTTGCATTAACTTCATTAAAATGCAAAAGCCATATTCCATTCATTATTCTGTTTTTTTTTTGTCGTTGGGCGCATATTGATAGTGCATAAAATTGTGTCGCAATGGATCAAAATCGTTATGATCGGAAATTGCACTATTTTTTATGCAGCCAATTCATAATTAAAAATAAAATGTCTTACATCCGTAAGATGAACTTTTCCGCACTGTGATCCACAATATGCATTTATTACGTACTACAGTAAAACCTGTCAATAACGGAATCCCACGGGGAATTTTTTTTTTTCCACTATTGACAAGAATTCCACTATTTCCAGGTTCCATTAATAACAGGTTTTCATGCCAATTCAGAAATGATTTTCCATTATTGAGGGAAAATGTGAAAAAAAGCAGAAATTCATATATTTTCATCATTATATAGCTAGCAAAATTTTTCAGGGGATGATTTTAGAAGAAAATCCTAGAAATCAAAAGAATTTTTCGCATGGGAAATTCTAGCAAAAAGGGTATTCCAATCGGAAAAAATTGACTTCCAAAATACAGTTCTAAAATCCCTAGCAAATCGAAGGAATTTCTCTCGCGTTCCAAAAACCCTAGCAAATCAAAAGAATTTTTCCCAATTTTTTTCCACTATTGGGGGTGAGCGTTTTTTGCCGTTTTCCGTTATTAACAGGTCATTTTGTATGGAGATCTCAATGGCGGAAATTTTTTTCCACTATTGACAAGAATTCCACTATTTCCAGGTTCCGTTATTGACAGGTTTTACTGTATAAGTTTTGCGATACAAATATCGTAATCATGTGAAAATTTGCAGATGTTATTTTTTTCACAAAAAGCTAACATTCTGAAAGTTTGAAAAAATTTCAATACAACTGAGTGGTACCTTCCATACAAAATTTTCGTTTTTGAGCAAAAAATCCAAAAATTTGTTCTGTAGCCCTATTATGCATTGAAATCTCTTCAAACTCTCAGAATGTTATTTTTAAGTGAAAATTTGAATTAGTTTTCTTGTTTGAAAGTTATCGTGTTAACAAATTTTTGCGTACAGGGTACAGCGTACAGGGTACGCACATACATTCGGACATCGAAAAAACGCTAGATTCGTGTTCCAATACTTTACCTTACACACAAGGTGTGTGCGGAAAAGTAAAATTCTGAAAAAGAATTATTTTTATTGCTGCACATTTTAATTGGACATTTTGCTGACAATACTCTTTGAACAAATTCAAAAATTGATAAAAATGCGACAAATCGAAAGATGCAAAATGCATAGAAAATACATCGAATTTGATTTGAAGGCTGTTGGACTCTTCTGTTTGGATTTGATTTCTATTGCAATAAAATTGATGTTTATTACGTATTCAAATGGGCACAACCTAATCAAATATGGTTTGAAATGATTAGGCGACATTCATTGATGTCCATATTCGATGTGATGTGACCAAATTGTAATTTATTTCGATAAAAGCGATAGCGTGAATTAATAATTATATGGTGAATCCAAACATGCACATGAATCCAGTCAGTATGGATAAACTGTGTCAATGACACAATATCATCAATAACATTTTTGGCGATGAAAATAAAAATTGCAGAAAAAAAAATCCGAAAAAATGTTGGCAAAAGCGTAATACTTTCTAAATATTATGAAATGCTTTCACTTGATTTTTTTAAAAAATGGAATCGAATTCAAAAAATGGAATGAAACAAAAATTCCAATGTGTTTCAGATGAAGGTAGTTTGATAAAGGCAGCCACATTGATAAAGAGTTTGAATCCTGCGTTGCCCATTTCGCGATTGCCACCAACTGAACCGTTTCCTGGTTCGATACTAGGACCGATTGTGAAAGGCGGTTGCCCTTTGTGCGATCAAAGTGTGTACAGTTACTGCTCATATAAGGTGATCCACGATGCATGCTGCTGCAATGCCGGTAATTTTGTAATGCGAAATGTTTGCTAAAAAAACTGTTTTTACACAATATTGTCACGTGTCTTTTGTCTTTCAATCTCCGTTATAGGAAATGTACCATTCCATTGTCCATCATCCGATTGTTCCTATTTGAATGCAAATTCTTGCGCGGAACATAATATCATCTATACATGCTGTTGTAATAATCCGTATCATTAACGTCGTTTCCGTTATTGCCAATTGCTGAGATTATATTTTTAATTTATTTCATTCATTTAGAATAAAGCTATTCGCGCGCCGCGACAGCTCGGCGATTTTGAAGACAATTTTTTTTATAACAATAATTGAGTGAATAAAATTATTGGCGACATTCTTTTCAAGTAATAAATAAATTGTTTTATTTACAATATGCGTCACTTAGTCAACTTTCACATTGATCGAATGAAAGGAAAAGACAAACCAGTCGACGAAATCTAGTACAAACGAGAGACTTACAAAACTACCAATACAAACTGTTAAACAACTAGCATCACGACGGTGCCATCAACTAGTGAAAAGACTTTTGCTCGGTTTCACACTACTGACTAGAACTCCATAGTCGTCCGTAGTGGCGCTAGCTGTGCTATGGTGTGTCCTCCCCAAAACATGCATGATTTTTGGACGCACTTAAAAGCCAGAGTCATCAGACAGAGGTGTCTTAGAGTTCTCAGTAAGCTTTCCTGGGATATCAGCACATCCATTACCTGTAATTCAAATACTTTCGAAAATGTTGGTCACTTTTCTAAAAAATTTGAACATTTCGAAAAGTGGGCCCAAAAAATTGGAAAAAACTAAGCAGTTGTTATCTGAGAAATTACGAACATTCTGCCACTTTCAGATATTTGACGCTTCCAATGAAGAACTAAAAACAAGCATTTTAAACATATTCTTGCTTTCAAAGCTGTTGATCTTCTGAAATTACGATATTATTTACGAAAGCAAAACACGGCTCAATTGTTCGCTGTGTACGCAACAACACTAACTTGAGTGTTGTGATTGTTCGCTATCACACTATACACCACTATACAATATGCGCCACTATACAATAAGTTCTACGTCTTCCTTATGCTGATTTATTCGATTAGATGGACCAGATCGCGATTTCAATGGAGCATCAATTCTAGTCACATGTTTTGTCAATGTGAATTTTGAAAATAACCATTTCTATGACATGAAAATCACTCGCATGCAATTTTATTCATTATTTTTTCTTGTGTTTTTGAAATAACCAGTAATTATATTTTATGCACGTTCGTCTTGTTTTCAATTTTGTCTTTTTCAACGTTTCAATATTCGTAACAATTCAAAAGTTTACAACTTATACACGTTGTAATTTGCTAGGGGCTTTCATCTATTCGTTCATACAAAATGCACAATATTCACGTCCTATTCATCATATATACGATTAAAATTTCTCGCCTATACCAGTGAATAAGGTGTATTTTAAACTGCAGTGTACACTGTACACTGTACACACACAGAATCGAAGAAGATCCTCACAAAATAGAATAAAAAAACATGCCATAGACGAAATATACACGAAATATACACCAAATATATGCAGTTATGCACATTTATTTGCGCGTATTACAGATGATTTTGCAACATATTTCACTATTTACAGTATATAAATCGTATACATTTGAAGATAAAAGCCCCTAGGTAATTTGTTTAATTATTTTTTCATAAACCGATTCTTTTCTTTGTTTTGATGTAGTCGCTCGTATTTTTCATCATATATATCAGAATTGTAATTAAGTAATCAGTTCATTTTCAAATGTTCAGTTAAAGCATAACTGATTTCAACTCCGTGTCTTTGTATTATTATTATTATAAGAACAGAAAGTGTTGCATTTCATCTTTGCGAATGGGTTCAATTGATTTTTGAGTACGTAACACTCTTTCCTTTCATACAAAAAGCATTTAGCATAAGTATCTCACGTGCGATAATCGTTGTCATTAAATTAAGTGAGAACAAAAGAGCTTGTCATGTTATTAAGTAAAACAAATGGAAAGGAAAGCGCGCACCATTCAAACAGAACGAACGAAATAAAAAACCAACGAAAAGAGCAAAGCAATGAATTTTCCCTATTCAAATCGTTATGGCGCATGTTCCGTTTTGCTCATTTTTCCGTCAGTCTGATGATGTTTTACCAATATCGTTGTATGTTAATGTATATATACATATCACACTCACATCTATATATATTTTCTACGCGTTTTATGTCTATATTCACATATACAGTGCTCTTGCTAACCACCGTTGGATATCTTCACATGAGTCAATTTCAGTTTCCATGCGAAAGTTATTTTTTTCATATGCTTCTTCTTCTGTGTTTATTGTCAAGGGTGTGTATTTGCTTCAATATCTATCAAAAGTTTGTAGCCAGTAGTCTTGTTGGTACATCGAACCAGTAAATTTCACTGTTTCAGTAATTTCTTCATCTGCGTTAGTTACATCAACACTCAACGAAATATAAATATTGGTGTTTGAAATGTGAGCATTTGTTTGTATCTAAAAAATAAAATACTGCAGGTTTTTTTTATTTCCATTTGATTTTTATGGTCTTGTGTTATAATCATTGGACATCGTGCATATCTATTGGAACATGGTGACATTTCGTCCATTATCTACAAAAAATTAAGAATAATAAAAGAGTAAAATTAAATGACAAAAAAAATGGTCAACTTTTTTTTGAGAGATAGGGAGAGTGAAATAAAGTGAATCAAATTCATTTTCTTGGTGTCATATAAGACAGCTGATTGTAATCAAAACGGAAATAATATTCGACATTCCAGATGAAATTTTATTGGTTTTGTTGACAATACAAAAATTTGTACGGAATGTGTCGTGTGCGTGATCGATTTTTCGATTTCAACACGTTTGGACATTTCTTTTGTGATTTTATTCGATTCCACATTCAAATGTGTATACGTTATACGTTCAAGTGTGTATTTAAGAACGCCTTTATCATACAATGTGCCTTATTATTGAAAGCATATTGCCCTTACGATTTTGATTTTGAATGATTGCATTGACCTTTTCTACAAATAGCTATTTATTGAACACTATACTAAATATATGTTAACTGACGTACTCACTTTTAATCATTTTCCAATTTTGTTTTTGTCGAAAGCATCATCAATATAAACAAAATCATGAAACATAGATTAGAAGATGATGAAAACGAACATTTCTAAAGATAGTGGATAGTTTTAACATGTTAAACTAAATCAATGAATGAAATCACACTGTACTCAGTGTGAAAACAAATTAACAAAAAAATGTGATAATGAAAAGAGTGAATAATCATAATTAACATTAGAAAAAAAAACCATGTGAAAGGAAGACGTTATTGATAAGTTGTCGAAAGTACTCATCGAGAACACAATTTTAATGAAATGTTTCATTTTTTATTTAATTCTTTCTATCTCTCTGCCGCTCTCTCCCATGTTATTCTAATCAACATTCGTGGTTTTAATCTGTCTGTTTTTTTTTTATTGAATTGTTCATTTTCTTTATTGTGTTAGTTTTATAAGATTTTTCTGTGATTAAAATTTAATTCTAATTTCAAATCAAAATTCTATTCAAATAGACTTAGTTAAATCGTACTTAGTTGGCTTCCGTGGTGTCTGCGAAAGAATATTGTTGGATTGATTTTTTTTTTGGTTTTCAATCGTAACCGAGGAATTGTGAAGAAACGTGATTTTATATTGAAAGCTATTCCATACCATTCAGAATGACAAACTATCTGAATCGTCACATTGAACCATCGCTGTCGGAAGAGGAAAGAGATGAGTAAGTATATCAAAAATTACAAAATACAATTAATTAGATAGATCGTTTCGCTGGTGTTTATGTCATTTTAATCCGATTTAATAACGGATACGGTACAGCAAGGAAATAAAAGTGTACCAAATACGTTATGTTTCCCTTCATTTGTTCGAATCGTAAATAATAATAAATTGGAGAAAACGTTTTTTTGCCTATTTTCTGTGCTATCAATGAAAGTCGATACATGAATTTCCACGTATAAATAGCTTGTCATGCATTAAATTTTATTGAATTAATCAGCTTATCTATGACGGAACTGGCACAAACTCATTTGGTTCTTTTTCTCTCCCCCACACTTTGTTTTTGAAATCGAATTACAAACCATTCATGTTCTGCCATACATTTGTACTACACATTGTGTACATAATAATAGCAACAAAAAAAATATGCAAGAACTTTTCAGAACCGACGTTTGACATTGCAAAACGAACGATGAATGCAAACCGGGTGACATAATATCGGAAGAATAGGTATAAAGTTTGCACATTTTTTTACAGGCAGATAAAAAACGGTTTTTAGTTTCAAAAAAAAAATAGGCTAAAACGCAGTACAGTACATGGGGCGCTCATAGGAATAAATGAATGTAAACATAGATAATTGAATGAGTTGTCATTGTCGCGTTAGTTGCAATTATCTTGTTGAAGATTGATTTTAAACCTGTGTTGTGTAAATTACATTACTCCCTGCTTTGATATTCTATTTTCAAAGTTACATTATCACTAATCACAAACAGCTTATTTTTTTTATTTTTATTAGCCATTCAATCCGTAATATGCATACAAATTGATGATAGTTGTTGCATACAAAACGAGATAGACAAGTCAATCTTATCAATTAAATTAAAATTACCATACATTTCCGATCGATTTAAATTGCATTCACACACAGCGAGGGTTGAAACATTTTGCGACACATCTTCAATAGAATAGAAAAGAAAAATAGCAACTGATGCAAAAAAAGAAGAAGAGGCAACTGTTGATGCTTGATTAGAGCGTTCGGTTTACTTCGCATTCGATTTCGCCCCCGAGGCTTTGTCATTCGATTTCGCTTTTACTCATCTTCATTATTATTTGTGCTCTCACTCTCTCTGTCAGCACTGGTGTGATCGTTCACAAGGATGACACAAACAATACACATGCAGTGTAAACACAAAACAGAACGATGTTGAAACTCCTTATGGATCGGTGACACGGCTGTTATAAATTCAGTTATTTGTTGACTGTTGAAGTGATCGGTTTCATTTTGAGTCTTAAACTTTCACACACAAAAAAAAACAGATTTCTCTGTGACTTTGTTGCTATTTATTTAGTGCTCAAAGATAAATTGATTGCAGTGCGATACAGAGTGAAGCATAGATGGTAAAACTCAACTGTCGTCAATCCTGATAGTGTTGAAACGTGTGCAAATATTAGATTCTTGACGCAACAAGTTGTTTCTGAGAATAAAGTTTTTCCACAATTCACTTCAGATTGATTTGCAACATAGTAAATTATTCAAATCAAGTTTCGTTCAACTTGAAATGCTCAATATTAAGTTTATAACTGAGAAAACAGATTGTATGTTGATATATTAGAAATTTGTTGGTGTTGTTGTTTCGTTTTGGTTTTCTTGAAACAACTTTTCTCGTCAATCCTACTATTAACTTGATATTTTCAAATAATATTTCATCCGAAGCACATAGAAGGGTATAGTGTGTGCAAGCGTCAAAGAACTTAAAGTAGTCGGAATATTGTTAGTTCTGCGTGAAAATTGATTAGGCCAAAGCAATCGTTATGTATATTTGTTCATAACAACTGATAAAGATTTGTTTTAAATTTGAAGATAAACAACGAGCGACAAACAGTTCAATTTAGTGTCCAAATCTGGTGTCAGTAAAAAAAATTGCGAAGACCTGTTGCAAATAAAAGAAATGTCGACACATTCCAAACAAAATGAAAATAATGATTATGTATCGATCACATGTACACAAACCGAACCAACCGTTCAAATTCTATGCAAATGCAAACGAAGCAATCAATCAAAGGACCTTGATAGCGTAATCAAAGTTCGATGCAATGAAATGAATTGCATATATCGAATGGATTCGAATGATAATGGCAATGCGGGAGAACATGAATGGGTATCAAAAGAAACAAGGTAGCAATTTTTCTTTATTTGTACAAATCGTTGAAATGAGAAAATTGGAAAATATTGCATTTCGCTCGATGTTAAAATGCATTATCGTTTGCTGTCAATCGAATCATTCTTTGGTTCATCGATGAATTGAGCGATTTTTTTTTTCGTTCTCTTGTTGAACATTTGCTTTTGTTGAAAATAAGCACTTTGAACATTTTTTTTTGCTATTTCAGATATCCAGATGGCACAGTCAAACTACGAAATCCCAACATCGAACTCATGGATCAGGATATTCTTTACCATTTGGCACTCGGTAGCGGAAGTCATGATTTGGTCGAAATGTTTGGCGATGTTAAGGTATGGCATTTTTTCTTCTTTTTTGCTCATTGCAAATAAATGCTATGCACATTTACACGTATCTCATAGATAATTGTAATTTATGCGATTGAATTTACAGTTCGTTTGTATGGGTGGCACACCAAAACGAATGGAAACTTTTGCTCATTTTATAATGGGTGAAATTGGTTATAAACTACCAACCGGCACACAATTGTCAGATATCAGCGCATTTTCCTATCGATATTCAATGTACAAGGTACGTATTCAACGCAAATTTATTACAAGAATGAAACAAAATGTTGATTTATGTGATGAAATTGTTTGTACAAAATTATAATCGCATCAATCAAATGGATAGGTTGGACCAGTATTATGTGTCAGTCATGGTATGGGTGTTCCTTCGGTCGGTATATTGTTACACGAAATGATAAAATTAATGTATCATGCCAAATGTAAAGATCCAATCTTCATTCGTATTGGTACATGCGGTGGAATTGGTGTTGAAGGCGGCACTGTCATCATCACCGAAGATGCAATTGATGGCCTATTCCGTAGCACTTTTGAACTGGTAAACCTTCAACATATTGTTTATTTCCTTATGGGAATCATTGTGCTAAGTTTCTCTCTCTCTCTCTTTTTTTCCAACACAAATAGCCAATATTAGGTAAACTAGTACAACGGCCCGCAAAATTGGATAAGAAATTGGCTCGTGAATTGAAAAGTTTATGTGATCCAGCGAACGATCCATACGATACGGTTATTGGAAAAACAATGTGCGCTAATGACTTCTATGAAGGTATTGTATTCTATTTTGTTTTGCGTTTTTGTTTCTCTCTCAACATCCAATTCATCTTATTCACTTTGAATCGGTTCATGTGTCAAGCGATAACATGATGAAAAAACTTGCAAATGTTTATATATATTTTTTTTTTGCTCTCATGCATTTCATTTTGTGACAGGTCAAGGACGATTGGATGGTGCGTTTTGTGATTATACTGAAAATGATAAAATGGAATATTTGGCAAAATTACATGATTTTGGTGTGATTAACATTGAAATGGAGTGTACCATTTTTGCTGCACTTACATATCATGCGGGCATTCGTTCGGCCATTGTTTGTGTTGCACTGTTAGATCGATTGAAAGGTGATCAGGTATGGACAACAGTTTCGTTTTGGTATACGCATCCGAAAGACTGAAATTAAAATCGAAATCTGTTTTCAATACACTTAGGTCAATACCCCGAAGGAGGTGATGCATGAATGGCAACTGCGTCCACAAGTGTTGGTTTCCCGTTTGATTAGAAAGCATTTGGCATTGGATAATACATTGAAAAAACCACTGATAGCCAATAGTTCAATCTGCTCACCAAGACGCTATAAACTAGTTCAACAAGAGTCCGAAGCTCACGAATAGATTCGACAATCGTTTGACGATTTCAATCACTATATAATATACACATACACAAAATACACTTCTCTATATATTTTTGTCGTTATGTTCACTTTTTGTCTATTACAAACCAAAAAAAAAAAAAAATAATGAAGAAGAAAGGGATAAGAAAAATTCAACAAAAAATATTGATCATTTAACTATAAATATTAATAAGATTGATATTAACACATATTATACATATATATATTATAAAAAGTTCAGTTAAAATTTATTCAAAATTAACTCAAACTAAATTGAACTTCATCATTTTATTGGAATTATTTGTACTCGTTTTAAATATAATTGTTCGCATTAAACCATTTGTCATAAGTAAACGTTTGCAAAGTGCCTAGCATGGCCGTTTTGTAACTTGTCGCTGAACAGTCTTTTATGCACATACGTTACACTTCCGGCTAGGTTCGGTGTTCTTGGGGCGTTTGCTTGCGAGTGAGTTTTTTCCTCTGAACATTTTTTTGACACTATATACTCGCGATTTCTTTAAATATTTCTTTTCATTCGTTTATAAATTGAATTAAAATGAATTAACTGCCGGTTCAAACACAAAAGTGCCCATTATAACTCAAACGTGAGTGAAATGGCTCCAAAAAACATTTAGACAAGAAAACACCTTCATTCATTTGAAACAAAAAAAATAGCTAAATTAATAAAAACTCGTATAAGCCCAGGAGCATGTTATGGTTAGTGTAGAAATGTTTGTTTTATTTCATTGTTCGCTTTTTGCACTGGGCTTCTCATTCTTATCTTTCCAAAAAAAAAAAAATTATCTTGCGAAGTCTTTATAGTTAGAGTAAACATTGTGCATTCTTAATATTCCTTTTTCCTGTTAAACTACACATAATTATCTCATGTAATTGTATGCTTAATAGATGACTATCAAGTCATAGTAAAAGAAAAAAAAGCACACACACATTTATATCATGAACCTAAATTTGAATGATAACTTATAGTTCACAATTGAATCGTTGCGGCGAAAAAATAGCTCGTATTTTTCTCCAAGTAGTCATATTGCAACAAATAAACTATTAATAAAAAAAAACGTTATGTTGCGCTATTATTTGGAAAAAAGAGCTATTTTTCCACCAAAACGGTTCAATTCAAATCAGGGACGGTTCAATACAAACCAACACCTCCACCATATCCAAATACGCTAAATGAATAACTTCAATGAAAACCAACGCCACACAATAATTGAATAATTAATAGGACAATTGATGAAGTGCAAAGGTGTGTTGCTTGTTATAGAACAAAAAAAAAAATACGAATTTTATATACAGAAATGGAAAGGACACTCTTTTTTCTCAGAACAACGACTCCAATGCTAAATAAAAAGGAAATTTTATTTCCGACAATGTTTGTTTCGTGGTATGTGCGTAGAACACCGTTTTGGTCTCTCGTACATCCCTTGATTGTTACATATATATTCAAGTTTATGTGGTTTCCACTTGGAATGTATTTTTTTAAATGTGTTTGCGCCCCGAAATTCCACTAAAATGACCGAAATGACAAGAACAACCATACATTTTGATGAATATTTGATGGATACGAATGCAAAATGTACCAAATCAAATGACAATGAACAGTATAGTATTAAATAATCGAAATAAGAATAAGTACAATTTGATGAGAATAAAAAAAAACAACAACAACAAATGAATCATTCTAATCGAAACTCGAACCCATCGACAATACATTGACAACGTCAACAAACAAAATACTTAAATCAAATCTATTGCAGTTCTAATCCAACCAATATCAAAAATGCAAAGAAAGTGACACAGAAAGCGAAATAGTAATAAACCAATATATTTGATAACAATTATAAATGTTATGTCATATCACCAAACAAATATATATTGTATAAACGCCGTACGATTTCATTGTTATATGGCGGGATAAAGCGAAAAAAAATTATATATATTATTTATTGTAACAAAAAAAATGTATACAATCACATACCATTTATCATTTTTATTGTAATTTCTGCCTAGTAGCATCGTTGATCATATTTCTATCAGAAGATTGAATGCTTATGCAATGAGCACTCTTCAATAAGCACACAAATCAAAATGATTTTTGAACCGTACGAGTGAGGACATTAATATGTGCCCACTGTATATCAACATTCTTACATTTCATCAACGATTGCAGCATTATCACAAAAAAAAGTACAGCAATATTGAAAAATACATTCATAAACGACAAGTGAAATGTTCAAATTATAAAGTTATACATTTAAGGGCAAATAAATTTTATTCAACAAAATATTTTGGTAGTTTTCGACACTTGCAGAATTTTCAAACAAAAACAAAACATCATTTGGATGTACAGTAGAATACAATTAAATCGAATTTCGTGATTGGACGAATGTCACCTGTGTAGGTAAAATCGAAATGAAAGAGATGGGGACGCTATTTTGCGAATCAATTGCAAAATTCAAATGAAAAATAATGAAGCATTGTTGGGAAAATTTGCAAAATCCAAGCATCGAGACATACTTATGGAGTAATGCTTCTTTTACATCATTTAGATTAGCTCTAGAGAAAAAATCCAAAAGAAGCAAACATACACACATGAAATCGGAGTTGACAACACATATGGTAAAAACATCAAGTCATCAGAACATATTATACTATCGATGGGTTTTGATTCGATTTTGCTCCAAAAATGTCTTTTCACCGATGATTGAGAAATATTTGCTGTATACAGTTTTGTTTACGGAACAAAATTATATGGTAAAAATTCGCAAACGAGCAACTGTGTCACGCTTTGCTCTCGATTTGTTATTTGCTCTTCATGAATGATGAATGTGTAGGCTTTTTTCTTTAGCCATGTTCAACTTAACTTAATGATGTATTTGTTTATATTTGTTGTTTTCAGTCTTCTTTTGATCATTTGCATTGAATTGTTGGTTGCTTTTTGTAGTTCGTTAAAACGCATTTGAATGGATTTCAAATAGGTAATCGTTTAAACATGAATAAACTGTAATTGTCCTCTGACAAATAAAAACAGGTATGCCATACGTTTTCGCATTAAATCCATACATACATGGATGCGATCAGATAAGAAACGATTTTGTAAATCCTTCATTCAAATAAAATAACTAAATCCGATAAATTGTTTTGGGTGTTTTGTTTTTATTCTTTGCACAATAAATAATAGATTTATCAAAAGAAAAAAAGAACTAATGCTAAAAATACTTAAATCATAGATAAAAATTATAAATTATTTTGTTATCTAATCATTATTATATGTATATATGCCTGTCTATGTTTATTGTTTGGAATTTTGTGAATTGGATTTTTCGGAGTTTGCGGATCTTAAAAACATTCAATTTACATCTCTAATCATTTCACTATACATAAATAATAATGTAGAAATACTCTTTTATCCTGGTCGATCCGAGTTTTCATTGGATGGGAACTGTGTAAAGTCAAAGCTTCGGTAACTTAGTTTCTTTGTATTGATGTTTGCGACGTGTTTCATTTTATGTGGATCGTTTGTTGCACGTTGTTCTTGTGTCTTCGTGTGTGACTTAGAAGAACCTGAATTGGTTGAAATAGCGATTGTTGAAGCGATTCTGTGTCGGCGCAATTAAACGGTCTGCAAAACATAATGATAGAGAGAGAGAGAGAAAATGTTTTGGATTAAAGTAAGAGCAAAGTGTGTCATCTAATTGTTTATTTCATTTTCGCTAGGAATGCTCTATGTGTCGTCGGTCATAAAGAAAGCAGATAAGTGTTGCGGTGTATGTGTGTGTTAATGTGTTGCATGTGAAATTCGTTGAAAAATTAAACTAAATGCTCAAGAGTGGGTTTGATTTTGTCGTGAACTGTGAGGTAATCGAATGAACGAGTTTGACAGACAGCCTATGTATGTGAAATGCCGCATCAAAATGAAACATGCATACAAAATTGTGCTCATTCTTATACATAGTGTACACGGCTGTCTTTTTTATTTTATTATACCATATAAAAAAGAGTACATTTTGCCAGATGAATTGATTGCACCTGAAGAGAGCAAAAGAGCGTTCGCGCTCGAGCACGTGAACATTCTGTATGCGCACACATTCGATCTACAATTGTGAAATAAATAATTGCAATTGCACAAATGATTGGCGAACGATAATTTTTTATTACGGTAATTTCAATATTCGGATTGTTTTCGTTGTGTGTATTTATTACCCCATTTTTTCTTCGTTCAAAGACTCTCTAGCTTCTCTATAAATGTGATGTTGTTGTTGTTGGTTTAGACTTTATACTTTGTGGTTCTTGAACGGAAAAATCGCTGACAAACTATTTTATAAAGCCACAGAGAGCGCAGAGAGTGTATGTGAAGGTTTTCATTAGCTGCACCACTTAGACTTTAATAAGAGAGGAAATTTCATGGTATACTTTTTATATGACTTAAAACATTGTAAAACAGGTGTCGATTTAATTCACTGATATGGTACGGTAATCGCTATAGTACAAATTATGCTCTATAATTTTGTGCTTGAGTTTTCCTTAGCCCCATATCATACTTTCCCAAAAAAAAAAACCATTTTTACCAACGTTGATATGCCATTTTATTTTACATGCACTCTCAATAGCTCTGTATTCATGGAATAACTGTGCTAAGGCCAAATGTTAGTGCATGTCTCAGTTTTTCCGTCAATGACATAAAATCTTTTGGTTGTGCATTTGAGTGCATGTGTGCATTTCAAAAGTCTGCAAAAGTGCTTGAATCTTTCACGAAAAAAAAAACAACAACACCAAAACCAAATGAAGACTGTGCATGCGTATGTGTTTGACGTAGGTCAAGCGAAATGTAGTTTTGTTTTCATTTCATTTGTCCGAAAAAAAAATACTTTGAATGGAAAAACTGAAAATGCATCTCATTTAATTTGAGCCAATGGTAACCATTGTGAAATAATTGCAATGGATTATTATTACAAGCATGCGGACGCAAACGCGAAGCGCACATTCAGTCAAACTGCAATTATGCATATTATCAGATTTACCTCTTGCCATTTTATGTGTGCATAGTCATTCTTCCTCGTTGTTGTTGTTTTACATTTTTTTTTCGCTCGTTTTCATTTTTTTCCACGTGTGTGTGTGTGTGTGTGTGTGCAAGTAATCCATGCCATCGTGTCATTTATTCAATCTCATGCTAAAATTTACAGTTAAAATTGTGTACACATTTTGTGTACGTTTAGTGCAGTCATTTGTCAGTTAAATGACGCATAGCTTTCAGAATAATAAGAAACACATTTATTGAACGGTAATTCATGTGAGCCACACTGCTTAGCTTAAGCTAAATGACTCAACTAGTATGAATGTCAGCTCAATTCGATCCGTTTCAAAACACTAAAGGCGCAAAATAAATTGAAATCAAAACAATCAAATCAAACGGCTTTTCGAACTGTCTTGCAAAGATACACAGAGAGAGAGAGGCATAGTAAAAACAAAAAAATTAACATTGTATGAGCGTTTTCCTCGATATGGCCGATGTCGAGCATGAGTTTCTACCGTTTCATTCTTTTTAACTTCTTATTACGTGTATGGTACATACAGATAAAGTCTTATCTGACTGATACTGTACCACACCAGAAATTGCTGCCCGATTATATGCATCTGCAATTGGAAATATTTTTTTTTCTTAAAATATATGGCGTGTGTATGTGTGCTTGTGATTTTTTGTCAGGCAGTGATGAAACAGATGACGTAGCAGTAACAACAAAAAAACACACACCAAATATTAATTACGGCTTTTTATTTCCAATCACAATAATTAAATATAATTTGTAGTGTGTTTTTTCTATAACAGCCACGGTGCAAAAAAAAACACAATTATTTAACAAAACTAAACAGAAAATTGAATATGAATTGAATACATTATTAAAATGGCATTCAAACAAGTTGTATGTGTCTTTTTCCGTTTTATATATCGGATTTTATGCTTCTCACAAATTTTCGCTTACTTCTTCAGCGCACCGTGGCATGGTGTTAATACGATTCATGTGTTGCTATACCTGTGCAAGATCTTTGGTCGTGTTTAAACGCCATGGTTTACCAAATATAGCATAGAAAATATACGTACCAACAATTTTATCATTCACACACACCAAGCATATAATTCAAACATACAGGCAATAATATATTCATAGATTTACATTTTTATTAATTAACTAACACTTATCACTCATTCATTACATACGGCTGTATTTTGTGCAGAAACAACAACGACAGAAAAAAAATTCACAAAATTATTGTGATGGTGTTTGTTTAAGTCTGTCGCTTTGAACAGATATTTACAATATTTAAACATAACAGAAAAAAATTTAAATAAAAATAAAAAAAATTGCAATATTATTAACTAAGTCTATCGCAAAAGTATATATTTGCGAGCCCAGATCCAATTAATTATGTGCCGTACGTACATAAAAAAATTATATCGAATTAATTTCATCTGACACCATATTTCTTCTTCATTATCATCTGCATGTGAAATAAATTAGTAAATTTTTGTGCTTTTTTGATTCTGGTCATAATCAGTTTGTACTTTAATAATAATTTAATCGTGACAAAAACCTAATAATACAACTAAGTACATCATTTTTTTTTTAAATTGTGTTTGGGTGCTTGAATGTGTTGTTTTTTTTTATTTTAAATAATTTGTGATCCTTCTTTTGTTTAATTTTTTTTTAAATGGTGTATGTGCAGATTTGAATTACGAAGTCTGTATAACTTCAATTCACATTGAGATCTTGTGTTGTGTGTTAGCACTTCATGGCTTACTTTGTTGGTTATTTGGTGGCACAAATCCATAGCCAGATGCGCCAACAATCACACCCGATGACTCTTGTGGCCCATCAGCTGGTGGTGAGGGAAATTGTACTGGACCTATTTAGAAAACAATAATAAAATTGGTTATTGAATTAATTGAAAAACTTTAATAAAATGACATAGACACACACACGTTAATAAAATGCATGCCATTAAAATAGAGTTGTAAAACTAGATTCAGCAGTAACACCAACAAAAAAACAGCGTACAAAATAAAAACGAAATCAAATATAATCATTGGGTCAGAAATCCCATTCCGTGCGGCACACACATTTTCAAATTAACCAATGCGCATTTTTCCATTCCTACTCTCTTGTATTTGCTCTGTCTTTGTACGATTGAAATTGAAACCATTGCGTCGGATTATATCATCACATTTATCCATCTATCTGTTTGCTGTCGCAACAGACAGTGGCTATAAAAGTAGATACCAACTTGAACTTTAAGGTCACTATCAGATCAATGGTTTTGCAATGCCGCTAATCTTTTAACGTTTTGTGTACACATGAAATATATATAAAAAGAAACTCTCGTTTGTGTTGTTTTTGTTGCGTGTACCGTGCAAAAAAAAAATGAAAATGAAATCCACGCATCAATCTTTGTTTTTCTCTTGAAGTGCAAATGAAATTTGGTCGCAACAATTGAATCGTGCCCGACATTGCAACATTTTATTTTGTTGTCAAAATTAACATTTTTTTAATAATCTCAGACATATTTTTTTCTTGTTTAACTCTCACACAATCAATCACACGAACATTTGGCATTGACAAATTGTTTTTCAAACAAATCATATTTTTTCGATGATAAGATTTTTTCCGTCGCAGTGACGGCAACAACGGAAGCATCTCTGAACGACGGCGCATTTTTTTAAAATTTAACTTTGCTGACTCTTATCATTAATATATCTTGTCACATACTCGCTGTACTTTTATCAATTGAGACTTGCATTAGAAGCAGAATCGTCGCAAATTATATGAATTAGCCAAAAAAATATTCAAAGATAAGTTCGTTTATTTAAACTTTGTGCCAATTTGCTTTGTTGCAAAATACTTCTGCGATATAGTTGTATATCAATTATTTTACGATCGTTGCAAATATCGCAGCAAGAGCAGAAGTCGCAACATAATATGTATATGAAATCCATTGCTTTTTAGATTTGCTGCAAGCGAATTGCTTGGAATGATTTGCGTGGAATTTTTTTTTTTGATAGAGCTATACGATCTTTAAATTAATCTTTGTTATTGCACATTAACAAAATAAAATATCACTTAATATCAACAAATCGAAACTACACACATAGTTCACCATTTAATGATGATAAGCGATTTGTGTATTGTGTGTGTGTGTATTTCATCTTTTTCCAATGATCTTACCTCTATTTTGTCGTGGATCACGTATGCTCGCCAAACCGCTGAAACCACCAAATGAACCCGAACCAGCAGTAAGTGAATTTCCGTTAAAGTCGTCGCTCAACGAATCGTATCCAAATCGATTATATGAATTATCAAATGTAGCAAGAAACTGGCCGCTGACCAACACCAATGACATGCATATGGCAAACAATACTCGAGTCTATTTCAAATGTGGGGGAGAAAAAGGAAAGATGAAGTTATTAGCACAAAAACAAAACAAATTCAATTCTTTCGTTTAAATGATATGAATTTTTGCTGTTGTTTGATTTAGAATGACCTATTGCTTTGAATTTGTTTCTATTTTTTTTTGCCAATTTAGTTTTAGAATTTACAATACCGCGTGGTAGACAGCAATTTGATCAATATTTCTGCACATTGGCAGCAAAGTATAGTGCAATCAAGCGCATAAATAAAATCATACAAAGAGAATGGTTGACGCAAGTTGAATAAACGTAATACTCAAAATGAAAACAATTTTTGGTTTTCTATCGACATGTAATTGATAAGATGAAAGAATAAAATATTGGGAAAGAGTTCGAATGTTTGTAGAAATCGGTTTTGGCATAACTATAGTTAAGGCACCTATGCGAGCCAACAGACAGAATCACAAACAAATGCTAAACATTCTTACGGGTGCACATTGGATGTGCTCATTTAATTTTTTTTTTTGGTTTGGTATATTTCGTGTGTACTGTAAATAAGAGCCAAGCGCGCACATAAACCAAATATTCATATGTAGAACGAGAGACTAAGATAGACACAAACAGCATGAAAATAATAATATACACACAAAATTGGCGAAACTTTTTTTTTGTCTTCTGTGCGGCGCTGATACATTTCAAACAAAAAAAAACGATTTAAGCTACATAGTAACGACTATTTCCTGGGTCTAAAATGCACACAAAACTAATGGTAAAACCATTTTTTTGTCTGTTTTTCGGTTGAATTGTATGTTGTTTTTGGTGTTTGGCTTTTTGAAACTGACAGAACAATTGAAAATATCTTTTTAGATTGGCTGTCATTTCAGCGTTTTCAAATTGCATTTGAAGGATACATAGAATATGCAAACGATTCATTTAGATGAGAGAAACGAAAAAGAAAAAAAAATGTTTCATCGACCAATGAGAGCAACAAAGCCACCTGTGAACACTTTCGATAAACGGAGTCGCTACTGTTCTATTTTGAATAGTCTACTATTTCAAAGATGCGAAAATATATCGGTTTTCAATTATTTACAGTGTTATACAGACGCGTGTATAAATGGCCACAAGCTGAGGCAACAAATCATGCAAATATGTGCTTTTCTTGCTTCTCACTTTAATTCTTTAAATGCCTTTTTTTTATTTTAAACTAAATCTTCCGTGGAGTGCGCGTTTTGTGTGCGCAAATAAACACATACACACGGCAAAAGTACCGTTTATGTTCCGTTCTCAAGCTCATTTCAAGCAGCCAGCCGTTGGCATAAATGCATTCACATATATGAAAAAGTACAATTCATGCACGTTGACGGTATTATTTAGTTCAAAGTCACCAACGAAGAAAAATGAAATGGAAGTTACATGCACACCAACAGTCGTACAAGAAAAGTGAAACATGAACACCGCAATAGCAAACAGCAACAACAATGTAACGCGCAAAATTATAAGTTGGTGCGAATTTTCCATTTGGCACGTACGTGCAATTGTTACGATTGAGCAGTGGGTCAAATTGAACTCAAAGAAAGAAAGACACACAGATAACAACAACAACAAAAAAAATCATGCATTGTATATGCGGTTCGCGTCTATTGACAATGTGATTACCATACTAAAACTGGCAAGAGGAAACCAAGAGTATCGAATTCCAATGCAAGCAACGATCGAATGAAAAGGAACAAAAACAAATGTTGTTGACATTAACAACAGACACGCCATAAAGAATGATAGAGATAAAGAGTAATTAGCCAACTATTATTTCTGTGTATAAAATCTTGTTGAAGTGTGGCATTGCCATCATTTTATCAAGACTGTTGTCCACAGAACTAAGCATATATATTTTTGAAAAAAAAAAAAAAAAAAAAAAAAACCAACCAAAACGAAACACACATAAATCAGACAATGCCATACCACGCTGACACTTAAATCTGGAATGTAAAATGTTCTTGAAAACATTGATCAAACATGTATGTGCTTTGTTTGAATAAGCATGACACACAAACAAAACACGCACACATAATTGATATTTCAATTTTTAATTAAGTTTTCATTTGATCGATTTTCATTGTAATTTCATTCGATTTTGTTTGTTCGTCTTCTGTTGCAACGGAAAGGAAATTCGGTACGCTCCCCTTGCAGCCGATCGATGATGACATCGAAAAACCCGTTTAAACGATACAATACTGATCATCTGTTCGATTGACATTGGTATTCGATTTCCAATCGTTTATTTGATTGAGCATTTTTCTATCTCAAATAGCTTTATTTACGCAGAAATAGTAAGAAGAAGAAGAAAAAAGAACAGCAATGTGCTTGAAAACAAATTCTACATTACAAGCAACAAATCGTATTTGATGATCAATGTAACAACAGTGAGAAACAATAGATTTGTGTGAAGGCATTATTTAATTAATCGCATCGAATCTGTGTCAATTCTGTGGCCATCATCATTCGATCCGATTGACAATTATTGAAAATTGAGCAACTTTGGCGCTCTTTCAACCAAGACAATCGAACAAAACACAAACAAACACATTTTCTACATGTTTCTTTACCGTTTTCTTTGTCTCGTTAGTTTTTTTTTTAATTTGAAATTACTCACTGAAGTCCACCGGCAATCATGGACAATTATATCCAAGACGATGAAAGTGATCGATATGATAACATTTCATTTTCAAATGTAATGACAATGTTTGTCAGTTAATTATGCTGATTGTTATTTGTTTAATTATTTTCTATTAAAAAAAGCGGGAAAAGTGAGCAGAACTACATCATATATACGGTGTATGAGACAATGAAATGTACAATGTTGCTTTTCGCCTTGTGTATACGCATTTCGTGTTGTTTCGTCACTAATTTTGTTGGTGTTTTTCATTTTCGTACATTCAATTGTTTTAACGTACAATTTCATTCTTTGTTGGCGGCATACATTTATCACACTGCACAACTGTCGACATATTCACCGCAAACGAGTGTATTTTAATAGATTGTGAGAATTTTATTCAGTATCTCTCTCTCTCCGAATCCAAAGTGTCTTAGCGCGTCTATGTGTGTGTGTGTGTGTGTGTTACATTGGTTATAGAAAAAAGCGGCTAAATTACGTACAAGATTCATAATTAATGATGTAGATCGGAGTTTTTTCTTGTGCAACAATTGTTGCCAATAAATAATAGTCGGCTTGTTTCCGAATCAATTTAGATTCATTTCGTCTCAAATTACATTCTTTCCTTGCACAGCGGTAGCGCATTTAGCTGTACCGCCAAAACAGCACAACACCATTGCATAGCCGTTTTGCATAGCTTCCGTTGGATGATTCATGTTCTATATGATTTAATTTTGAATTTGATCTATTCCCTCCAATGCCAAAATGTTTAGATAAAAACATTCCATAAAACTACGGATCGGTAAGCGATACTTTTTGGACCCATTTAGCAATAGAGCAAAAAAAAAACCAACAACAACAACAACAACTGAAATAACAACACATACAACGCATGTGTATATGCTTGGCGTTGCCGTTGAAGTGTTAAACTTAGATTTGAATGGAACATTATTTCATAGAATGCGGAATTCGATGTATGAAATGTGCTTTAAACAGTTGCATATATTGAGATCACGCGTGCTCACTTCTCAATGGAGCTTTTCGTTGCAAATAAATAGAAACAAACCGAAACCGGTTCAAATACACCGAAGGATATTAATAGTACAATATGTGCGAGCATGAATGGTGTTTCTGGCACATTGCAATTGCACAAACACACATACGATATACAAAGTGCGAGCAGGCGAAAGAGTGCTTGATTAGACGACGACGACGATGCTGAAATGTGCACAAATTGCACATATCGCGCCACACTTAAGCCAACGCCATGACAAAAACAAAACATAAATAGCGCGCATTTTGTTGTAATAAAGAAATAATAATAAAAATGGATTTAATCAATTTTATTGTTACATATTTTTGATTGCATCGCATTTTTTATGTGAGCGTGCGCGCATGTGTGTATACTATTTCACTGTCGAATGTAACGTCAACCACATGGACCTATCGCCTCAAATAGAATAAGGTTAATGGCATTTTTTTTTTCATTGTTCGAATGCACCAATTGAACAAGAAAAACGAATTATCCGCAACGAAAATATCGTCGCCGCGTGTGTATGTTTATGCTTCGAAAATTGTTTGAGGAACAAACAGTTAACACTATTTACGATGCTGAACATAAAGAATAGACATCAACTGGTAATCAATATAAAACACTCAACGATTTACTAAATGACGGCGAAAAATTGTGGTGTTGCACTTGTAATGCATTTGCCAATATATGAGCAACACATCAATTTAGCTCAAGATAGCTTAATCTAATATTCACGGCATTTTTTGTTTTGTGCTGCAGGTGCTGTGCGGTTTTCTTGCGCAAACAGTGCGATGATACACAGCTATATAATTGAAATCCAAATGGCGAAAATATTCGCAACAACAATAAATGTAAATGAACCCAGTGAACTTTTGAACGAGGGAGAGAGAGAGAGAAAAACACACAAAAAATGTTATCTGCATCAAAACCAGTTTGATGGTGGTCAGCACGGAAATATACACCTGATATTAATGCACCGCAAATGCACAGGCGTATACCAGCCCAATTAATTTTTGGATTGAATCGAAGCAAGAAAGTACGAAAATAAAATTGCATTACAATGCCATGTAACATATTGGATTATAACAGTAACATCGCAGCCAATACGATAACAAAAGAAATGAAAAACCGTGTAAAAAAACCGATGCATTTCATACGCAAAATATGTGCCAGTGAAATGAGTAAAAGCGTAATATTGTGCGCATTAGACTTTAATTTCAGTTTCATTTTCGGTCCGAAGATCGTATCGGTCATCGATTGACATACTATCACTTGGAAAAATTGAAAGAAAAGAAAGAAGTTGCATCATACTGAATGCAATCAGTTTATTTTCATGTCATCAATGGGACCAGTGAGAAAAATGAAAGACAGGAAGTTTACTATTATTATGTAAATCACTATAATTGATTACATTCGATTTTGTTCTACTTATAACAACAACAAAGAAAAAAAAAAGAGAAAAGAAAGACGCACACAAAGGTCCGAAGCGATAATCGAAGCGTAATTTTCATACATGTTTGTATAAGAGATGCAATTGTTCGACAAATGTCTTGGACACCATCAACAAAAATCCGTTTCGTTTTTGTTTTTATTGCCTTGAATGAACATTTAAATCAAAAGTAGATTTCATGGTGCATAAATGTGCACAAATTAGCATAATTTCAAGTCAATTTATCACTGTTCTCTTGTGAACATCCAACAATACTATCCATTTGATGGAATTTATACACAGATACACGAAGCGAAAGAAACAAAACACACACACACTCACATGAGTGGCGAGTGGTAAACAAATAAAAATGCGCGCGATTGGATTTCCGAAATCGTTGACGTGAAACATTTCAAATTCTGAGCCACTTTTATATTGTTTGGTTATAAATTAAAATTGTTGTAAAAGCGATCGAGAGCGAGAAGTGTGTGTGTGTGTGTGTGTGAGAACGAGATGGAGATTGAGGGAGAAAAAGTAATATATATATAAAATGTTCATTGTCGTTGCAATGTTAATGGTGCTCATTTAAAGTGGGTTTTTCTTTCGCAATCATTCACAGCGCAAAGATTTATACAATTTGCACTTCACATAAATCTAATCTCCATTAAAATAACTTGTCCCAAGATTTTATTTATTAATTCTGATTATGTTGTCGTTCATGATTTTATCCGAAAAAAAAAGATTTCTTGTCTCCTTCTTCTTCATCTCTTTCCTTGTTGGTGGTTTTTTTTCACTATGTGCTATTTCATTGCAGCGGGCGGACGGGCACGCGATCACAGACTTTTTCATCGATTTCACAACACGATCAACGTTCCAATGTGGAGGCAATCACCAATCAACCATACATTCTGAATGATTTAAATTAACACTCTTTTAATTGATCTTGTTCATATTACAAAGAGTAAAAATCTAAAGTCAAGGATTTTGTTGTAATTAATCCGTTTGTTGTTTGTTTGCTTCTGTTAAAACATTTCGTTATTCTTTTATATAGAAATATGTACCATCAGACACAGAACAACAAACACAGACAGAGAGATACTGACATAAAAATAACAATGAACTGAAAATTTGATTGCAGAAATTCGAAAGAAACGGATTTAAATGCGCATGTTTGCTTGTTCGGCGAATGAAATGGGGTCGTGAGCAATTTCGGTGTCTTATTTTTTTTTTCTTATTCGGCTATTGTTCCCATTACGGTATCACGTTTGAACGCATCGTGATATAAAAGGAACCACGCTTCTCCAACACGTGAGCATTAAGCTTAAACCGTTAAGCATTTGACTTGCTTTATTCTTAAAATTATCTAATCGTATTAATTGAATATCGTGTTTGCGATGAAATTTATTCGAAGATATTTACAATAATATCCGTCTATCATCAACAACCATATAATCATTGTTTTGGTTTTTCTTTGTTTTCATCAATTTCACACGAAATTATCGTACTTCATTATCGATTTAACTGTTTTATTGTGTTGCATCATTCAGCAACTAAGAGATTTCGATACAAAAAAAAAGTTACACGAACAAAATAGCAAATTGAAGGCGCTGAGAAAGCAACAAAAACGTGATCAATTGAAGTCAATTAAAACATAATATGATATTGTCATCAAATAGCTGAACATCTCATGCACGCAGCCAATACAGGAAAAGTTCGCACTTCGTCGCGAAAATATGCGACACTTTTGTTTTAATGAACAACCGTGTTTTTTTTGCACGTGCATTTTCATTTACCTGTCGAAACGCAATGACAGCTTCATACTGTACTCTATATACAATTATATTCTCTATTTTTTTTCATAACATTTGTGAATGAACTTCAGCGAATCAAACCAAATAAATCATAAGCCAAATATCCATATAAATTGTATTACAGTGTGTATGTATTATATAGGAATTTGTCGCGCTTGAGACCTTTAAGTATTTTTTAATTGGGTGCCAATTAATCAATTTCTTTTCTTGACATAACAAATAAGATTAATGAAAAAAAAGAGGCATACGAACGACGAAAGATGGAAATAAAACGCACAAATAAAACATAGAAATAAATTCGATGCGAGGACTTGTGGTTTGCTACTGTGTATTATAATATGTTATCCGATTCATAGAGTTGCATTACATTTAATTTTTAATGAACCAAGTGAACTTGAATTAACGTTATTATTGTTTAGTAGTTTCACATCAGTCTTCTCCGCTTTTTTTTTTTTTTTCAATTTTGTTTCGACGTGCGTATAAAAAAGTAGACCCAATCGTTCCGTCCCAGTACAAATCACAGCATTGTGAACATTTCAACATAATTCTTTTTTTATTTCGATTCGTTTTTATTTTCAAAGAATTTGTTTTTGCATTATTATCAATCCATCAGATTTGATTTGAATCGAAAATTAAAACGAATTTAGAATCATTTTTTTTTCGCTGGAATTTTGTGTTAATACACGCTGAAAAGCTATCTTTCTTTCTGTTTGATTGTTTTTGATACGCTCTTAAAAGTAATTAAATAAATTCCGACAAGGACAAATTGGTGTGTGTATAATCGGTGTGCGTGATATAGTTCATTGCGTTGGTTATGCATTGGCTTTTATCTCATCATGGGAATTTGATCGGCAAACGATTTCATCAGCCAAAAAGTAATGAAGTGCTGCGGTGAGCACGATGTTGAACATTTTACTTGATGCTAATTTATGTTTCAAACTATCAAGAATGGTGTAGTGAAACATTTAAATTCTATCAATAAATCACATGATATGCGTGAAATATCTCGCAACAATTCAACAGAAAAATCGAATTGAAAATGACCGGATTGCATCACAATTTTCACCGACATTCTTTTTTTTAACGACATTAGGTGTTTAAAACATATAAAATATTAATGGTTTTCATGTAATCATTGCACGGTGGAAACATGGCGATTGAAGAATAAAAACCAAAGAACAAAACAATTGAGTGATCAATGCGATAGTTAAAAAAAGCAACAACAAAAAAAAAACAACGCGACGGAACCTGAAATTAACAGTTGAAAAAATTGAAAGTTGATGCGATAATGATGCATTTCTTTTTATTCACATTTCGTGTATTTCTTTCTCTAAATGTGTGCCATCACACGAACCAACCATTGTAATTTGCCAAGACGAATGAATGAAATGTTGTGCGATACTCTTTCTCTTTCCTTTGATCCGACACACAATTTCCTGCTCTTACGATCAAACCACATTGAAGCACATTCAAACGAAATTCGGAATTGAAAATCCGGCGGTCATTTTCAACACGATCCATATTAACGTGGAAACAAAACCCCAATAACACATTTAATAAATATTACAACAAAAAAAAGAAGTGCATTTTTAATTTAAATAGCGCAAAAGATTGGCGGCAATATATACGGTACCATTTCATTTATTGCATTTTATTGCTTGGTTTTTTTCGTTGTTGGTCTGTTGCTTTTCGATCGTCTTTCTTTCGCTTCGCAAACAAACACACATTATTTTCACTGATGAGCACTTCTTTCTTTCTTTCGCGATTGCGATTGTACACAAGTTTTCGTGCACTCACACCGTCGACTACTTTGAAACATATGTATGCGTCTGCAATAATCACCTATGCCAAAGCATACGCATTTATTCAAAAGAACAATATGTACAATGTTGGCAAGTAAAATCGAACATAAAAAAACGAAATATTGTTTGTTCATTTGCTCAGGTTGATTGATCAAATGCTGCTATTTTGATATATTGGCATTTTTCGCGCGTCCATTTGGTAATTGATGCAATGGCAATGCTCTATGAGACGCTATAATAATACAACAGCACCAATAACACACACAATCCAATTGAAAAATGTGCGTATCACTATCGCGAACACTTTCATTGATCACTTATATCGCAATCAATTTATCAGCAGAAAAAAAAAACACCGTTCGTATCAAAAACCATTCTTATTTTATATTTTCATAAATAATTACTTTTTAATTCAAAAATAGAAGAAACACTTACAATATACATTTTGTAGAAGAAAATATTGCGTTTAAAGAATGAACACTTGAAAATCTCTTAATGGGCTTAAATCCAATTTTTTTCTACTACGTTGAATTCTTGAATTAAAAACCGCTTTATTGCTATCACAGATAAATTCAAACCAATGAATTTTATTTAACGGACAATTGATTGTAGCGTTTTATATTGCTGTACGAAAACTAACAAATACTGAACACTAAGAATATGGAAAAAAAAATTTGAAGATCGAAACCGAAATTAAAAATTTTAAATTCAGGTGAAAAAAAAAAACAAAGCGATATAATATCGGAGGATCGAAGAATTGGTGGATCGGTAAGCTTCAAACAACAGACACTTAATGATATCCAGCCGTTTTGCCAAAGTGAATTTATATGGAAAAAAATATTTCACTCTCTCTTTCGTTTACTACAAATCCACGAAATAAAAACAACACAAAGTTCGCGCTTACACACACGCAAATATGCGGTACTATGCTAGTAACAACGCTTGCATGTTTAGTTTTCTGTTCTCTTCGTAGCACACACATACACCATTACAGGTACACCACACAGCTGAATCGGTGTATTTGTTTAACGATGGAACGCATGGCTTTTGATTCGGCCGTTTGCATGTGTTTGGCGTTATGTTTTGGCACAGGTAGTTCTTTCAATAGATCGGAAGCTAATACGGACATACACACATAGATCAATCCGCAAAAAAAATTGTACGAAGAAATAAAAATAAAAAAAATCATAACAAAACAAACAAAGAAAATATGCTGGCCAGCATGCAATTTCATCAAAATCTACGCAAATCAATCGACAGAACAATGAGTGTGTATGATTTTAACAATAGGGCATCGCGGTATAAGTGTTGTCTTCGCCGCGGCACGGTTGTGTTCTTCTTTGATATTTCCGTGAGAAAAACATGATATTGCCTACACAGTTTTCCCACTCCGTGTGTAATTATTTTTGTCGCAAGACACACCGTTCCATTCCCTATCTCATTCTCTCTCTCTCTCTCTCTCTCTCTCTCTTCGTGTAGAGTGTGTGTTTTTTTTTCAAGACCGGACCAAGAGCAATGTAGTAATAATTCTGTTACACTTTGCATAGAAACTTTTGTTGCTCATAAATGCATGATTTAGACCTTTTTTTAGTCGTCGTCATCGTCATCGTCGTTTAATGAAATGGAATGTAATGGTTTTTTCTTTCGGTTTGCGACTCAAAACTTCCAACTTCATCACGTGCGCCTCCGTGTACAGACACTGCTTTTTATTTGTTTTTTTTTTTTTTTTTTTTTTTTCTATGGTACTTTAATTACATTGGTATTTTTCCTACTTGATTTGTGTTGATTGCCGTTCATAATCGGACGGATGTCTCCAAGTGCCACCGAATTAATTAAGATTCCAACCTTGATGATTCAATTAGGTAGTTGAGAGTCTATGCAATTTGTAACCAGCTATGAAATGTGTGAAAATGGTAAAATCACACTCATCGATAGAACACAATCTCTCTACGTTTATTTTTGTTTACAACGAAACGCCTGCATTACAGACATTAACCGCATTTCTGAGCTTACATTCAATCATCATTTACCACAATCGATAAATATTGTAATGAATCACATCGACACATAGAGTTGTCATTGAACAATCTTCCTCTAACAATTAAATTAACCACCGTCAATTCATTTGAATATCAAAGTAACAACACATTATGCGGGAAAATTATGCATTTTCTTGTTTGTTTGTCTTTTTATTGAAAAGAAATGACTGCGTTTATTATTTTATATATAAATTATTTACAATTTAATGATTCTGGCAAGGGATTTGACAATGAATTTTTAATTTCCGTTATATCGCATGCGGTGGGCGATTATTGGCACGATTTATGCTAAACAGTCGGAAACAGTCGCTAAATATTTTCATAAGAAAACAATTATCGATCGAATCACAAGGAGTGTTCAGTTTGATTAACTGGCGAGGGTAACAATATCACAGGTTTCATAATCATAACTAAAATTAATCATTCAGGTGAATATTAATAGATCACTCGAATAAAAAAAAATTGATATCTACAAATAATTGCATTTAATTGTTTGCGGTTTCTTACATCACCATATATTATTCACTCCAATAGAATTGCATTACAGCCACTATATTTCTACAATATAATGAGATCTAAATTGCTTCTTCAATTGAGACAGATTTTGTGCAGGTAGCAATATTTTCTCGAAATGTCATTGAATTGAATAATGAATGAAACAAAAAATTGGCTCCAATCTAATTTGCTGTGATGAGAATCATCGTCGAGATTTTACTGGTTTTAATGTGGTTTTAAGGGAAATCATTTATTACGAAATGAATAATAATTTTTTTGCGTTAAATTTGAATAAATCATATAAAATAAAATGCGTAGAATGTTGTTGAATCATGGCGATTGAAATAAAAATTATATCGCACACAATTTGGTTCCGTTTGTCAAAGAGAATAGACACATTAATCACACAACGGTAAGCCGAGAGCTGGTTTTGTTTTAAACAATTTCATCTCATTTATTTTGTTTCCCAGCGAAAAAGCGACACATAAAACGACGAATATGAATTTATTCCGATGACAAAATGTGCGTAAGTGACTTGACGAAAAATTGGAGTGAATTCAGGAATTTAGAGATTGTTTTTTGTTTGGTTTACGTTCAAGGATACTAATTAAGCAATTTATACAGTTTCTATAACTCTAAATCGTTCCATCACTCATAAAATAGATTGAACAAAAGCCACATATTATTACACATTAGCACATCGATAAATTGCCCATAATTACATAGAATCGTGTGTCACAGTCAGCGCCATTCCTTTGTTCATCTTTTTATTTCGTCGCTTTTTTCCGACATATTTTTTAACGTGGTTTTAAATATATTAGAAATAATTGGATGTCTCTTAGCGCTTCCTTTAAGTTAAGTCACTTTATTACACAGCAAATGAGTTTCCGCATGCAATTAGACGTAAATCGATGAAAAAATACGATCGCACACGTGACTATCAGAATTGCAATTTACATTGTACAATGTATCTCACGGTGTGTGTGTGTTTGTGTGTGTTTTGCTCACATGGGGGCCATATGTAAGCAATATCATGCCGAAAATCACCGTTTTAAGGAAGCGATTCTTCATCGACAGGCGATGGCAACAGGACGAACAGGAAAACATTATTGAAATATGTAAATTGCACTACCGTCAGCCAATGCAATAAAGGTTGATCGATTCAAGATCAATTTCAAGTTGAAGTAGTCGGCTATCATTGTTAGCATTGCTAACCAATTATATAAAAAAAAATTCAACAAAACAACAGCGACGTATTGTATTGAGAGAGAAAAAACTGGATCTCGCATTGTTTTTTTTTTGCATACATTTTTATTGCACTTATTTATGGACGCAATCATTTTGCAGGCATGAGATTGCAATCAAATTGCGTTATTCGTTTTGTCATCTACCACGTTCTTTTCCTTTTGCATCATAAATGAACTTAAAGAAAAGTGAACCGTTTCTTGAATGAACAGAAAAAAATGGTTCTAAGTGCGTTACGACAAGTCAAAAGAATGTGCATTTAAAAAAAAGCAGCCGTCATCAACGATGACGTAAGAATTCTCTATGTCTCGAAAGAATTTCGTACAGGTTATTCAGTCAAAACATTGTCTGCGTTTGTGAGAAAATAATGACTCAAAAAAAAAAAACGTAATTAATCTCTCTTGTGTATTTGTATATGAACGCGGATGCGAAAAAGTATGCGCGCGTGGTATGATAAAAACTCAATGTCTCCGATGTATTAGAATTTGTGTTGTATATACAAGTTCTAGGTCGGTCAATTTTTTTTATTGTTATTATATTTACGAGATTTCGGTGTAATTCGGAAGCATGTACCCTAAACATTTGTTCATTTATCAAAATCATATTTCGATGTACAGCGTACACCCGAGCTAAAGACGATTCACTTTGACAAAAGACACACATAATAAAATCACCCGAAATGATGTTAGACATGAGAGATTATGGTGATTATCGGTTTTCAGGTGAGGTCATTGGCTATCATTCTTTATGTCCAACACTCTTTTTTCTCGGTTGAATTTGAACTAAGGCGCCCGGCCAAATTAAATTGAAACGACCCAAAACCGTGCATTCATCTTTTAAGATGTATCACATATCTACCATATTTTCAATTATAATAACGAATTAAATAAATGATGTGACACGTATTAAAATTAATGAATGTGATTGGTTGGTCGGTTGGTTGGTGTTGTTGTTTTTTTTGTGCGCCGTACTTTTGAATATTGTGTTGTCCGCTTATGACATTGTTCATCGTAGTAAATGTCTAAATTTCATTGGAAAATTATTCGGATGATTTATTGGTTTGCTGACCGAATGTGGCCCAATGATAAACAGCTAAACTTTCTGGTCGATGCTGAAGGCACCTTCAACTTAATTACTATTTTAATATTACTACCATTTTCGGACTCAACAGAATCGCAAAATCTTTTTCAAATTTTTTTTGAACTAAACACCGATGTATTCGTCAGACGTTCGCACACACACACACACACTGGATGAATTTTAATATGTTTAACCTCTTTCGAAATAGTGTATTGGCATTTGATTGAAAATTATCAAATCTACCCAAAAAATCCGGTCAATCAACTTTTCTGCTCCTTCTTTGGTGATGTCGTTCAACTTCTAGTGCACAAAAAATGATGCATGAAACTTTTTTTGCCATTTAAATCCAATTTATTTATATGCATTCGAAGCGGTTTAAACTTGAATTTAACATCTATTTTTTGTTCGACTCTTGGCGCGGATACAAATCAATTTTCACGTTGCTATTGTTAAAAACTGTAGACACGCAAAAAAGTATACGCATTCATCTAGCAAATAGTAGTTAAAAATTGGTTTTGCATTATTCGGATAATCCATTTGGATATGATGTTTTATAGAATCATCAATATCCAATATTTATAATAGATTTGTAGTTTTTCGGCGTGAATTCACACCGAATATAAAAATAGGCAAACAAAAAACACTTTACAAATTGCTGCTGAAACGAATGCTAACAAATCGAAAAATTGTAATTTATTGAAACAAAAAAATAAAAATAAAAATAAAACGGAAACACTCGATGATTTCATCTCAATACCATGAAAAATGGGCTTAGACGATATTTTGATGCTGTTGAACCAAATGATTCCATTCCGAATGTTTGGTCATATAATAATCTGAAAGAACTATCGATCTTTTGTTTTCTCTTACTCCAGCAGTTAATGAGCATTCATTGTGATTCATAATAATGACCGTCAAACGACTCAGATCGACACAAGAAAATCAAGTGAAAAGAAGCAGAAAAAAATACTACATAACAAAACGCTTGACCAAATAGCAATGACATTGAATATATAACAGACCCATGAGATGCGAATGCTGACTTGAATCTCTTTCATCGTGTATACAGTATACAGAATTTAAAAAAACGGCATTTCATGCAAAAGCGTACGTGCAGGCTAATCACGTACAAACGATATGAACGACATTTAGACATTTTATTCGCATACATTTCCCAATAAACTAATGTGAGAGCGTTTTATTGCAATGAGATGTATGGCTGATGGAAAATGGCGCATGTTTTTTTCTCTCAGCAAAAACTATCGTTATGGATGCATACACGAAGATATTTAAAAGATGCGATTTTTTTTTTTCAAATCAACTAATGTCGATTTCATTTTAAGCCAATAATATTAATGCGTGTTATTAGAAAGCACAATTTTATAAATAATATGGAATGATTTGCCATGTTTTGTGTATTGATGTAAAGAAATCCATGGAAAAAAGCATCAAATTCACCCCAAATTATATTTTGTATGACAAGATTTCAATGCGTAAAATTTTTTTCTCTAAGACATCATAAAAACGTTAGTGAAATCAAGTAACTTCAAAATTTGAAATCACATTTGGAATTTCGTTGCTTTCATTGGTACGACAATTCAGAACATTAATAAACTTCCGCGTCAAGATCAAGAATTTTGGTAATAAACTTGTGAGTCATTGCAATACTTTTGATTGATTAATTGTTCACACTATACACGCCAAATCCCTAAAGTCAGTAGTGTGTAACAACAAACACAAAAGGGAATGTCTGTGTGTCAAAAAATCCTAAAAGAAATACGTGTTTTCACATTCAAACTGGAACACAAATAATCGTATTTCATTAAGTTGAGAAGTTGAGATTATTGCAAATGCGATAATTGAGGTAGAGGTGGGTTAAATATAAAGTGGGTAGTAAATATAACAAAATGGGCAGTAATTAAAATGCAAAAGGGGGAAAAATCACCACCATTCTAATTGTTGTCAAACAAATGGCCTTGTCTCGGTAGCAAGTTCATTACCATTGCATAAAGAAGAAAAAGAAGCTCGTATAACTGAACTAACATACCACATAACCGATTTTTTTGATGATCGTACAAATTATCCAGCTGCAATTTAATTTAATTTTTCGGAGCACCACAATCAACTTTTACATTTTCTTTTATTCAAATTTTGTGGTAAAGGTAAGGTTTGGGATGGGACACGAAACCTGATGAATGCTGTCGCAAACATGATTTTTGCTCGAGATCTCTTGCTGTTGACGTCATCATGCCTTAAATAGATTTCATCAGTCGATTTACACTTCAACGATTCAGAATTTACACGAAGTAGCTGCACCTGCGATCATAAACTAGGTGAAAGGTGAATGTCTGGAGCAACGAGGATTAAGAGGAGCCATGAATCTATTTTTTTTATTCTTGAACTATAAAAAAAGTTCTTTGAATCAAATAAAAAAAGTTCTTCTTTATTCAACTGTGCTATCTTTATAATTCTGTGTAATAATAAATTCGTCGTTTGGCAAACGCACTTTCAATATGTCCGCTTGGTAAGTCCACGCCTTCTGCATGTCCTCTGTATTTTAGATGATGTTTAACATCGACCGTAGTCTGGAGAAGAAATTCGACTAAATCTTTTTCTGTTTGCTCAAGCATTTTGTTGTGACGTTCAAATGTACAGTTTATATGAAAATCGAACATCTTTTCACACGTTTTAGATATAACGATCATATTTGGTTGGATCGAAATCTGGCAAAACAGCCACACGAGTCGCTTGCAAGACACACAAATCTTCGCATTGATTTCTCGCCTGAAATTGTAATGAATCGTTCTTAATACCACTTGTTTGAAAGCGCTTACTCCAAGCATTGTTGAAGGAAGTGGACGAGAAAAATCATTTCGATACTTGTTCAATGGTTGCAACGATATGTTCACCTTGCCACCAAATGAGCTTTCACATCGATTTAAATATTCGCCGGTTCTGTCAGCAAGTAAATATCGTCTTTCCGGGTTGCGATTATAAGGTTAGGTGATCACATTCCAAGCGTGAATGAAATATCAAAAATATAAACCAATTAAAAGCAAAACATTTCAGATTTGGAGTATCGGTCAAAAAAACATATGTTTTATGCACACATTATTTCCGAAAAATAAAAAAAAACATTTAGTAGCTTTGAACAATTTATTTTAATCGATATTTACAGGCTATGAAATACATTTTGAATTCAAATGTTGATGCAAACGAAAAATTTATAGAATTTGTTCTCTTGTATTCATAGATAATTATCTATTTTAATTAAGATTATAATTAAAAAGATGTCAATTGATTTTTTTTTTTTTTGAATAAGTATATACCGTTGAATACAATTGTATTAAAATAAAATGAAAAAAAAGAATCAATGAACTGGTTGCCCACACTGGAGTACAAAATCATACTTCCAAACAATTTTTTCTTTTCAACAAACGCGAACTATTTTTTTCTTCAAAATTGGCTTATAACTGGTTGTCAGTTGGGAAATTTAATGGTTCCTAGTGGAAAATTGTGTTAATATGTTCATACATAATTCATTTTGTTTCAAGTGAAAAATGATTTATGATTACGATGTTGACGCTTAATTTTCGGTTATTCTTACGCCGCGAACTTGTTGAATGTCATCTAAGTCGAGATCTGAATCGTCATCGTTGTCCTTTGTTGTGTTCACTGGTTCGGTTGATTTGTTTACAATTGTGTTGGCATTTTTCGTTTTGTCGGGTATATCTAAGGTGATCCAGTGTCCCGGTTCCGCTTTTGGCATTGTGATTTCCACTTTTGTACCAAACATTTGTACTGTTGCTTTTGGTACGGATATTATCTGAACAAAACGAAACCAAAAAAATGTGATTATTTGTATGAGAGTATATCATAAAACTCTATAGAAAACTTACACCCCGTAATTCCAAATCGAGTTTGAATTCGGCATCGTTTTGCTGTGGAAACACAAGGCAAACATTCAATCGAATTGGATTGACCTTGATAAAACTCTTATCGTAATGATACATTTTCGCGTATATAGCAATGACGATATTCGATGCCGTTTGATGCCAATCGTATCTGCATTTCACTTCTTCATTTTGATCGGCCTAAATGAATGAAAACAAAATAAAATCATCATTTGTTATCGTTGTTCAAATACACGTCGACGGTGATTTATCTCAATACGAACAGTCCATTTGTGTTTGCCATAAGCGCAACCCTTTTGTTCCATAAAAGCGGCAAAATCTGTTGTACGTTTTGTGCAGCATGACCAATATTTAAGACCTTCATGAAAAATCGCCTGACCCGGATGATGAACACATTCGGTATTATCACTCGATGGTGACTCATACGTTTTACCACATCCAGCGTTTTTACAAGCTGTTCCAATCGCAATTTCACTGTAAAAATCAATGTACAATGTTTATTTTGTCTGGCTGCGAAAAACATTTGCTTTCATTCTTACTCGGAAAGATTTAATGTTGATTTTTTTGTATTGCCAATAACTAAATCGTCGATTGATTTTTTCAGAGCTGGTGCAATAATTGGTGTCAATGTCACCAATTCTGTGTCGAACGATGGTCTTTCTAATGCACTTGGTTTTACTGGTTCTGGCATCTTTACTGGTTCTGGTTCATCTTCGATCAGTTTTGGTGCTGCTTTCTCTGGCTCAATTGGTTTAATATTTGAATGTTTTGACAGTTGACAGCCTTTGATGCTTAAAAACTCCGTAAAATCGACACTTTTCTTATTACAACAAGACCAGCCTTTGTAAGCATCGTGGAAAAATGGCATACCAGGATGATGACGGCAAGCATCTTCAAAAACAAACAAGAAACCAATTGAAACCATTCAGAATAAACTCAATGTTTCGAGAACATTCTTCAATATTCGTATGACATAACCTAAATCTGTACAATATTTCATATAGTTGAACTTTTTATATTATTTTTACAACGAATAAACCTTTGTGCACGTTAACCGTCGAAATTTTTTCATTGATAATATTTATTTCATTGCAATCAACAATTTATTCTTACCATCTGGATTGTTTTCTGGATCGAAATTTTGACCGCAACCTCTATTATAGCACGAAATCATTTTGTACAACAATTTTTTTTTAATTTGAATCACAACGAAATAAAATCCCACACGATTTATGTGTTCAGTGGTTTCTTTGTTTGATAAAATGTCCAAATTTTTCGATTTGGTCGATTGTGATTTATTTTGTTTGTTCGATGTCGAATAAATTATTGCAAATCACTTGGATGGTTCTGATGTTTTTGTGCTCTGTATTTATAACTGTCATTTATAGTTGTGACGAATTTTGTATACTCTACACCATGCGATACTGTAGAGAATGCAAACGAATTCAAGTCGACAATACCGCCGATTTTTTGACACATGTCAAATTTGTTCAACCTAAAATACACTTCGTATTCGGAATTTTGTTTTCCTTTCACAAACTTAATAGCGCCGTGTTTTATTTTCGTTAATTTTTTGATTTTATTCCTTTTTCGACATCTTTCGAACCGATAACAATTTTAATCACATAACAAAAAGAAAACACAATGGAGAGAAATTATGCTGAAGATCAGGCTAACGAAATCGAAGCACTCGAATCAATTTATTGTAATGACATCGAAGGTGAGCTTTATCATTTAAATAATAATTAAATTATTTGAAGAAATATTCAAGTGAAATGTGGAACGAAATATTTGAACATTTGAATCGTATTTACTTGCAGTGGTCAGCACAAGTCCACATAATTTCAGTATAACAATATCAACGGAAGAATATGATGCCGAAACAGACAGTAATGGGCTATCGTGTCAATTGGTTTTTACCTATACAGAAAAATATCCAGATTCGGCACCATTGGTAGAAATCGAAAGTCCCATTAATTTCGAAGATGATTTCGAAGAAAAGTTATTAGAGCACATCAGTGAAACGGTCTGTTTGGTTTTTATTTTTTAAGTTTTCAAATTTGGCAGACAAGGAAATTTATCACTTATAACATTTCTTTATTATTGTTGTAGATCAACGAAAATTTGGGCATTGAAATGATATTTTCATTGGTGAGCAGTGCACAAGAATGGTTGAATGTAAAATGGGATGATTATAAAAAGATAGAAGAATCACGGGCCCAGCAAAAACAAAGAGAACTCGAAGAAGCTGAAAGGGTATGTTTCATTAACTCGAAACAAATTGATTATTGTAAACTTACACTTTTCATTTCAATTGTAGAAAAAATTCGAAGGAACACGTGTTAGCGTCGAAACGTTCCTTAAATGGCGTAACGAATTCGAGCGAGACACTGGTTTAGTGGAAAAACGTGAAAAACAAGCGACCAAAAAATTAACCGGTCGCGAATTGTTTATGCAAGATAAGACATTGAATGAATCGGATTTGAAATTCTTAGAAGCTGCTGGCGAACCAATTGAAAATGTTAAAATCGATGAATCACTTTTCCAAAATCTCGAAGATTTGGAATTTGGTTCAGACGATGATGATGACGATGACTACGTTCCCGGCGCTGATGATTCCGACTAAAGGCCATTTTTATTTGTTAATTAGTTTTTTAAGTGAACAATTATAAAATTCAATGAATAAAACTAATTGATAGTATCTTATTGTAAAAGAAATAAATTTTTTCATTATCTATTTAAATTTGTCAATTTTTTGCGCATATAAAATATTTCATTTCGAATGAACATTTATAGAGATAAACTAGATGTATAGTTGTTGAGTTGGAAAAAGCGACTTAGAATGACCAAACTTCCTCCAGCGTCGTTAAAAAGCAGTCACTGTAAAACAGTCGAATTAAAGCGCAAATATTTTCTTTGGTGTTTGATGACGATTTTGACTGATTTTCAACGATATCAATGGTTGCTTGCGCCACGGATCGAATGTCTGCAAATTTCTTCGATTTTATCGAACTCTTCAAGTCTTCCAACGCCTGTTCGTATTCCTTATTTTGACTTTTACTGAACGAAAGATAAATATATGGGGTTGGTTAGATTATAAGATTGTGGGCTTTGATATTTAAAAAAAAAACATACCTTTCCAAAAACAATGAAAAGATTATGCATGCCAAGCATTTCGCAATAATTTTGCGTCTAAAAACAAAACAGAAATCGATTAATTTTTACCATTGAAGAAAATTTTGGACTTTTTCTTTACTTATTTGATGTTGTCTCCTTTTTCAAGCCGATGGCACCCAAAATACCCTCGCTCCATCCATCCGATACATTCGATGTTGATTTTAAGTGTCTGGCCAATGTCAACAATGGCTCTTTTGCATTTGAATTGGTTTCGAGAAGTGTGAAGCCACATGTTATCAACAGACCCCAAATGATCACCAATTTTGATTCAGTATTTAATCTGCAACATCGCAAATATATTTCAATATAATTCAAAGTATTTCGTTAATTTTATAAAACTCACGATGATTTATAATTTTCCAGCATTTTTCCGATATTCTGAAGATAAGTAATCCGATCACCACTTTCGCGTAACTCCTTTAATTTATAAATCATCGAAATATAAATACACAATAGATGTTCGCCATCAAACATTTGTTGTAGATCAAATGATGGTAATGTTGGTCCTAAGCGTCTTAACACATTTGACCATGATGGTGAATGTTGATCTTTTGTCGATTCTATAAAAAAAAATCAAATGTGGATTAGATTCAATAAAAAAAAGTAAATTTGATCCAATTTATACTCACCCAAATGTCTGAAATAATTAAAAACCGTCGTTTCGATCAATAGAAATATATTGTTTGAAAATGATTTACATGTTCCAATTGCATTGAGAGTCGATGATACAAGCACATTTCCGATTTCATTGCTTGCTTGCCATATTGAGATCGCCTCAACGAAAATTCTACATTTTACAACAAAATCAAATAAATAACTTTGAAAGGATCGATCATTTTTGTGGCTTACCTCGATGTAAATTCACCCTGCAATTGAATTGATCCAACCATCTCAATCATCATATTAATACAGTCCATTTCATTCTCTGAAGAAAAAAAAAGTAAATAAAAAATTATTTGAATCGATGGAATGTTATGTTTTTTTTACCTTTGCTCGTCACACCATTGATCAGAGATAGCAAATTGGAAATGGCTGAATGGAAGGATTTTGATCCTTCTTGAGTCGTAAGAAGTTGTTGATATTTTGAACCACATAATCGTAACAATCGAACAATGGTCTTAACGTACAAAATACGTTTTGCTTGCAATTGTACCGATGATTGGGAATGTTCTGTTTCATGATTTATGATTGATGATGTTGTTTGTAGCAAACTAGAAAAAATGAAAATCGAACGAAATGGTTAATCACCAAAAAAAAAAAATATTTCGTCCAAATAATGGATAATGGTTACCTCAAGATGCTATTGTCAACGGCTGAATGTTCGGAATTCAAGCACAAAATAGATGATGGTTCCGTTGACATTACATACCAATCAAATGTGCCCTCAATACCTTGATAATCGAGCATATACCACGGGAACGCAAGGGCTTCTTGTAATAACGTTAATAATTGTGCATTCTCTCGAACGCCCGGTTCATACGATAATTTAACAAACATCAATAGTAATGTGGATAAAATGCGATTTCTCGTCGCATAATCCCATTGATGGATGTTATTGTACAGCCATGGTGTCCAATTTACGCGAAGGAAAATATGACCCAAAAATGAATGACAATCGGGTAGATACTGATAGAAGTGAATATGTTTGAATATTAGATATAAAAAAAATTGAGGTTGAAACTTGAATCGATCGCTTTCTCCATTCGACTTACCTGTTGAAGCAATCGATGAAATCCGCTAATATTCAACGGTGTTGGTTTCAAGCGATTCCACGGCAGAAGCACTAACGTTGTATTTGTCGGAAGTAAAACATGACGTGGTACGGCCACATTACCGAAATTCGTCTCATACCAATAGAAAATATTGGTGAGAATTAAATCACAAGCAGGAAATGTGTCAAGCATAAATTGTATACAATTGATGAACGATTGTAATAAAATTTGTGAATAATGCGAATATAATTCGCTCCATGGCAATAAAATTGGCGTATTGAATTGTCGAATCCAATTGGCTGGGAGATTTGGTAAATTTTGCGGATAGTATGGAAATAACCATGGCGAAAACATTTCACACACATTCGGCCAAATCCAATCGATTACTGTATAAAGAAAAACAAAAAATGTCGTTAGAAACATTTAAATCGAAAATTAAATGCAAAAACAACATTTGTAGCTTACAAGTATCGGAGAGAGCTCCCGGATTTGCATGAACGGCGGACACAATTAACGCATGACCAAATGTTTCAAACATTGCCGATAACCATTTGCAATATTCCTTATGAATCGGATACAATCCATTCAAACCGTGTTGTAAACGCTCATTTTGAAAATGACGCGCGAACAATGCAATTGTTTCATATAGATCACGGTACGAAAATAGTTTTTGACTCGTTGCAAAGTATAAAATGTCTTCTTTCATTTTGCTAATATCGGCATTGGCATCGATTTCCGGGCAATTGGCCAATTTGTAGATTGTATTCAGAAGCTCCAGCAGAATAGATGGCATGAGTTTGTTCTCTGAACAACCTTTTAACACCATGAGTAATACTTCACCATAATGTTCCGGAAAATCATACATGAATATATGGATTAGATGACGTCGTAGCAACTGAAAAATTGAAACTCTTTAGACAGATTGGTCAACATAAAATTTTGCGAACCAACTTACTCCTTGAATGACGGCCGATTCATTTTTATTCCAACATTCCAAACCTTGTAAAATCAATTGTACCAATTGATTGATGTCGGCTAATTTTGGTTTATGCATTGCCAACCAACTATTTACATCGAACTGTAGAAAATGAAATGTACAAAAATTGTCTATTGATTTAATAACTTCAATTGGTGGGCAAATCAATGGCACACTTACCTTAGATAATAACACGAACAAAATTTTTGGATCACAGTGTTTCAAATGAGAGTCAATAATGAATTTGTAAAGTTGTAAAAAGACTTCTGGTATTGTGACCGATGGCACAAATAAATCCGAAATCGGTTTTATTAAATCCGGCCGCTTCATTGCTGTTTTCAATAAATTCATTCCCTCTGTGTTTTGATTCTCTTGCAGGAAGATCTGCAAAAAATGAAAACAATTTAGCATACTAGCGCTTCAAATGTTTAAGAATTCAATGGATACGTACGCCAATTTGTGATAAAATGACCGTGCAGAGATCTTGTGCGGGATGAAATGAATTGATATTTTCATTGATTGCATTGATCATGTAATAGAAAAATGTGTTTGCAATTGTTGTGATTTCCTTGAGTTGAGTTTCATCGTTAATATGCTTGAAATATCGATAGCTTTCGAGCAAGCGTTTGATTGAAAATTGAATTTGCACGATTGGAAGAATTTGATGTAATGATGGTGCGGAAATCAATTTATTTATGAGCTGTTCGTGACGGTCACGATTAGTTTGGATCTTACTGCTGACCACGTCGTTGATTTCATGGTAAGGGATCTGTGTGATTCAAATAAGATAAAGGATAAGGATGAATAAATCATCGTTTGAATCATTTTCTTTTCCTATCAAAAACTTACATTGATATTGACAAACACACTGCCTTTGCACGCTTTACTCGATAGCATTGAACCGCAACGAATTTCTCTGCGATCTTGTCGGCTTTTATTCTCATGCAAAATGCGTAGCATTTCTTTATATGTGCTATCCAGTGAGCTCAATTCTTGTACATCCATATGGAATATTCGTGACAGTTCATCGAGTTTTTTGAAATCATTTTGCATCGTTCGCAAAACATTACGTTTGAGTTCGGGCATGGTCATTTTCTTAACCAGCAACGGTTCAATAGGTACAATAGGTGGTGCAATTGGTGCATCATATGAGTCCAATAAACGAACTATATTATCAGCTGGATCGATATTTTTTGTCGCCTTTGATGTGCATGTTGTTTGCTTACTTGCAGCAACATATCGCAAACATCTACGTAACCATGAATTGGCTCCATCTCGTTGAATTTGCCGAATTGCTGACAGTTGAATGTATTCCGTCCAGTGTGCCTGCAATGAAAATGTTTGTTATTTTCCTCTCAACATAATTCAGTCCAATAAATCCGTACGGTATTATTTCCAAAAATCAATGCAAGCCGATTTAGATCGTAAGCCGGCGGAAATGATTCCAATCGAAGATGAAGTATTTTATTTAAGCGCGTCTCCTCCAACCAAAGTTCGAAACTATTGTAAAGTCTGCAAAACAAAACATACACAACCATAAGCAAAACAATGTCAATGTTGCTTTCATTTAATTCACATACCTCGATCGGGCACTAAACAATTCGGATAAAGTCTGATCATCGGATTTGATTGAACGCTCTTTTTCAAATTTCGCACAATCGATGAAGATTTTTTTCAATTTTTTCATCAACGAAATGTTGGCATCATAAAATTTATCGGCCACACCAAAAACGTCGGTGAAACGCTCTTCGTCCGACGTAAATCGAATGCGAGTCAAATACAGATGGAAGAATTTTTGACAAAATATTGGCAACAGCTCCTCGTGTTGCGGTACAGTTAGAATTAAATTCGCCAATTTATAGAGGACCATCGAATTTCCTGGAAACGATGCACATCCAACTGATTTTGATGCATTCTATGACACACACACAAAAAAATGAAATGTTTGCATAATATTAAAATCGTCAATTTCAAGAGATAAGAATAACTCACCTTAATAATATTGTCCATCGAACATTTTCCAGATGCTCCGTGTAATTGACGAATTATCTCTGGCCATAATTTGGTCTCCAATTCGAACATTTCATGTTCAATTTCCAAAACTAAAAGAGCCAACCATGGCGTTGTTGCTGAATGTATCGAAAAGAAACCGGTTGGCTGTGAACCGCCCAGAAATGGTATAAACGTTGATGATGCACTCGATTTTTGTTCGTTATGAATCTAAAACATTAATTATACGCCATTTCTTTCATTTCAATCAAAGTTCCAATTATTTAAAATTAAATTACCTTGCAGAAAATTTTGAATAGATTCTTCGCTGTAATCCAAGCGTCTGTGAATTGATATGCGATGCGAAGAATGATATCAACAATGTATAAAGCGTTTGGATCTTTATACCATTGTGGATTTACGGTTAAGCAATTGAGCCATAAAGTGACAAGCAACACCGGTGTTTGCAAATCAAACTGATAATAGTCGATAATTTGTGCTTGAATCATATTTGAAAATAGTTCAACCACCGGACCCGGATAATCACAACTTATGAAATCCTTGGCCATGCGAATATAAGTACGATCGGCTTGTAGAATTGAAGTGAGTATCGATTGAAAATTGCCACATTTGCATAGGCTTTCGGGGCAATCTAAGAAAAATGGTGTCACAAGTTGTAAGCATCGAATCACAGTCGAATATCGATAATCGTTGAGTAAATTGTTCATTTGAGCAAAACCCTTATGACATATTTGTGGTACCGAATGACCCCACAGTGTTGTTAAGATGGAAATATAAACGGCAATCGGACGATTTTCCATAACGCCTTGTGCAATCGATGGAAGTCGTTCAAGTTCATTTACAAATCGTAATGCGTCCGTTGGATTTCGAATAGCACGCCGAATAAATTCGGCATTTTGATCGAATGAATGCAATCTTAGCACTGATATCATATTCCAACACCACATGATGAACTGTTGATTTGGCGTTTGACCTTTTACCAAATTTGACATTTGACGAACACTCTCCGATATTCCAGACGATCCAATCGTTTCAGGCACATGTTTTGATGATACGTCCACAATTAACGATGCCATTCGTACATGAATTTCATATGGTAAAAATAGTTCGCCGGTTGTTTTATCAAAATTCCAATTCAAACGACTAAATATCGTACGGGCCATTGCATTTTCACGCGTTTCAAAACCGAAATTTAATAACCAATTTGCCGACATTTCAAACACCTCCATCGGTGGACGCCATTCATCCAACGGCAACGATTTAAATAAATACGGTCCGTATTTATCGATCAGCTTAAAATTCTCCTTCAGTAAAATGAGTAAGTCCGAAATCAATTGGGTGTGCTTTGATGTGATATTAACGAGGAGATCACGAACTATCTTATAACAATTGTCTCTTGTGAGCACATTTATGAATCCAACTTTAAATAAATCGGTCGTTACACATCGTATGAATTCGATGTCGTTTATTTCTCTTGCCAACGCCATCGATGCGAATGTTTGCAACAAATAGTACATATCTTCGGCTGGAACATCGATGACAATGTCATTGAACAGCTCCAAAAAGGCACTTTGTGACGTTTTTACTTGAAAATCTGTTGAATTTATAACGAAATTAAGTCAAATGATCATTTCAAAATTTTTGATTTTAGCATCGTGTGCTGTTTCGTACCGTCTGTAACATTTTCAATTAAATCCTTTGAAAAACCAGAGGTTAACATGTAGTATAGTTTCCAAGTGGTGGTTATGTGAAGCTCAGAAAATGGTAAAGTGGCCAAGTATTGCCATGCACCCAAAAATCGTGATAAATAAATGTAATTACTTGATCGTGACACGAATGTATCGAATTCAACCTGAATCCGTGCGCACAACTGGTCATCTTTCACTACATCACTCGATCTGAATGTTGAACAAAGAGAGCAAACCAAATTATGATCTGGCCAAACGAAAATACAACATACGATTGACTAACCTGAACAACGAATGCATATCCGATACATATTGAACCGAGTGTCGCACCAAACGGCTTAAAAGTTTGGCAAATTGTCTATATCTAAATTGAGTGGGAATTGTTTGTTTAAAAAAAAAACACGTTTTTTGCTTCGATTTTCATTAACTTACTTTTCATTTGCATATGTTTTCAGTCCTTCGCCCAAGAGTTCGACTAAGTTCGTTGAGAATGCAATAAATTTCAGCAAATGATATCCGGTTATCATGTTTTTGTTAATTTTCTTAAAATCACCATTCAATGTTGTGAAGGTCATCGATCTGTTTTGAAGTGTAAACAGTAATTGGGGTGTTTATTTAATTCAAAATTGTCGAATCAAGCGTAAATTTACCGGAATAAATTCTCAAATGGTACTTGATTGAGCAGTGCGATCAAATCATTTTCTTTGAGTTTGGCGCATTCACCGGCTGGCGTGTTGTCTTCCTCACCATCTGAATCAATGATAATCCATAAGTCTTCTGCAGTGGCATCGATTGGACCATTTTCGGTATATAAATTGGCCAAAAATTGGGTACGTTGTTTGGTTGGCATAAGAATCACTTTGAGAAAAGTCACACAATGATTGATTTCATCGCTGGCGAATGGTGTAATTTCGTTGATTTTTGCATTGGGTATTTGAATGAGAGCCGTCGCCCAAGATGAGATACCCGGCGGACATCTTAGCACATGATAAATGAGAAACAAATGATCTTGCCACGTAGCCACGCGCACATAATATGCAGCCAATTTCTCAAGCCATTTCTTAATGTCACTGCTAAATTCTTTGTCAGGCACTTGACGACGCAAAAAACCAAATAACACCGATATTGTGACACGAACCTCTCTCATCGCATCCAATATGTCAGCGTTAAGTTTTTTGTTGAGTGCAATTGGTGTTGATGTTCGAATCGATGCAAATGCCGGATGCCCAAGTAATTCACGAATACATTGCTCGATCTGAAAGAAAAAGAAAAATTGATAAGAACAGAGTTTGAAATTCAAATCACGGTAAAACTTCTTTTATTATTGGCATCAGTTAAGTGCCTGAATTTTCGAATGCCCGAACATTTCCCATGCTCAAAAAAATTCAGGGACGCCTCTTGAAAATGTGTTCGAAAGCTTCGAGGAAAGAGTTCGTCCGAGAAAAAATATGGTTGAGAAATGTTCTGGCATTCGAATTTTCAGTAAGCCACTGACATCAGCACTTAGCTATACAGAATATATTGATATTACAGTTCAATGAACCATACGGTTCATACCTGAGTTCGATACGATTCACATGCGTATAAATTTGTCATAAAACTGTAGCACACCAATTGCAGCGTATTATTCAAATTTGATGACAGCTTTTGGAATGTTTGCTCATTTAACACGGCATATCTGTCAAAGATTATTAAAAATGTATCAATTTGATGGGTAAATTAATTCGTTTTTTTCTCTCTCTTTCTTACTCGTATAGTTCATTTTTTCGAATTCGTTCGCCATCAGCACATACACCTTCATACGATGTGATACGATTCTCAATGATCCACACTTTTTGTGAATTCTCTTGAAAACATTTAATGTAACTGTGCAAATCCAATGTATTCACTTTCAAATTATAACGACTGTGTGAATATTTTTTGATTAATTCGAATAGCGGATGATCTTTGTGGGTATTATTTAGTTCTGTATTGATAAAATCGGCTTCAAACGTTTCAGCCACCATCGATTCGGGATTATTGTACAGTTCTTTCAGCTGTACATTTGTGAATGGCTGTAAATTAATTCGTTCCTTTGTTGCGTTCACGAAATTCATGACCAAGCCTAGAGACTGTGCGCCTTGTAAGTTCGGATAGATCAACGCATGTAATGGCTTATCCATTTGTGATTCATCCAAATCTTCGATTTCCGGTGCTGACGGAGCAGATGGAGCAACTTGTTCCGGTTCAGCGGAGGTGAACTCATTTTCTCTTACTTCGGTTTGACACATTCCGGCCATTGCCTCGTCAACGATCACATTTTCATTATCCACTGATTTCGTCTCATCGAGCTCAATGGTATCTTGGTTGTCTACTGAAATGAACAAAACAGGAAAAATTCTATTAAATTAACACATTTTACTATCAACTTAAAATTTCAACATTGGCTTATCGGACTGTTGACAACATTACATTATTACACAAGCTGCCCTTTGAGCGCAACTATTTGATACGATTCTTTGTTCAGAAATTATTAAGATAAATCATTTATGTCGACACATTTTTGTTTTTCATTTGCCATTGAACTTTTGGCCGACTTAAAAAATGTGCCTATTTTGGGCCTTTGTTACAAATGCGCTGCACATCAGGTATATGTATATCAAATTGATTGATCAATACATTTTTTAAATATGAATTCGAGTGTAATTAGTCAAATTAATTATTTGACGTAATCACAATTTCAATAAGTCAATGATTTGTGTTCTTTTTTTTCAAATTTCCGATAACCCAATGACATGGGCCGTAAATTGATTCAATCAATTTTTAATTTTAGCTTACCGGATTCAGTAAGTTGGTCAGTCACCGATGCGATTTCGGTTTCATCTGTCGGTTTGTCTTTAGTTTCATCTAGATCATTCGATTCTTCGTTTGGACTGTGCACACTTTCACTGGCCACTGGCAATGCTGCTAATAGTTTGCAAATGGCTTCATCATCTGGTTGTGAAATAATTTCGATTTCATCGCTAGTCGATGTGCTGGGAAATTCAATGTCAGCATTTGACCATTGTACATTTTCGTTGGATTCTTCAGCAATGCTGCTTGGACGCACCTTCTTCTTTTTCTGAAAACAAAGATTTTCATGATCACACAAAGCCATAAAACAAAAACAAACAATGACATTTTATACGATTCGAACCAGCCACACATGGAGTTCTTTGCAATAATTCTTATTATTAAATGGTTAAATTACCTTTAGTTTTGGCTTTTCTAATGTGGCCATTGTTTATACGTAGTTATTTAAAATTCAGCACCGTTTTGCATACTAAACTATTTTCACAATAATTATGCAGTTGAATTTTGTCATATTGACAATAATTATAATTGAAACGCAACAATTTCTCTCACTCAGTAAATCATCAAAACATCTGTATCCCCTTTGGTTTCGACTATACTATATTTTAAATTGTCTATAAAATTGACGTGATTTTCTGTATGATTTCCGATTTTGTTATCAAACACAACGTCTAGAGATGTTACAAATAATAATAAAAAAATGAACACAGTTTAATACAATGCACGCAGTTATTGTTGAGTGTAGAATTTATTTTTCGATTCGAACAAAAACAAAACATACAAATATTGAGTATATGTGCTTGAATACATGCTAACAATTCAATACAATATACACACAGCTGACTTTGACAAGTCATTTTGCTTAACATGCTCGCACACACACACACACATGTCGAGTTCGTTCATTGTTCCATTGTGCCGACTGTGTTGATAATATGTGTAGATTGGAGAAAATGTTATTGTAGAGATTAGATGACGTATTACTGTCGTACTTAAACAACAATCGTGTTATTATTTTTTTTTTTTTGACAGAAAATAAAAACAAGTGATTACACATTCATATTGTTTGGCTATCTTGTTTTTGTTTAATTTGCCATTGATACGCAGTATTCTTGTTGATTTATAACACGATAGCATATTATGACGATACATAATTTATATATTTTCGATAAATTTGGCACATTACTATATTATGCTGAATGGAATCGGATTAAACAGTCGGGCATAACGCGAGAAGAGGAGGCGAAACTCATGTACGGAATGTTATTTTCCATAAAATCATTCGTGAATAGAATCTCACCGACGGATCCAAAAGAAGGTTTCCTGTTTTATAAAACAAACAAATATGCATTGCATTATTTGGAAACGGCATCTGGCCTAAGGTTCGTTTTTAAAATCGACAATTTATTTTTTACATTTGTCGTTGGCATTTCTGTTTTGTTTTCATCGCAAATTACTAAATGGTTGTTCTTTTCGGTTTTCTTTTTAATTCAAAATTAGATTTGTACTGAATACAGACACAAGTGCGGTTTCGGTCAAAGAGTTCCTACAACAATACTATGCAAAAGTTTGGGTGGAGTATGTTGTAAAGAATCCACTTTGGGTACCCGGAACACCCGTCACATCCGATTTATTCAAACAAAAATCCGATCAGTACATACGGCAGTCATCGTTGTTTGCATCGAAAAGCGCATAAAATACACACAACTCAGATTCAATTCCATGCTATTATTTATTGTGGTTTTTTTTTGTATTTAAGTTTCAATAAATCGATAACAATTCACATACAAATTGTTTATAATATATTTTTGGTTACTACCATTTCGAGTAAAATCAAATTGAATCCCATTCTCCTGTGTATAAATTATACATAGTTGGCGTTTTGAAGCCATTTGCGAATTTCTTGTTTTTCTATTTCGCGTGCATTAATCACCGATGGTGGATCACTTGGATTGGACCCCCTGAGATCCAAATGATGGGCACTATCTGGTATAATAATGATTTTTACTTGATTATTTGGTGTTCGCAACACTCCACCGCCGCTCCAAGGGTCCATCAATCCATTGCTAAACACAATATTCGATGCATATCTGGAGAAAAAAAAAACATTGATTAATACAAATCGATAATCAGCAGTTGACTAAATCGTTTTTACTTCAAATTTGAAGCGCCATAAATTGTAGTTGCCATATTCTTATTCGGTCGCACATTGAATTTTTTATAACAATCGTCTGAGTATTTTTTGAAATCCCATTCATTTGGCGGAAACATGTTTCTCTTATCATCTTTGTCACACATTGGCATCACCATTTCCGTGCATGACTATAATTCGAATGAAATGAAAACAACAACAGATTACATATCACATCATTGAATGAAATGATTATCAACCGAACTCACTTGAAATCCCCAAGCTTGTATGCCCATCGACTCATCATATGCCGATTTGATGTTCAGGCACTTGATTTGCCCAGTGTAATTCGTATAAATTTGTAATGCACTGTTAAGAGCCTATAAAATTGATAAACGCCGTTTAATTTCATTAACCATTCATTTTAAACCTCAAAATGAACTTACATCAAGTATTTGATCATCGTTGTAAGAGGCATTGATGCGAGCACAAAATTCAGTTACCGGATTCGGAGGCAATGGTGCCAAAAAGTTGGTGCTGTATGGATAATTAACCATAGCTAAATTCGCATACACATCGTTAAGGAAACCTGAAAATTAAAAAACCCTCGGTTTAGTGTGTGCATGAGATATGTCTTGCATTCTATAAATACCGCTAAATTCTTGAATATTCGTGATATTATCGCAGAGTTTAAACTTGGCTTTGAGTGTATTGAGTCCTTCGGGTGTGGTCGATAGTTTTCTGTAAAATTAGGTACAAAAAATGATTATATATTTATTGATTATTGTTGGTTCATATTTTTTGAAATGCCAAATGGATCTTACTTGATTATAGCCCATGATTGTTTAATATTTTGTGAACAATTGCCTTGGCCGACGGTGAATATATTTGAAAGAATTAAATTGAATCGACTGCAATCGGTGACAAATTGTAAAATTGGAGCCGATGCAGCTATTGCGCCTGTTACAAGATGTGGATATTTCATACGAAACCAAGCCGCAAGCATACCACCATATGAACCACCGAACGCAATCACCGGTCGTTGTTTTGGATTTAGACTTTCTGCCAACAAAGCAGCATAATCGGCTAATGCTTGTTCAGAGGTCAGATATCCCGAATATTCTGGCGACTCAAACGATTTATTTCCAAATGGCAATGATTTTCCATAGTAACGATGCTCGGCAAATACTAGTGATGCACCAAACTCTTGAGCGATTTCCCACATAAAGCCAGTGTTTTTGGTAAATAGTTCAATATCACCCTCATTTCCAGTGTAGAAAAAAATCGGACTATTTCGATCTCCTTTTGAAAAGGAATCATTGGTCAAGACTCTAGAGAGAACGAGATAAGAACGCCCACAGTTCATATCAACTTTGATTTCTTTGTTTGTAGATATAAAATCAACAGTCAAATGTTCAAATGAAATTCAATACAAAGCAAAAATCAAATCAAAATACTCAATCTTACCGAATCTGAAATGTTTTATTGCTCGCAAAACTAAAATGATCAATTGGAACTTCGAAATAGGTAGTATTGTATCGATATTCACCGGCATTCACTGCCACTATTACTCCCATTAACAAAAATATCCATTTAAAATGGACGAACTGCATTTTAAAGAAGAAGAAAAAAACTGCGTACGTTTTCAACGGTACGGTTCTCTCTGGAGAATAATGAGAACTAATCAAAATCTGAATAAAATTCAGTAAGTTAATTTAATTATGGTTTGATTGATAACAATTATCGCTTGAAATTGTATGACACTAGCTTATTCGTAAAAACAAACGAACTTCTGTGTGAATTGCCTTTGTTATGCCATTCGGGTACTTTGCATTGAAAACATGTACTCAATAGAAAAAGTACGGTCCATTCACGGTATACTCGAATACTTTGGAGACATTCATTGTGTGTTTGCAGTTGACATATATGTTATTCGAATTTGAATTTTGACAAATGCCATTCAGTAAAGTAAACAACACGTGTGATAGGCAAAATGTTTTATATTATTGGTTTGGGACTAGGCGATCCAAAGGATGTCACCGTCAAAGGATTAGAAATTATCAAATCATGTGAACGCGTCTATTTGGAATCGTACACATCAATTTTAACATGTGGTCAAGCTGCGTTGGTGAGTGTTTGTAAATATTGACATTATATCTTAGACAGTCGGCCGACTAATGATATTCAACAAACCCAATGCAGGAGGAATTTTATGGACGACCATTGATAATCGCTGACCGTGAACTGGTTGAACAGGGTGCCGATGAGATTTTGAAAGATGCTGCAAATGTCGATGTCGCATTGTTAGTCGTTGGTGATCCATTCGGTGCTACAACTCATACGGACTTCATCATTCGAGCCAAAGAGCAAAACATTAAGTTCCAAGTCGTACATAATGCTTCCATTATGAATGCAGTCGGATGTTGTGGTCTTCAATTGTACAGTTTTGGCGAAACAATTTCCATTCCATATTGGAGCGACACCTGGCAACCGGACAGCTTTTACGATAAGATCAAAGTGAATGTGGCCAATAATTTTCACACATTGTGCCTATTAGGTAGGTTGAAATTGAATGGAACTCTGGTTTTCTGGCTTGTTCGGTTTTAAGAAGAATAAAAAACGAATTTTGTCATACAGATATTCGCGTAAAAGAACCCACATTGGAGTCATTGACAAGAAAAAAACGAGAATATCAACCTCCACGTTTTATGAGCGTGAGCGAAGCTGCACACCAGCTACTGGAAATCTTGAAGAAACGACGTGCCGAAGGGATTTCCGAATCCGAATTGGCGTTCACAGAAGATTCACTGTTCGTTGGATTGGCACGCGTTGGTCATGACACACAAGCAATCAAAGCATGTTCACTCAAAGAAATGGCTGAAACTGACTTAGGTCAACCGTTACATTCACTCATATTGCCAGCAAAACAATTACATCCACTTGAAGTTGAATATTTACAACAATTTTCGCAAGCCGAAGTTTTGTAAAAAAAAATTTAAACAAACATCTGTCAAAAATGTTGGCTGTTATGCACGAGAATAAAGTGCTGCTAATTTGTATAAAATAAAAACAAAATACGGTTTTTTTCTTTTTCCAATATGCCGCGTGTTGCAGTTTTTAGCATTTTTTTTTAGCTAAAAGTTTAAATTATAGACTGAATTTATTTGTTTGTAGCATACCTATGATCCATTTATTTATTTATTCACCGTCTGATAACAGACTGAAAGCAGCTGATATTGACTGTGTCCATTGTATATTTCCAAATCATTACACAATTTTTCTTTACCAGTCAATTTACCGATTATTAAACAGTGTGTCCATAATATATAGAGATAGCACTGAATAGTGTCGATATCGATGCTATATCAACACACTATGTATGGAAGATATTTCCGCAAGACACCGTAACGCACGATCGGAGTGAGTACTCCAGCTTTGACCTAATCAGTGCACAATATAATATTTTAGCAGATTCGATAGTGAACTTTTTTAGTGTGCGTTTTAAAAAGCGTGTGCACTTGCTGTAATTGTATAATCGCCTCGATATCCTTTTTCTCTGTCAATCAATTTGTATGTTCATTCAATTTTTTTTCATTTACTGCTATCGTGACAATTTACTTTTCTGACCATATGAAAATGAATAAGACGATGATGATGATGATAATAATACTTGTAATATAAATAAAATGCTGATTGATGATTGATTCCAAAACATTTGATTATTGTACAAACAAAATATTTGAAAACGAATAAACAAATTAATAAACATATTTAAAACGAATAAACACAGATACGAATACGTAGAGAATATTCCATTCAAATGCACGTCCGTTTGCATAAATATTCTGTTTTGAACATATTTCCGTTAGTTTCGCAACCGCCGTATATAAATGTATCACATTTTTCGATATCCATATTGTAATACCAACGTCTAAGTTCCAAAGCACAAGGTCCTCTGGCAAAATTCAGCAAAAATATATATATTCAAACAAAGATTCAAAATATGAGACAATTATGCAAGAATAACCTGAATGGCGATTGTCGACACATTTCTGGTGATTGTGACGCACTTAACTGAATAACACCAAAAAGAACTGAAATAATTAAAAACCCAAATCTCATGACGATATCGTATTTTGAATTATACTTGGCATGCATGCCAAAAGAATTGATCACTTTTAAGCGATTGGCCATATCAGTTGGTCCAAGCTGTTTTATATTGAGCCAAAATTCTGCATCGACTGGAATGAATTCGATTAAAATAGAGAAAAAAAAACACTCAATTTATTGATTGAGCGATAAAATTTCCAATTAAAACTTATTCGATATCAGAAAATTGCGAAATACGCTTATACTTTATTTATAATCAATTTACATCGTATCAAATAAAATAATTTCAAATTTAAATCGTGCCAAATGCAAGTTTTCACAAATTATACCCGTATGCATTGTTTTTTACATTCGTTTATCGTTTTGAAATTATTTCCATTGCCCTGGCATCCGCCGTACAGGAATGTTTCACATGATCTCAATTCACTATTGTAATAAAAACGTTCCATTGATGCTCTGCAAAGTCCTTTATTTAATGGTAGTTTGCATACATCATCTGAATTTGTTCCATCAGCTAAACGACAACGACGATGATGATGACGATTAAGACAACAAAAGTATTTTATTGCGATATTCATTCAGTAATAGTTTGTAAAAAAAAGTAAGGCTTACCCATTCCGAAAGGATGGCATGCGATCAATTCAAGAAGAGCACAGATGAAATAGAACATTAAAAACTTCTTCATTTCAAGGCTTATTTAATGTTTTTCTTTCGATTCAATCAAAAAATTAATTGGTCTCGATACTGTTGAACTTGTAAATATATACTCGCTGTTCTTTGTATTTTCGGTAAGCTGTCTATTGCTTGAATGTATGATGTTGTTTTTAATTCTCTTTCATTTGGAGTTTATAAAGTGAAATCAGAAAAACCCCACCCACAAAGTCAAATAGAGAGCACCAAAGTTGCCAAACATTTGAGAAAAAAGAAATGTGAATGTCGAAATGATTGAAAAGAGACAAAACAACAATAATATTCGATGTTCTTTATGATAAAAAAAACTGGTTTTTCTGTCTGGAGCGAATAAAACACATTTGAACAGAAGAAAAAAACAAACCTTTGCATCAAATCTAGCTGCTGATTGACCATTGTTATTCAATTGGTGGTATATGTTCTACTTACTATATCGAAATTGTATCATTCGTACCCGCACTTCCAATGAAATGATACCATGCATGACAACTTAATTTTTTTTTGTAGAGAGCAATGAACAATTCAACAGATCTATTGCAAGCATCAACAAGCAGCCATCAAGTATTTTATTTTAAATTTTGTTTAATTCTGTTCTCTGTCTCTTTTTTTCTGCATTTGTTTTTTTCAATTTTAAAATTCCATTTTATTCATTCAATTATTTATGTGGTTTTTTTTAATTAGAAATTTCACAACAACATCGCTACGGATGTACGATTTCACCATTTATTTTATTGTTATTTTTGTGTGTTTTGATAAAATAGTCATTTATAATTGGGTTGAATAAGTCATTGCTTGAATAATAAAGGTTTTTTTTTTCGTCTTCTGTCCGTCTCTTTTCGCTTTGCTAAATCTAAATGTTTATTCTTGTTTTTATAATACTTGTTCATTTTGGAAATTGTGTTCTGTGATCAATTACATTTAGAATGAAATGAATTTTACCTATATAAAAAGTTCTAGACTTAAAGATCTTAGAATATGATGTTCACATATCTTTTTTTCATTCAGTTAGAATTTTTTTTCGTTGATACAGAAACGAAAAAAAGTTGTTCAAGAATAAAACTGGTTACCGTAAAGATAATAAACTGGATAAAATTGATTCTGAAATTTGAAAAAAAAAAAAAATAAATAAAAATAAAACAAAAAGAAATCGAATATTTGTTGATGGTTTTAGACACCAACACACGGATATAATGCTTGTATGGTTTTTGATTTTAGTAATGTACTATTTATGGCTTATCGCTTAGTAAAGAGTTCTAGAGTTTGTATTTTCATCTCTCGATTGTTTATTGTATTATTTAATAATTAGATTTACTTTTTTTGTGTCCAATGAACAAAATATCGCATTGGTTTCATTTGTTCTTCATATTTCTAAATCTAAATTTTCTGTTGTGAGCAAATGTACTTATAAAGCTGTATAAATTGGAATTTCATTTAGATCAATTTTATTTTGAGTCAAGTAAATTGCAGTGAATACCGTCAGATAGTTAAAGCCGCATAAATACGGTGTGTTTATCAGATAAATTCTGGGAGATTTGATTTTGGGAGAGATTTATTGAGTTGTCAATCAATGCAGGTTCTGCGTTGGAGATAACTTAATAAATGTTTAAAAAAAAAATCTGCCAAAAATCTGATAAATCGATCTAAAGATATTTTCTGGCAAATTAACTTGACCGTGTCGAGTATACAAGTTCTATAGAAAATTGTTTCAATTGAAAAGAAAATATTTCAATTACAAAAATGGATAATTTTTAAATCTTTTATTTGTTGCGTGTTTTGGCTTTGTTTTGCATATACGAAGCTTATTACATTTTTTTATTGACCCGATTATGATTTGAAATTTAGCTAAAAAAACATACATATAAATTCGATTGAATCAAAATCGATTCAAAGTCTTTTTTTGTCACTTAATATCAATGGAAATAAACTAAAAACGTTTTTATCTAAAGCTAAATATTGTGAAGATTTTCAGAGGTTTAAAAAAAACGATAAACGTTTCAGTAGATGACGTGCTTTTGGCTTCTTATTTTCTTTCTTCAATGAGCAAATTCTTATTTGTGAAGTTTTGTGTGGTGTGAGTCGGCTATATGTTTGGGAGAATCAGAGAAAAATTGAGAAAAAATGTCTCTGTCAAAAATTGATGGAGCTGGATCTGTGGCATCATCTTAACGAATATATTTCGAGCAACATTTAGAAAATCACATAGCTCTACTGAACATTTTATTATATATGTTCAAACTGAACAAATGACAGCAAATTATATATGACAAATCTTATTAATTTATTTTTTAAATTGAAATTTACGTATTTTAAATATTACATATGTATTTTATAAATTTCTATGTATTTGTTTTTTTTTTTTTTTTATTTTTTAAATTCAAGTGCCAAATAAGATGGAAAAAAGCACACCAAAAAAATGGCATCTTTCTGTTTGACCTTATTTGCACTTAATCAGCCTTTAATTCTAATACAATGAAATTATAAAAACATACTAATAATTTGATGAATTCACTCCGTACAGCTCTTTATTCAATAGAACATTATAATTTTAGATTTTCACGACCAGGTTTTGCGCGCTGTCTCTCTCATCTTCTCGCCCATTCTCTTACTCAAATCCGACTCAAATCCGACTCAATTCGATTGAAATTGCCAATCTTTCATCTATCGGGTTGCATGCACTCAATACTCCGGCTATTTTATCTCGCTTCAAATCTGATTTCATTATGAAAATTATATAAAAATATATATATATAGTTTTGAATTCGGGGGCGTAACACATTAAGCCTTAAATGTTAATGGTGCCAGTGTTGTGGTGTATTCATCGGTGAAAACTCATCTAGGAAAAAATAACGCATTTTTGCCAAAAACAAAGTGTGTATTTTATGTTTTTCCATCTTTTTTTTCTTTCCTTCTCAATCCAAGTTCATTTAGATCGTGTACATTTGAGCTTGAGCAAGATATTTTGCTCTTATTCAGAGGGGTGGTGAATATACTATTTATGTCTAATTTGATTCTCATTTAAACCTATTCTCTTAAATTTTAATACATACAATTTTTGTTTTGTTTTTTTAGTTATGCAATTCAAATTGTAAAACACAAATAGTATTATGAATTTTTCTTGTTAATATTTTGTATAGTTCTCTACGTATAGAAACCTTGGTAGTATAATTCGACAAACTGGAATCGCAATCTAATTGAAACACATGCACGTCATCCCTTAATCGATCACACATTAATGTGGCAAAGAAATTGTTTTCCTTTTTTTTTCATTCCGTTTTCTCTTTTGCTTATACACGAAAGTCATTTTGGAGCAAAAAAAAATCAGTTATTTCATTTGGTTTTTCATTGGCAGAAAATTTAGTCCTCAGATGGAGCGCCTGGATAATAATATGGCGGTGGGCGTTCATATTCTGACGCTGGCGGCGCAATTGGTGGATTTTGATATCTTGGCGGTCCACCATTCCAGTGCCTATTTCAATGGAAAAAAATTTTAGTACATTTTATCGAATGAAAAAAAAATATTAAATTGAAAAAAAAAAAAAAATATTTACTTTGGAGCCATATCACTGTATCGTGCTTCGCGTGAACCGCTGCCACTGTGATGCTCGTGATGTGGTGAACCGGAGTCTTCATAGTATTCGGCACGACGATCTCGTGATGAAACGCGACGATCATTTTTTCGTCGCTTGTTCTTCGGCCCACTACTTGTATAATTAAAAAAAAATGAAAGAAAATTTAAAGCTTTAATTTATCGGATGCAATTTGATTGGCAATTGTGCATCGTCAACGCTAAATTATATATATATATTTTAAGCTTATATTTTTTTTGATCTTTTGATGTCTCACATTCAATTACAAAGTTACAAAACATATTGATATACGTAAAAAAAATAATTAATCAAAATCGTGCACAGCCAAAAATTAATATATATTTCTCTCTCGCATTTATCGTTAAACTTTTTTTTCGATTTTTATTTCAGTGTATATATCAAAAATTCAATCCAAAATCAAACTTAAAACAAAAATTTCTTAATCGAACTTTGGATATATATGACGCATTGAACTAGTTGACTGTATTTTTTTTTTCACGAATATGTGCTCTTATTCACTCAATATACTTACTTTGCTAATGGTATATTATCCCTCTCCGAGTATGCATCATACAAATACTCTCTGTAAAAATTCAATTAAAAAAGCAAATTTTTGAAACCGCAAACAAAATATGATTTGACGACAAAACAAAGATAAAAAAAAAACAAAATATATGTATCACGATTGAATAAGACTGATAAATTAATGATTAACTTAGTTGGTGTTGTTGTTGATTAAAACAAACAAAAAAAATAAATAAACCATAAAGTCGATCTAACTGTTCCAATTGTGCTTAACTCTCTATTTAGTAAATGTCGCATCCCGAATAATAAAAAGAACCAACAAAAAACTGATGGAAAAATGTAAGGAGAGACTAAAAAAAGACGAACTAAAATCGACTGCAAACAAAATAAAACGGATGAGGATGGATAAAATTAAGAGTGTGAATAGCATTCCGTTTACTAATCAACTGTTCGGTTTTAATATGTTTCGTTTATTGCATGTTTGTTTGTGTATTTTTTTCATGTTTTTCATCAATGGATTGGTTTAGTGATTTTACAATGTCTATTGCTTACAGACTAAAAAAAAATTCGATTTGTATGATGCAAGACGATTGTGATTATATGTGTGAAGATAATTAACAGAGGATGATATGTTTGATGATGTGTGTGTGTATCCCATTTGGCGTTTGTGTGTCAAAGTTCGATTTTAAACAATATACATATATGACTTTCTACTTATTACAACTACATTTTGTGTGTATGTATGTTTTACATTGTACTTTCTTGCGAATCGCATTTTTTTTTTGATTTCAAACTAATTCGCAGACCATGTTCGTAGAAATGACCAATAATTGAAAGTTTCGTACTTGAAGTCCGAACACCCAAAGGATCCAGCCCGAATCCCACCCGGTGCGGAATTTTTCCGGTCGAGCGTTTGGGTCGGAGTTCTGTGGCAATCTCTTCTTGAAAGTTATATCCAGTGTTTGTGTTGCTTAGAAGCTCAGAAATTTTAAATAGTAAAATGTTTGATCAATAGTTTACCCATTTTATATTGAATACTCAGAAATTCAGAATCTCAGCTGGTTAGTACATTTGACTGAACAATTTGAGTATGCGTTACTGAAATTGTCCAGCCAAATGTGCTCAACTGATATTCACATCTCAATGACTGCAGTCATCATGATGGCCAAAGGTCATGGTCTTAGTGGTTAAGACAAAGTTTGTCTTGATTTTGCTTATAAGCGAATTGAATCTTTTGGTTTGAAGTTAGCCAAAGAAAACTTTCGCAGAATTGGCCATTGCATGAAACAGCAAAATGCAGTTTCATTCAAACGAACAAAAACAAAACGGTCTACGAAAACGAGCGGTCATACAGTGATTATAGCCGGTATGTATGTGTATGTGTTTATGTGTTTTGTGTGCGTATGTGAGCATTTTAAGGTGAAAATGATTTTTTTTTTATCTTGATTCTAGGTTAAGTCAATTAATATTGGCAGTTTCGATCATTTAATTTATTAGCTTCTCAAAGGCACATTGTCTCCGATAGAATAAGAAAGATTTTTAAAAGATCACTGAATCTTTACTCTCCCATCTAACCATTTAATTTTTTATGAATAATTATACGAAGCTGCCTTTTGAACTATTTGCAATTAGTGTAAGTGTTATGTGTCTTCTTAAAATGAACGAAAAAAAATAATCTTTTCACCTTATTTCTTCACAGATACACTGCATGTAAAACAAATGAAAAAAAAAACATAACATTTGTTATCATTTAAAATTGAGTATACAATCAAATAGCTTACAAAACAAAAACAATCTATGAGCAATTTATAAAAGGCACTCAAAATACACGAGCACTGAAATATAGGTCGTTTAATTTAGCATATATATAAAAACAACTTGCATGCAAAATATGGCCACATACATTCATTGTTATTATGAATATAAAAACAAACAAACGAAAACAAACGAAAAAAAATTGGCAGAAATCATATTTTGAAACCATATTTTTTATATAGCTATTTAAATTTTTTAAGAACAATCTACTTGACTTTCGCTCGTCACGTTTTTCTTTCTTTTCTTTTGTCATTTCAAAAACAATAATCGATATGTTCAACAATTTATATTGTTGAATACTTACGCTTCAACCAATGGACCGGGATACGGATCAGATTTTTGATATAAACTAGATAACTTTAAACTAAATACTATTGCCGGCAAAAATAGAAGAATGCACGTTATAATTCCGGCCCATAATCCATTCTGCAATTGAAAATTGGTGTTGAAAAAATAAATAAATAGAAATTTAGAGTAATTTAACAATTGAAACTTACTAATGGATTAACAATACGATTGCAACCAGCCACAACAATTGATTTGTAAACATTTGCCAATGGGCCGCAACGTCCAAGTTCATTTTCGGTTTGGTTCACCACGAGATTCAAATATGTATTGATTTCTTCTTCGAAACTAGTGACCAGTTCATTTGCAACCTATCGCCCAAAGATAAAATTCCGTTTGATTAAAGAAAACTGTAGACTTTTTGATAGTGCACATTGGATGTGTTATTGGCTATCATCGCTTACCTTTTGTACAAATTCCGTTCCTTCTTTGTTAATGAAATCTTGAGCGAATTTAATTTCACGGATGAAATCATCGAGAGCCACTTTGAATGAGCTACGATTGAATTTGAGATTTTCTTCGAGACGTCGTGTTAGTGTGAGCATTTCTTTTGTTTGATCAGCCATCGGAGTGACCAAGTGCTCTTGATACGTACGTAAATGCAATGCTTGATTCTTGAGAATTGTTCGAATATCACTATATTCAGAATTGGACGAGATTTTTGTGGCCGTATCAATGAGTTTCTGTGCAATTGTGTTGAGATTATGCTTGGTGATTTCCTCGTTCAACTATTTGAGTGCGTGAAAAAAAAAAACACAATTTATTTCGTTATTTGCTTTTGAAAATTATATTATGGCGTTCACTTACGTTATCGGTAAATTTATCAATATCGAAATCTTTAAGACCAGATTGAGCAAGTCGTACAATGGCTTCATCCACATGTATTTCAATGCTCGGTACTTCAACACTTTGAACAAGCTTTTGCAGTTGTGATTTGATCTCAAATCGATCCGGATACGTTAATATTTCGTAGATATCAAAATAGTTTCGCAAATTAAGCACCTGCAAACGAAATTCAAGAGAATTCATTTATTTTTGTTTCAATCTAGCAATTTTAAAATGAAAATTCTTACTTTATAGATGGAATTATTGCGATGGCACGAATCAATCACTTTTGATATTCTCAACGGCTCGATCTCGGGTGAACGAATTTTCATCCGCTGTCCATTGGCATAAATGACTGTATTCAAATCAATCACCGGATCAATGTACTGAGTGAATACATTATCACTTCGATTACTGTGGAATGGTGAACAAAATATTAAATTTTAAATTTGTACAACGGCACAAAACCACTTACCTTAATGGCACGCAAGCACCTCGATGCAAAACTAGACCGCTGAGGAAAAGCACAAGACCAACCGCCAATAGAACGGATGTTGTCAAAAATATAACCGTAACGCCGCTGATGATTAAACAATAAGAAAAAAAAAATTATTTCAAATGACTTGCAAGTCGAAATACTTGATTTTTCTTATGATAACTTACAGGATTAAAAATCGTGCGCCGGCACCTTTATTGCAGCAATCATCACCATATCCATCTGGTCGTTTGCCACAGATACCACAAAGCAATCCGCAAACGATGCACATCAATACAAGCAATAGAATGGAGCATACTCCAAGCAATGCATAGTACACATAAATGTAATATTCTTTGATAAAAACATCGGCCGTATTGAAATGTTGTTTCGTTTGTCCTGTTGCATCTGAGATGCGGGCCAATGTCCGTTGAATTTCCGATGAAATGTTTCGCATGGCTGTGCCGGTTTTCCGAATTGAATTTGTCACTTGTGGAATGTTTGCATAAATCGTGCGATTGATATCATCACGAAGATTTTCCAGCGTATGTTGACTGCGACGAATTGAATCGATTGTGTGCCCTGAGTTCAATTCGTGAACACTAGCAATCATCTCGCTTACATCCGGCAACTATAGTTTTTGTTGTGATTGAAAATGAAAACAAGCAAAAAAGAGAGAGACAAATCATTTCAAAATTGCATCCACGCAAATCGAAAATTTGAAGAAAAAAAAAAACGGCATTCTCAAATTGGTAATAAAAGTGTTAACTGTTTTGGATGATCAAACGAATGAAATAAAAATAAGTGTATATTTTGTTGTCATGAAATCAATGAGACGGAATGAATTTGAATTCACAACGATTACAAAATTAAATAAAAAAATAACTGAAAACAGAAGAAGCAGAATAAGATGAAGAGATGAAAACAAAATCATGATAAAAACATTGAGTTAATTACGTCAAGAAATGAAAAATGAAGCAAACAAATTTAAGGGAAAAATTAATTGATAAAAGAATATCCGCTGGACGCAGATTTTAAAAGTTCGTGCATCAAAATTTAAAAATAGAAAATGAAAAAGGCAAGCGCTATAAATTGAAACGTAAACACAAAATGTTAATAAACATTAATAAATAAGTATACGATTTTAATATCAGGCAAAGCAACAATGAATTACTGTTTTTTCTTTGTCACGAAAGAGAAACCTACCCGTGGAAAATATCGGTCTAACATCTTTGTGTCACACAATTAAAATTACAACCAAGTATGAATACGAAAAAAAGAGTAATACATTGAATGTTAATCACAATTAATCATGAATCGATTGATGAAAATGAATTATGTGTATGATATGAAGAAAAAAATATATATTTATATGTATATAATTTGTTGAATGAAAATGTTGTTGTCGGTAGAGGGCAGTTATTTGCATTATTTAAATAACTGTTAGTTTATTGTAGTATTCATTATGGCGAACAAAACGCCGCATAATAATGTGAATACGGGCCACCACACGGTTAATCGCAATCTTTTGTGAAAGATTTCGGTATTATAAATATTCTCATCGCCAAGTTTGTAGCTATCAACATCAGAAATCTATGCTTGTGTATTTTTTCTTTGAAAAAAAAAATTGTTTTTTTTTTTTAATGAAACATTTTCATTGATTAATTACCTGATCGTAATCAATGCCATTCACATCCAGTTTTCCGATTTCATACTGTTCGAGAACTTCTTGACAAGCCTTAACTCTCTGACATTTTGTTAATGCTAACAGCAATTCACGTTTTACGCCTCGCAAACCTGTTTGACAACAACAAATAGCACAGACACACCATTTATGTGTGTTTTTTTAGGCATTACTTCATTGTTTCCATTTGAAATATATATATATATGCATGGAATATTTAAATGAATTTCTATACCGTCGCTCAATTGACTTGCATTCACTCGCAAACCGCCCGTTATTTCCTTCATACGATGCAGATCTTGCTCAATTTGCGGTAATGTTTCAACAAAAGTAGCTAGCTGAGTTAATGACACCGCCTTCGATTTCTCTTTCAATTGCTTGATCACCACTTCGGCCGTATCTGTGCAAGAGAGTGAATACAAAAATGAAAAAAAAATCATCACAACAATTGAATGCGGGAATTTGAAAATTTATTATTGCCCCAATAAAAATGAAAAAAAAATGCGGCATTTTATGGGCACCAAAATAAGGAGCATTCTTAATTGCAAAGCAAACATATTGATCCATCAAACAATACAAAAGACATTAAATCAACAATCAAAAACACATCGTAACATACACGCTTATAAAAAAATCGTCTTCAAACACTTACCCATTAGCATAAGCTCCAAATGATCAGTAAGTTCATCGTAATTTTTCACCAGAATGTGATTCGATTGGAGTGATGTGGATCGTAGAAATTCCTGTGTATCCGACACACCATATCGTGCTGTTGTTGTTGCATTCTCGATACCTTGTTGTAATAAATAGTTTGTGGCGAACGCAACGATTACACTGAAACTGAAATGGCATCAACAAGAACACCATGTTTTGTTGAGGTGAGAATAAAAAAAAGAAACGATTCAAATTTGATTGGCCGTGAGATCATTTTTCATTGTTTATTTCATTCGTTGGTAAAAATCAAGATGGTTAATGTATACTTACACCAATCCAGTTGCAACGACGATCAAAAAGAAGCCAAGGAAAATACGACGGCACGTATCGTGTTTTTTATCAAATGGCTGGGAACGTCCACCACATGCTCCAGCGCATCGACAACAACAAACGCATAATCTACAATTACAACACCAATTCAATTCAAGATTTCATCGATCGATTCAAAATGATTCATTGGAAATGAATTGAGTGTGAAACTCACCCGACGATTGGCATTAATACGATGATCAAAGCGGCAACAAATACCACCAGCAAAATCGCCCAATAATGCTTCACCAAATCGATCCATTGATTTTCACGTACTTTCGGTCCAAGCGTTGCATTCATATTCAACACTTCAACATAGCCTATATGAAAGGAAAAAAACATGTCACACCATCAAAAAGCGCATAAATTTCATGTTGGGAAAGAAAACAAACAATGAGCCAACATCAATTTACATTGCGATCACATAATCAAAATCAAAATATCCACTTTACGATATGCATTAGTCATATTAGTATTGCCATCGGGTTTAATAGCGCCCACATAACCAATTCATTTATCATTCTTACATTTGACGCGTGAAAAAAACGACGATTGAAAGAAAGAATCTCATCAGCAGTGAAAGAAGAAGAAAAAAACAGCATCACATTTGAACAAAAGAAGAAGAAAAAAAATGGTGACGTTGAGAAATCGCAACCAAGAACAACGACCATAGTTTGCATAGAAAATTGGTTGAAAATTTATATTGTTTCCAATGAAAAAAAAAATCCGAGATTCATATAATTCATGTATTATTCAATATATTTCAACCATGAAATCTTCTGCACAATGAAACCAATTCGTTTATATTACAAAATTACGATGAAATATGTTCAAAACTGAAACATATTTCTTTCTCTTCTTATTTCATTTCGAATTGTAATTTCGGTTGTGCTTCGATTGTTCGATTTTTGTAGTACAATACGATTTGTATGTTTTGGCCATTTCGATGTAATACATATTTCACTTATTTCGCTGAGTCAGATTTACGGAAGCGTATTTTGTTGTGCGTGACATATGCAAAAGGGGTTCTTTGTTCGTTTGATTTTTAACGCCAAATCACCTCATTAAAATTATACAAGAATGAAAATGGTGTGCACAATTTTTCATTTTTTTTTTTGTTTCTCGAAATGTTCCGAGGCCGCCGTTTGTTTTATCAAATAAAAATCGATGTTGCTGCGCATGCAATCGCAACCAGAGGGAGAATGAAAAAAAAAATGACTGAAATGCGGCAATCGGTTTTCTTTTAGCTATTGACTCAAGAAAAAAAGCATTGGCAATAAAGTAAAACATCTAATTTGATTACATTCAGAGTACACGTTTCTCAAACACAGTCCATGTTAATGCATTTTTTTTTGTTCAGTGTCTGCTTTGTTCAAGAATTCAAAACGCGTTCGTGCACACCAAACGATATGGATCGCTTTGTAATCAGGCAGAAAGAAAAACGAAAAGAAAAAAAAAACAATTTAACAATTGCTTACCATCTGGAATGGGTTTTTTTCCCAAGAAAAAGTCCAAAATCAGGGTTGTGATATTGTACAATGGTTCCATTCCCTTAGGATTAGTCATGGCGGTGCTGTTATATTTGACTTTTTCATTCCATATCGAAAAGTTTGCATCGCGAAATTGAATGATGCGTGTGTTTGCTGGTGAATTTGTGTCGGCGGCTGTATTAACGGTTTGTGCTGTTGATAACAGTGGTCCAATTAGCACCACACCGATGCACATGATGTGCAACGGGACCATTTTCATTTGTTTGTATGCCATTTTTTATTTGAATTCGATTGTTTTTCCTTCAAATAATTATCTCTTCCTGTTTCCTCCTTTGTATTTAAATTGAGATCTGCAAATGAATGAACGAAAGAAAGAAAGAAAATATATATGAAAAAAAATGTTGAATTACATATTACTTTAAGTGAAATTGAACAATTCTCGGGCGGGTAGACAGAAAATATTTTCGAATGTAATTTTTCTTGAGTTTTTGGTCGAGTGGTCGTCATCGGATGGTATAATGCATAAAAAAAATTTGTGCGCATAGAACGAATTGAAAGAAGAAAACGATTATTGGGGGGGTCATCAACCTGGCATGAAAGAGTGTGACTACTACCGTCTTAATTTACATGTGTATACATATTTATCGAGCTTTATGAACATCAAGAATTGTCGTATTCATCATATACATGAGCTATTGTCGCACAAAGTCTTACAAATTTTCATTCTTTGTCTCATATGGCAAGTTCGTTCGTCTTTGCATTTGAATAGTTTACGAGTACAGAATGTCTAAAAATCACGCAACCAACCGGCAGCTATTTTGTGTATACAATGTAACTTAATTTGATTTCGTGCTTTGAACTGCGAACAACGGAATTAAAGCATGATAATTAAAACTTACACATCCCAAAAAAAAATTTATAATAGCACAAAAAACGCACATTCTATAGGCCATTCTGGATACATACAGTTCATTGTCTCTGCGCTATTTGTTTTGAATTGATAAAGCCCGTTGTTGACGAAATGACGTGAATCGGACACCGGTTTTTTTTTTCGTTTGTTGCTGTTGCTTTTGGCTTGAAAACTGTTATAGTGCAAGCATTTCATTTACAAAAATTACCTCCATAAATTCATAATCATTATGATATATTAACGTAATTATAACATGCATTTAACGAATAAAACGGTAGCCATAAATATTTGTTGAGAGATTCATCAGCGACTGGCTCATTGTTTACATATTCATTTCGACTGAAACCATATGGATTTGCAACATTGCGATGATTCATCATTTGTTTGTGTTTACATTTGATTTATGCATGTTTGAAATTAAATTTCTAGCTAATCCTTTCCGTTTGTACGCTGATTTCGATTTCATTTTCAATCAAGTTTATCCAATTGATGTTCATTAAGCGATCATAATTCAATCATCTCAGCTTTTAGCTTGGCTGTTTTAATTGTAAAAAAGAAACAGTTGCTGCATCGATTTACGCAAACACAATCTCTCTCTCTCTCTCTCTAATCGAAGGAAATATAAAGTACGAGCTAATGTCACTTTCATCTTTTTTCAAATGAAATAGAAATTTAAGCTCAAGACGTTGTCATTGCTCATTAGCCAAAGGTATAAATTGTGTAAAATTTTTTTTCCACCACGATTTAGTTTGCCGTCTGCCAGATATATGTCAAGTTGGCTTAAGTTGTATCAACCGAATGCGGATGCTGAATGTAAACGGGGCCAAACAGTGTATACAATGGATGACATTGTTTGAAATTTCGTCGATGCGTATATGTACAAATTCTTGATTGAGTTGAAATTCAATGCGTAAAAAAGTATGACTTGGTGATTTTATTGTTGTTTTGATGAAATATTAAAATTTCATCAACGAGAAAAAAAGATCAGTCAATGGAAAGGCCGTACGTGAAATCGATTTAAAAAAAAAAACAGCAACAAAGACGTAAGTGCCAATGAAGGAATCTTATAGAGCACATTTATAACTGCCCATTCACTTTTAACTTTGCTTCTCTCTCACCTTCTCTCTATTCAAGTTAATTCGGTTTTTGTTGGCACTTTCTTTCAAGTGAAATCGCCAGACACCATCTAAGTGATTTACTTTCTTGGATAATGTCATCGAATCGTCACGTTCATTTAAATTAGAAGCGAACAACCGAACAAGAAAAAGTACATAAATGCGATCGAGTTTCTAATGCCAACATTTGAAGAAGTTTGTAATTACTTTGGCAACAATGTCAGTGCTGCAGGTATGTAACTCCCGACTTTATATTCGAATGAGCATATTGGAATTGGTAGCAATTTTTTTTGGCAATGTCATTGGCAACATATCGTATGAAATATGATACAAACAATTGCCAAAAGCATTCTTTTAAAATGATATCATAAATCTTTTGAGTGACAATATAAATTGTTGAGCATGTATCGTATCCGTTTATGGCACATTTTTGATAATTTCTTGGACTTGAAGAATGCAGTCAGTAAGTTTAAGTTTTATGTTATGAATATTCATTTTGCTACCGCATCCGAGAACTTTCATACCATTTACTGGTACTGTCATTTGAATCGATTCGGCGTTGAAAGCCGTTCGTAGCTTTCAGAGCACACTGTGTTTCGCTTGAATTAAAATAAAATGGTTGAATTTTTAATGGTCAGGTTCACCTCTTTCTTCATGATATGCCCTATGAACGATTACGTTCCATTATATGTGTTGGTTTTTTGTTTGTGAATACATCTCCCCCACTTTGATTGTCATTAATCACGTTTAGAATCTGTTTTTTTAATGTATTGTATTTAGAACGCTCAAAAACAGTATTCGGTGCCGAACGTATTTTTTTTTACGTGTGGTTGGCTTTTAATAGAGAATTCGGACGCCGAAAAAAACCGACTATGTGTTCAATTCAATGATTTTCGACAAACTGCAAAAGTCGTTTAATTGAAACAGAGGAAATTTCTATTTATGCGTGGCCAAAAACGTGCGGATTAAACTCTGTCCAAATTTAGAACATGTAAATAGTGTGTGAATCGCGTTGAAATATTGTACCGCAGTTTATGAATTTGAGTTTCTACGTGAGCAGCAATTCAATTGTATGCAGTATAAAATGCCTCGAGCACTCACACATTACGACCGCGCATTGAAAAACATTTTTTTAGGCATATGAATGAATTTCGAACGAGATAGTGACTGTGATTTTATTGTATTTGCGCTGATTGCACTATTCACCCAGATCGAGTAACAAAGCGAGTTATTTTGTGTAAGTGCGGCAAGCAAACGTTTCATTTCGTCTAATGTTAATGGCATACATTTTGGTTCATTTATAAACTAATGCGTGTGTTTGTCTTTTTTTTCGTCGATGTTGCTGTTGTTTCACATGCGTTTGTTTGTTTTTATTCTCAAGCAATTTTACGTATTATAGAAAATAATTCACATAATTGCGCCAACAGAAATATAAATACTGGTGAGCAAAGGAATCAGAAGAAAGGTAAATGTCTCACTCATACACATGAGAATGCAATAATTTAGTTGTCATTTAACTGGAATTTCAGCGAAGGCAAAAAGAAACAACACATTTTTAAGGTGTCTATCATAAAGCCAAGCCAAACCATTTGTCATCGCAGTGTTGCGGAGCGTCAAAGAATGAATGATGATTGCTTAGTTTATAATTAATTTACTGCAATCAAGTTATTTTTGTAGCGAAAATTAGACAAAGACCTATGTGGGTCGAATGGCATCCACTCAGACCCACAAACTCTCTTCAAACACACAAAGCGTCAATTGCTCTTAATTCGGAAAATGGCATTTTCATAATATTATTTTTTTTTTTGCTGTGTATCCTCTCTTTCTTTCTGTATAAACGTTGAATGGCTTGGCACTCTCGCACTTTGTCGATAATAAATAGAGAGAAATAACAACAACAAAAAAAACGTTTTACCAAAAGTGGCACAAACTACCGTTAACTTAACGATCAAAATTTTTTGCTTGCTCTTATTCTGGGCGGCTTTGCTACAACAGCAACTACACACCATACCACATCCACACAGATTTTGTTTTCTTTTTTTTCGTTAATTTCATTATTTTTTCAATGAGTTATGCAATGCCGTTTACAGGCGCGATTAAAAATACCAACAACAAAAAATGGTACAAAGAAAAAATCTTGGCATGGAGTTTTCATGCCAACACAAAATGCTTTTGGTAAATGGCATCCTTTCATTCGCCTATCATGGCATTTCTTTCAATCAGAAAACGACCGTTGTTGTTGTTGCTGCTGCTGCTGCTGCACTATACAGTTCCAAATGGATGCAGTGACCTGATTAAGCGACATGATGCGGCAACACAGTTTCAATCCTCCTTAATTTAATAACTACGTCCCAGTTTTTGATGTTGTTGTTTTTGTAATTCGTAATAAATTCCTCGATTCAAATATGTATGATACATTTTTTTCGTGAAAATTAAATTAATCGCAACTAATTACTAAGACACTTTACTGATATATTGCAACATAATTAATAAAATTCACATTGGGTATTATGTTAATATTTTCCAATTTTCTGTTGTTATGCATTTAAAAAAAAACCGGTAATGTTCACTGGTTCAATGTCAGCCGTCTTGAATTGGTATTCGAAAAAAAAACTGTATCAAAGTTTTATATACAAAAAAAGACACATGAACGAAACCAAAAGAAGACGAACAACATACGAATGTGCGAAAAAAAAGCGAAGCCAGAAAAAGAAACGAATGTATATCGCAGCAGTTGCATATACAAAATAAAAATTGCGAGAGTTGTTTTTTTGGTGGCAAAAATGTGCGCACACATTTTCTACTTGGTAGAGCATGCACTTGAATTTTTGCGCTAACATCTTGAATATGTATGTATAATTACCGTGTGAAAAAAATGCATTTTTATGTCCATTTAATGCGTATTATTGAATATACAATGAAGATTTTTTGTGTACGGTTGAACTTCATGTTCAAATGTAATGAAATACCATGAAATCGACGTACATTTTCGCGATCGTTAGACAAATCACCGAAACAAAATACAATTTAAATGGTCACACACATTTTCGATCGAATTTTAGGTGCGAATGTTTTTCTTTCCGTATAGTTCAACGTTCACATTTGGTATAGTTTATGGTTTCCTTTTAATATATTTATATCAAAGATCAAATTTCAGTTGAAACATCACTCAAGAAGGTCACTTAAGGTAAACTTAGTAGTCACCTCTTTAATTTTGTTCGAATGACCAAACCAACACAATAAAGATAAGAAGCAAAAATTGTACACAAGAGTAATGGGTTTCTAAACATTCAGATGGAATAAATTACGACTAAATGAGGTAATC